TTCAGCTTGGGTATCTAATCTATAAACGAGTGCTATGGATTACACTTGACCATTCTGATTTCTTTTATCAAAGTCTAAATTAATGGTCTGATATTCAATTTATCCAGGTATTTGGTTTCGCAGATTTATCCTATATGAACCTCATAGCAGAACTTAAAACTGGTCGAGTCTTCAGATGAACGAGGAGTTCTGTAATGGGTTTGTGAGTTTGCAGTTACAGGTCAGTAGAAAGGCCCAGTTTTTCTTCTGGAATTCCAGTTGGCCCAATGAGATTGGCCCAATGAGATATGACCTCTTTAAGTGGAAGTGACCTGTTGTTTTGTTGATTGAAAAATTCTTAATGGGCAAACTATGATTCTTTTTTTTTTTTTTTTTTTTTTTTCTTTTTTTTTTTCTTGAAAAGAATGTATCAATACACCTTCGAGCGATAAATAAGAATTAATAGTTATGTAAGCTCTGAATCGATTGAGAAATTCCTATATTAAGCAGCCGATTGTAGTACATGGATTCTATTCTTCCATAATACGGGGACACTGACAACTTTTTTTTTTTTTATTCATGTTTAATAAGTACTATTAACTCCACTGAATCTCAGTTCTAAAAAGAAGTTTTCTTCAGACAATTAGGTTTTGACAAAAATTTTCAAACTATATAATTATTGGTTTAATTTATTTCGAACACATATAAGGTGCAGACTGCCTCTTCAATACAAGACAACAACAAGCCATGTAAACATAAAAATTGTAAAAACGAGAAATTATTAATCTGTTTTAACTTTTTGCACCATTATTGAGGGAATATTTTTGTTGTTTACCCTTTCAAGGAGGCAAAAATTATAATCCGCGGTCCCAATTTACTTGAGCTGATCATTCTTCCAAAAACATGCTCATTAAATAATTTGTTGAGTCAATCTAGACCAAATACTTGTGTATCTAGTAACAACAAGTTATAAAATATTTCAGAATAGGCCTAAATGGATGATACTTAGATTCTTGTTTTTTTTTTTTTTTTTTTTTTTCTGAAAGAATGTATAAACATTTGGAGATAAATAAGAATTAATAGTTATTAAGTTGAATGATTGAGAATTTATATTAAGAGCCGATTGATACATGGATCATTTTATAATACGGGAATGAACTTTTTTTTTTTTTTATTGTTTAATAAAGTATATAACTCACTGAATCAGTTCTAAAAAGAAGTTTCTTCAGACAATTAGGTTTGACAAATTCAAATATATAATTTATTGGTTTAATTTATTTGAACAAATAAGGTGCAGCTGCTCTTCAATAAGACAACACAAGCATGAAACATAAAATTGTAACGAGAAATTTTAATCTGTTTAATTTTTACATTATTGAGAATATTTTTGTTGTTTACCTTTCAAGGAGCAAAATTATAATCGGTCCCAATTTACTTGAGCTGACATTTTCAAAAATGTATTAAATAATTTTTTGTTAGTCAATCTAGACCAATATATTGTGTATCTATAACAACAATTAATTAAAATATTTCAGAATAGGCCTAAATGGATGATACTTAGATTCTTGAATAGTAAATTTATGGAGTGTGTGTGTGTCCATGCCAGGGTCCCACGGCAGCTGCATGTTGGCCGCTTGTGGAACAAGAAAGCAAGAAAGGAGAGAAGGGGGAACTCACGTGCCTTTATTCTCATCCCAAAAGAATAAGAGAGAAAAAAGTGATGGAGACCTCAATGAATGTTATCTACCAAAATGGGTTTCCTTCCAAATGCACTTTTCACTTTCACATTCATCCTCTGCTTGTTTCTTCGCTTCCCACCTCTCGTTGCCATGGCCTTAACCCATTGAGGCCATTGACAAAATTAGATTTGGAATGGTATGTTTTAATAAAAGGGGTTTGGTGCTGCAGCTCAATGATTAAAATTGATCACAATGTGAAGTATATAATCGATTTTGACAAAATTAATTATGATTATATATGTTTCAAGCTTTGCAAAATATATCTTTATTATTAGGATAGGAACTTTGGGTTATATAAATGATTTGTAATTTTATTAATATAATTATACCGAGTGTTTCATAATAATTTCAAAATATATAATATTCGGTCAAAAATTTACATTTAATGGCCCGAGATATTTGCTCCGTTACTAATATCTTGTCCCCAACTCGGATCAAAATGACGAAAATATATGTTGGGTTAATTATAAATTTAGTGTCTCAAAATTTTTAAAATTTTTTTATTTTGATATCTCAACAGAAAATATTTACAATTAAATTTTTCAATATATTAAAAATTTTCAATTAAGTATCTGCCAGATTACGTGACGAACTGAAATTATAAATAAGAGATATGAGACCCATTTAAAGTGGGTATGCTCCTTGGAAGCTAACAAAAAATATTTTGACCCAATAAAAATAATACTCATTTTGACCCAATAAATTTTTTTTGTCCTTTCTAATTTTAGCTGTTAATTCTTTGACCATAGATCAATTATTGTTCATTTCACCCAAAGATGCACTTAAAGGGAAAATAAGTATTCAGACCTTTTTATCACATTTTTAAAACGGAATCCGACGTAGGATACTCATTTAAAGTCTAATCAGTATATTTTAAAATATCAAATGAGCTTTTTATTTCTTATCTAATTTTAATAGATTCAAAAACTTAATTGCGAATGTTTTCCGCTGCGATATCAAAATAAAAAATTTTTAAAAAATTGAGACACTAAATTTGTAATTAATCATAATCACTTTAATTATTAATTTATTTCATTAACTAGAATAACTATTTTATTTTTTCTTATTTCAGCCACGCACGAGCCAATTAGGAAATTTGAGTGTCATCCTCTTAAACGTCACTTACTTCTCCTTTAATTTTAGAGAATTTTACTTATAGCTTCATGGGTTTTTAAGAAGAAGAGCAGAAAAAAGAAAATAAAGGAAAAAATCTTTCCTATCGCTCCCAAACCACAGGAAACAATTTCTGTCGTTCATAGACATTATGCTGGGTCTCCGAATCTGACTCAACGTTTGAGTCTTCATGCAAGAACACCATGAAATAAAAACGGCAGGAACAAAATCGATGTATCCATGATATTGGGAATTGGGAACCTTTCATATTAGTTTCAAATTATAAAGATTAAGTAATTGGGTTCACTACAATGACCTTATAGTTATAGTTTCATTAAACTATAGTTATAATCTCTTGGGTTCTTGGCAAAGTGATACCAAATCTGAACACATAAGATTTGGAAAATCTCTAACGGCTTCTCTGTCTGCCATTTTTAAATAGTGCATTTAGGTCAAAGTCACTAATTGCTACATTTGTGCAAACCTCTGTTTATCCATCTTTCTTCGGATTTGGATACTTTGATAGCTAGCCATAATGACTAACTAGTGTCTCATCTTCTTCAGGTGGTTTTTGTTTAATTTAGACATAATCATCTTTCCTTAATATACTCTTAAGTACTATCTGGGTGCGTATCTACAATGGAGGCAATGACGCTACTTGCTCTCACATTTAGATTTGCATTTTTTATTTATTGTGTTTTTAGCCAAAGCACTAAAAAAGAAATTGAATATTTGAAAAGCGATTAATAAAAATTTAAAGAAAATGTAATTAAGAAAAATAATATCACATTAAATTGAAAAAAAAAATTACATTATTTGCATTTTCCAATAGAGTTAACTATATATGACGATACAATATTGGAATTACTCTTTACTCCAAAATCAAATGAATTTCTTTGCATTGATTGATTTATGAGTATTCCAATATTTAATTGACAGGCATATGCACAAGGAATAATTGCATAATGTCTTGCAAAGAAAAAAAAAAAAAAAAGTTAATACACTTTTTCAAAGAGGACTTTAGAAATATGGTAATTGATAGTCCCAGGATCGCAAACGGCAGTGTAGTAAAAACTTTTGACCACAGTAAAAAATGTTTGCTTGATATTGGAATCCATTCCATCTGAGGAATTTTGGAGCACTAACTGCGTCAGTTCTTGCATATCTGATTCTATTTCTGGGGTTGTGCTTCTCTCCCTGTCATATACCTGAAATTTTATAAAAAGAAATAAAGGAATTTTATTAATTAATTTGATTAAACAGATAATTAATAAGGCTATTTAATAATTTAACTGCAAAGATAGAATTGATGCAGCAGTAATACTAGTGCATGCAAGAAAAGACCCCACCCTCGACATTCACTTTGAGCCATAAAAATAAAGTATTGGTGCCTTATCAGAATCCATTTTAGGATAGTTTTTGTCATCTCATGTATGGAAGAAGATAATAAACCACAACTTTTGAGATATAATAAAACATTTATTTTATTTTTACAAGATGATGATGTCAAAAATCAATTTTTTTTTTTTTTTTACTAATTTCAGCCTTATGAGAAGTAAAACAAGAAAAGAGAAACTTTTAACTGACCTTGTTTTTACTGTGATGACCAAGTTGATGGCAAATTCTGTTTGTAAGTTGAAAGAATCTTTCATACTTAGAACTATAGTTCAAGAGCTCTTCAGACACCCAACGCCCAGTTGTTAGATTTATTGTTTTGACAATAAGTTCTGCTTCTCCCTGGTGTCTGTCTCCTTCCTTTTCCCAATTCGTCAGCCATTTTTCCCACTATTTAAAAAAAATAAATAAATAATTAGAACACCAAGTTGGAATGGTAATAATATAGTCGAGTTTAGATCATTGCAACTCACAGCATGACGTAAACTGTGACTAATATCTGTCCCATGAGCCACCAGTGCGTCCAAAGAGACATCGTTTAGGGTTCCAAGCACTATTCCGACAAGTTCCTGCCTTGTCTTTGTTTCCAATTTCCTGCAAACACCAAATATCTCATTTTAATTATTTATTCCATATATATCCTAATGAATGTTAAATCGGTGGTTTGCCAATATTATCCATTCGAGCATTAATTAATTATATTTAAAATTGTATTTTAATCAAACATAAACATAAACTTATGATATAAATCAGCATTATTATAAAAATATTATATAAAAATACTGATCTTAGGAACCTTTTTATCATAATTTTTTCACAAGAAAAAGACAAAAACTGTGATGCTCAATTTCCCTCAACTTTTTCTGTAGTATATTTTGTAATACTCAATAACTGTACTTTCACAATACTTGCATTGTTGAGTTTATTTTTATATGTAATATAAGACAAATAAAATAAATCAAATATTTTTTATTGTTTACCTTCCATTTACGAGTCCTGCAGGTGCGCCAACGCCATGTTTAAATTGCTGGACAAAATCTTTCCTCTCCTCAACGGAATTGTTGCTGTTGTCATTGAAATAAGCGTCGATGGTCCGTAGCAATATAGTGGTCTTGGCCCATGCAACTCTTTCTTTTGACCTTTCTGGCTCAAATATGCTGGCTGCTGCCATGTAATACGCATACAGAAGCTCTCTTTTGCTTACCCCAAAAGCTCCCAAGTTACATTCTTCGTACCACCTTTCGTGAATGTGAATTAATTTTTAGTTCATTATATCTAATTAATTAACTTTAATAAAATAAATTTAAATCAATTACCTTTCATAAATGTCAATTAATTTTTATTTCATTATATCTAATTAATTAACTTTTAAAAAATCAAATTTAAATCAATTAAAAATATGTATCACACTTTTCGTGTAGACAAGTCTTATCAACTTACTTTTGAAAATTATCCCATTCGACGCGATGCAACGCTTGACAACTATTGTAGTCAATTTTTGCAAGCTCCAAATACTCGTTATTGTTCACGAATGGCATCCTGTGATAATAACAACAGATTAGTTAGTCTGATCTCGTTGTCATATTTAATGACAAATTAAGAAACTAAATTGTATAATTAATTAAGCAATAATCTAGTACTATTATGCATTATTTTTTTCTAGAAAGATACAATGAACCCCAATTTAAAACCGTCCGTTTGATCATTTCTTTTGGATTATTATTTCATATTTCACCGTTAAAAATGCTAGTCAATTTAGGACAAATGAATAAAATAATAAGGAGTGTATCAAAAAGAAAATAAAAATAAAAGTACCTATAGAGAGTCTTGCCAATCCATACATCATCTTCCCCGCCATACTGTTCTATGTAGAATCTGGCCTCCACTCTAGGTAAGTTGGCGAACCATGGCATATCCAATGCATACTCAACCTGTTAATTCGGTAAATTAATTTTTTATTTTTATTTAATTTATAACATTTTCTTGTGAATTAAAAATTGAAATTCTAATACTGTACCTCTCCTGGTAAGTCCTTGGTTATAATCCATTTATCTAAGACTTCATTAGCAGCTTGCTTTTCTCTAAGGAAAGTGGAAGAAAATTCCTTAGCTTCTTCGAGAATATTCTCCCCAGGAAACAGAACCTGAGAAGCTCTGTACAGGTTAAACATTCCGGTGACCGCCTGTGTTGACTGCCCCGCGAAGCAGAAGAAAGTATCCCCTTTCTTGAAATGCTTGAACACATCTATCAAATACCAAAACAAACATATATTAATTAAAAGTATTTACAATAATTGTAAATCAGAAATTACATTTACGCCCTGGATTTTAATTATTACCAGGAGAAACGTCATGGCCAAATAATCTAAGCATTCTGAATCCCATAGCTGTGTCATCAATATCATGAACCTCAGAATTTCTTGCCCAGCAAATGCCATCTTCTCTCCAATATCTGATCATAAATAAAAATTCAAATTAATACATATAGATATACAATATTTTAATTTCCTTAAATAAGTTAATTAATATAGATTATATTTGTACCTGGCAACATAGTTAATACATTCTTTAAGCTCTTGCTCGAAGAATCTTGATATTCCGAGGCGTTGCAACCGATCGACAGCCCAAATGTGCTCGAAAAGGTCAACCGGGTAAACGTTTGGCACTGAACAATCAAAAATGCAAATTTAGAAACAGAAAAGGAATGTGGAAAGTGAAAGTAGAGTACTTTTTTATCTATACAAAAAAAGGGGAAAAAAAGAAAAGGAAAAGGAGAGGAAAGGATACCTCCTCCTTTAAATCTCTGGACAATCTTGTTTAAATAAGCTAAGCAATTATCGTCTTTAGTTTGCATGAGTGCATAGGCAGTGGAGGATGGAGAGAACAAGAATGACCCATCTTGGCTTTGCAATTTCAGAAGCTTATCCCACTCAAGGTCTGGCATTCCTTCCAAGCTATGGAGTAGTGTGGTGGGCACTTTGTGCATTATGTCTTTTGGTATCCTATCACACATACACAATTATTACATTACATACATGTGAAAGATATATATCATCATAACAAAAATCCAACTTTATTAATTAGTTTCATTTCGATTTATCTTTATATATATATAATCAAAACTGAAATAAAGCAAAAGTACTTTAAAATAATAATTATAGCTGAAGCTTGATGGATATAGTGTGCAAAAATTAATTATATTTATTTACTTTTTGAGCTTCAGATTTCTGCTGGCATAGATCTGCTGCAAGACTGGAGAGTCCTCGGGAACTTCAATGTCTAATTTGCTTGCCAGCTCTATAAGTGAAGGAAAAGCCACTTCAAATCCTATAGGCATGTGCTCAGCATTCTCATCTTCAAGCTTGCATAAGTTGTCTTTAAAATATTTCATTCCTGGGTATATGTATAGGTACAAATTAAATAATAATATTTTAAGCTGAAATTGATTAACAGAAAATTACAATTTAAATTATTAATTATTTGTCCACATCTACCTTTGGCCGCCTTATCAGGATGTAAATTCCATGATTTCAAAGCAATAACACAAGCAAGCGTATTGATAATACGATCATGTGCAGTGAAAATATCAGCATCACCCCAAGAACCATCCGGCAGCTGATTATTGGCTATCCATTGAAGACTAGACGGGAATTGAGGAGCTCCACTTCCATTTACGTCTTCAACAAGAGCAACCCATGCCGTATCATAGGCTGATATGGTTATCTCTCCATCCTCCATGGATTCCAACATTTTCTTAATGCTGTCGACACGTTCTGTGATCTCCTTTGATATTTTAACCTTAACAATTTGAACATCAAACCATAACCACATGTTTCAGCATTTTTCTTAATAATTTCATATATACATAATAAGTACATGAGATGAGCGGGGCGGGAGGAAAGAGGAGAAAAAGAGAAACAAAGGAAAAGGAAAATGTCAAAGAAAGCGACGCCTTCAAATCACCTTAGGTACTTGCTCTTCTATGTCATCTTCCACAATCTCATGCCACTTTATCACTGGCACTCCTCCATTTTTCTGAAACACAATGTCGTATTCTGCAGTATATATAAATATATCATTTAATTTTTTCACTGATTATTATATAAGCAAATATATATATATATATATAGAATAAAATCAGAAATATAGCGGTATTATTTGTACCTTGAGTATGAGTCTGGGACTGGGATACAGCAGCGCATCTTGGGCGAAAATCGAAGTTAACTTGTTTGTCTTTAGCCCCGTACAACCAAACACCACCTAGGATAACAAATCAGAAAAAGAAAGTTAATACTTACATGGGTTTTTCTGTTGTAATGATTAAAGTTTCTTAGCTTTTTTTTCTGCTTTGGAGAGTAAAAAATCGAATTACTGTGGCTTAAAGTGTAAAACAAAAGGAAAAAGACAGACAGAAAAATATCAGCAGTACTTCTCCAGAAGAATCAAGGAAAAGAAATAATAATAATTACAATTTCAGCAGATTCGTTTAAACAGATTAATCGGAAATGCATTAGTTAGAACAAAACACAAAAGAATTTAACAGAAACGGTATCGCTTTATGAGCATATAGTATAGAGGAATTAGACGATGGAGAGGAAAATTGAGGACTTACCAGAGAAAAGTGTAGGACGGAGACGGATAGGAGAGAAAGAAGAAGAAGAAGAAGAAGAAGAAGAAGAGAGGAGGTGGAAGGGCTGAGAAGACATTGCTGATTATTGAATATTGAATATTCTGATGGTTTACAAATTTTGTTGTTGTTTTCTTATGAAGAGCGAACTTGTAAGGATGGGGAAAACTGATGTGGTATTTAAAAGCAAAGGGAGGGAAGCAAACAGACAGAATCGACTTCCCAAGAGATTCCCGCTAATAGTTGCATGGGATCTCTTCTTCCCTATTTTGCCCGTCTAACACCAAATCCCAGGAGGCTACATCTGTCTTTTTGGTCTTTTCTATTATTTTTTGGGTTTTTAAGTTTTTCTCTAATGTCTGCTGCTCTGCTCCCTCTCTATATTTGACCAGCAGGAAAGACTTCCATATAAAATAAATGAATTAAAATTATTTTTTTATTAAAATAAAAATATTTCTAATAATATAGTATTAAAAAATTATAAATAAAAATAATTTAAAAAAAAAATCTCTTTATAGATTATGTATAGATAAGTCTTATCCAGATAAAAATTTGAGTTAAATTTGTTGTTTTGAAGTGGACGGTACTGAATATCTGTGGATACTACAACCGTCTTTTAAAATTTTCTTTTAATTAATCCATTAGCCATGCAGACCGTGACTTATTTTTTATCAAATTATTTTTTTTTTTGAAAATTATCAAATTATAAGATAGTAAAATTGTTGTTCATATTTCTATGTATATATATACATAGTAAGCAGTTAAACTTCCTTAATTTGCATATATTTCCTATCTTTGCTAAACCTCCCTATTGTGCCGTCAATCACTATTCTTTCTCTGTTTACCTATTTAGTTGGATTTTTTTATTTAAATAATTTTTTATTTTTATTGTTTATTTATTTATTTTTATTCTTCATATTTTTCTTATTTTATTAAAAGTTCATATACCATAAATATGTAGATCACATTATTTTTCATAAATTTGGTATCTAAGTTTCTTAATTGAAACTTGTTATTAATTTTCAAAAGGTTGTTATTAATTTTCAAAAGGTAAAAAATAGAAAGTTAAAGCTTAATTATCAGACTTAAGTTTCTTTATTAACTTTTTTGATTTATTTTTTCCTGCTTTTGCTTTTCAAGTGGTATAGAGTCATCATGGCTGCTGCCTTCAATATAACAGCATGCTCCAATTGTTACCAAGTGGACTATTAAAATTGCAGTCTTTGTTTACTCAGTGATTTTATATATATACTTCAAAATAATTTTCCCAACTTTTCAATATGATAATAAGACTAGCTTTTGTCTATTCAGGCTCTTGAAATATTTTTAATTTAAGTCATGCGTTTAATTCTAATTATTCATATATACACCTAAAATATTTAACAGGTCAAACTTGTCTTGTATTGTGGAAAATTATAATTATTTTTTTCTTTCTGTTTACTATAATAATTATAATTATAGTAATAAGATGTATTAGGATGTCACATTGAATTGTATACCCACTAATACTATGCAACAGGTAAGGATTCAAGGAATCTGAAATTTTTCGTAGATAGATACAAGGGAACGTAACTGTTCTATATTTAATTTTTTTATTTAAAAATTTAAAAAACTCACACTATTGTCATTGCTCTATATATGTAAATGACAATGGAGCTGGTTAAGAAGGGCTGCAGTATCTTGTACTCTTTGTTGTAATTCTGTCTTATTCTCTCAAGTAAGGTTACATCAAATGAATGTTGATTATTTTTTCAGTTAAAAAATTATAATCACAATTATTTTTATGCATAATATATAGTTCTGTTATTGGTGAGTCAAAAATTGAAAGGACTGTATGTCAAATATATCCAGAGACTGTGTGTCAGATATATCCAAAACGAAACAATAGTTTATTTAAAAATTATATTAAATAAATAATTCTACTGAAAAATATTTGAAACTCTCCCAATATTTAAGATATTTGAGATAGATAAAATTAATACTTATAAAATTATTATTGAAATAAATGTATTTTTAACTATACACTTTAAAAAAAAAAAAAAAAACTTTTGAAACACCTTTTATATATTAATGTCAACATGTGGAATAATAATGAAATTAAAAAAGAAAAGTCTTGTGTGTTGCTTGTTGAATAAACCTACTCAGTTATTATTATTATATTATTTTATGGTTATTAATAATTAGTTTTTTAATAATAATTACCAAAGCGGTTAGAGTCATTGTGGTATGGACATGACGAGGAAAAGATGAGTGTGAGCAAAATAATATCTTCACCAACCTTCTCAAAGTCTAATTAGCTCACTTCAAATATTATTATTATTATTATTATTATTATCTAACAGTATAAAATATGTCTTTAGTCAAACTAAAGTAGTTCTATATATTAATAATATCCAAAAAAATAAAACAAAAATTAAAAAAAAAAAAACAGTAAGTTAATGCAGCATACCCAGAGCAACACCACGTGATCAGTTTATAATCCACAGTTAATGTTGCTTCAGACACATATATAATATGCCAACAAAATTAGGTAATTATCTTCATGACCTTTTGTAATAATTCAACCAAAACAACAGGGTTCTCAGTGTTTCTTTCCATGAAGGAATCTCACTTATAATTATTTGGTAAATAAACCCTTAATATGGAATTTTCAAAAAGACTATAAGACTTTTGGGTTCGATAGGTCGGCGGCCGGATTAGGTGCTTCTTAATAATAGACTCTGAATATAGATATTTTGAAAAAAACTATAAGACTTTTGGGTTCGATAGGTCGGGAGCCGGAATAAGTGCTTCCTAATAATAGACTCTGAATACCGGTATTTTGAAATTTTGATTAAGAGAAAGACTTTTAATAGTATAATATTTTATTCTTCATGTAAAAAGAATTCCAGAAACCAGTAAATAATAACATTTTTGGGTCAATAAATTGTTCAAAATTCCAACGTCATCGTTTGAATGAATGTCCAGCCACTATTGAATTTTAGCAAGTAAAAAACAGTAGCGTCCGTTTCAGGGAACTCGCCCAAGCCTTCAACGACATTGTCTTGTCTTTACGTCAATGTTTGAATATCTTAAGTTCGATTATTTATTTCTTCTAAAAAAACGAAAAGATTGATTATTTGTACTAATGTATTATTTCACGGGTTGCTTCAGGAGTACAAGTAAATCTTGGCGGCCAAAATACAAATATTTTTTTTATATTTCATATTGTCAATAAATAAGCGAATAATTATTTAAATTTCAAATCAATGTCTCTATTACTAGATCATCGAACCAATAATTAATATCTTTAGCATTTTTTTTTTTTAATTTTACAGTCAAACAATATAACGAACTCCTATATATCTTAACTTCATTTATTAAAATTCTTATATTTAATTCAGTGTGGAAAATTATTGAAAAAAATATATTTTAATTAAGTTTTCCATAATTAAGTAAAATTATTCTTTTGCCCCTAACTATTAGGGCTAGATCTGTTATTGCTTAATCAAAATAGTTTACGAATGAAGTGGTTAAATATGATAATTCCAATCAACGGATGAATGAATTTTGGTTGGAAATCAAACTGTTGGACTATATTATATTTATAAGTAAATTTCGCAGAGTTGATGAAATTGACTCGCTGCCATCTTAATTGAGAAACCATTTTCTCACAATTTATTTCTACTAGTGTCGTTGTCTTTATCATGTCTTGTCCGACGCAATGAATTTTCTACATATGGTGTTCTGAAATTTCTTTTGCCTAATTGGATGACTTATCCCTTTGCTCCCCATTGGTTTTTAAAATATATTTTTTTTCAGGCAAAAAAGCATGCAATTAGTCAATAATAACCCAATATTTAATAGAAAACATTATAAAGAAATGAATTTAATTTTTCGTTTTTCATTTTCATTTAAAGAATTAATAGTCACAATACTACCTATTGTCACTGAATGACGTAATAAAACCAACTGATATCTTATAATTGCTCAAAAGATGGCTTATTTTCATACTCAACTACTTATTTGGCTGGAAAGTGCTGCAATTTCAACTTGTTTTTTTTTTTTTTTTCTTCAGGAAAAGACGTGTTGCAAATTAATTACTTGATAAAGGAAAAAAACGATTTAAATATTATATTGGCAGGTGGCAGACAATGGCCACACAAATGGAGATTGTTGTGATAAGTTTTTTGCCTATCATCCTTGAAAAAGAATTGCTGAATATGGAATTCTTTGCGTTTGACTTTTGCTCATTTTGCCATTAACATTCTTCGTTGGCACTATTCCTCTACTTTCTGCTTTCTATGGATCGCAGACCCGCGGAATGGTCAAACATTTTACACATTTCAGTCCATTCAATTTCTCCGTCTTTTCCACTTGGGAGTTCAATTTTAGCTGGGCTTTCTGAACACACAAAATAAATAAATAACCCATGTATGGGCTTCGCTTACTCTCTCTTGTGATAAATTTGTTGGGCCGAGTTCTCCCACTGTTCCCTTCTAAAGGCCCGTTTTATTATAATAGTAATAGTAACGCTCCAGAAAGGATGGTCACCACTTACGAGGCACATCCCGTGCACTGCACGTGTTTCTTTAAAAGCAACATTTAATTAATCCATTATACAATATAATGATAAACGTCCAACAAAAAGAAAAAGAAATCAACAATGGTTTCACTGCGCTTCCCATTCTTGTTTTCTCAGCCCATACGCCCCAGCGTTATTTCCTATGCCACCACCTCCCGCTCCTTCTCTGCGGCCACCGTCGTGGTATGCACTGTCGCCGCTGGAGCTGCTGCATTTTCCGGCGTAGCAGCAATTCAAAATCCCACAAATACAAGAGACTCGTTTCTGCAGACAGCACTGAATTTTCTCCTTCCTAATCACTCCTCACTGCCATGGGGATCACTCTCTCTAGCAGACGCTTCGCCTGCTCTTGTGGAATCGAAGACCGGTGTGTCATTTCCTTCGGTTGTTTCTGAATCCCGGAGGCTTTTGGGGATTGGATTAAGGAGAAAGAGTGTTTTGGGATTGAAGAACATTGATGTCTATGCATTTGGTAATTGCGCTTTTTTTTTTTTTTTTTTTTTGTTTCTAATTTTTTCGCATAAGAAGCTTGTTCAACTATGAGGAATACTTGAAAGACTATAAATTAAAGTAAACAAGTAATTAAAAATCCTTTGGTGGGATAACGCACACTGTTTAGGTGGATGAGAAATTGAGTGTTATATGTAGAATTTGCTTCATTGGCTTATTTTTGTCAATTTGGAAGTGTCAATTCAGTGACTTTCTGTTAAAGATGTAAGCCTTATTTGAGGACAGTTCAGCGTTTGTGAGAGAAGATTTTTGCTTTAGTTGTCTTCTAAATGGGTTTAGAGTTCAGCTTTAACTTTTAAGAATTATTTTTATTTATCTTTCTGAATTTATGGCAATTGGTAGGGTGAATCAGTACTATTTCTGATGTAGTTAGGTGATTTCAGTAAAATTGGTGAATCATGTATTAGAAAAGGCTGTTTAACTGTACAGATGAAGGAGAACTACTGAATATACGCTGAGCTTATGACCAACTAAACATTAATTTGTTTGTAATACTGAAGGGCAAGACCATTTTAGCACGCTTGTCTTTGTTTCCTTTTGCTTTATCGGAACAAAACAATTCATGTCGTTTGTAGATAGGATGCAAGCTTTACATTAATCATAATGTATATCCGTTTGGAGAGGACTTATCTTATTATCTTTGGTTCCAGAAAATCAATTATAGTAATAACTTGAATTTTTTACCTCCCTCTGAGAATCTCTTCAGGTTATTCCCCATCTCGACTACTTTTTTAAGGAAATGATTTTTGTTCAGCATTATCTTGTACTCATAGGTGTACTGTAATTTGAGGTTCTCTATGTCGGCACTAGTAGGATTCCTATTCTAAATATTCCATGAGTATAATGCTAGCCAATGATACTGAGGTGCTGACTGTTAACTATGTATTATATCAATGCACATAAAACATTGTATCACAATGTGAATGTTGGGAAAATCCAGTGAGTTCTCCATTTGACAGGACTATCTCTGTGAACAGGTGTTTATGCTGATGATGATCAAGTGAAAAATGTTCTAGGTGAGAAATATGGAAAACTATCCATTTCTGAACTCAAGGAGAACAAGGAATTCAAAGAGGATCTCATGGAATTAGATATTTTCATAACTGTTAGACTCCAAATAGTCTATAGTAGACTAAGCATTCGCTCTGTACGAAGTGCTTTTGAAGAATCCGTTGGAAGCAGACTGCAAAAGTTCGGGGGGCCAGATAACAAGGAACTGCTTCAGAGGTGAAATGTTTTTTCTGTTATTAATATTCGTGTCATTGTCCTTGTGGTTATAATTTCTTTAATGTTTTCTTTTCGAGTAACCTGTTCAGTTTAATGGTTGAAAATTAATCTAATTTTTTGATGACTCAACTGAAGCAGTCTGTTCACTCTGTTTTCCTTATAGCTGATGTGTGGTAGAATTTTCTTTAATTACAGACTTGTTACTCGTAGCTGTCTTGAAATGCTTAGGCCCATCGTAATTTTGGCCTTGCAATAATGTTATTCATCCAATCCAACAATACTTATACTTCTTCCTGGTGTATTTCTAGTGTTTCAGAAAGTATCAATCAATAGAGCAAGAGAATTTTTGTTTATTTACAACTTCCTCAAGAACCAGTTGTTGATCCTGTTCTTGGTTGATTTGTTGTGAATTTGGTATGTATTTTTGTGCATTTGGATTCTCCTAATAGCCAATTCATGTGCAGGTTCACTTCTCAGTTTAAGGATGAATATAAAATACCACGAGGCTCTGTGATTGAGCTGTCTAGGGAAAAAGGCCATGTGCTTCGAACAACCAGTAAGAACAACTTTTCTTGTGTTATATTTTCTGAAGAAAGTTTCAAGTTACATCTGATTTATCTATCTTATTAGTGATTCTTAATTTAGTTTTTGATTTTGATATTGTCAAAACTATTACTTTAACATAAGCTATGCACACTTGAGAAATTCTCTAGAACTTGAGGGGAGTTACTAAACATTGAAAATCTGGGCATGGCCCATACCCAATACGTTAAATGTTTAATGAGGAACCTGAAAATAGCAAGTGAAAATATTTTAGGACTTTGGAAATAACCAACTGTTTAACTCCTTTTCCTTCTGATTTCTGTAGTTGATGGGAAGGAGGCAGGAAGCGTACAGAGTAAAGTCCTTTGTCGATCAATTTTAGATCTATATATTGGTGAGGACCCATTTGATAGACAGGCCAAGGAAAATATTGAAAGCAAATTGGCATCTCTCCTTCAAAATTGAGTCAGTGAACTGATCAATTCCATTCTATGATCTGTATTTTGAGTACTATTATCCTGTTTTTTGTTGAAGTGGTACGATATCCTTTCGAGCTGGAGATCAAGGCTTAGGGAAGTGATCCAAGCACGTTGAATTTGTGTTTTGTTCGCAAGCCTATACTATTTGGTTTTGATTGATTGTCAAAAATGATATATAAAGAGCAGAACGGCCTCAGGTTCAAAATTTCTTGAATCTGAACACCGTTCAACAAATTATCACTGGAGAAGATTTTCAAAGTGCATTAATATTATGGCTTCAGATACATTCGTTTTGTTTTCTTTTCCTCTGTTTTTTATATTTTGACGAATCTCAGATAAAGAATGGCAAAATCCTACTTAAAATCAGATGAACCAATGAAGCTAATATTTCTCATCATTAGAATGTCTATATCACTGTATTTTCTGGTAGACGCTACTTTGAGCAACTCCTATTGAGACACTGTATATAATAAGGAAAATTTCGAAATTGCTGTACAGATGATTTGCAAAATGCTCATAAAGACTACTTTTTCAAGTCTCATTTAAAAAACAATCCACCAATGAGCATCACAAGTTCAGCCCAAAATAAACTTCATCAATTTACACCCGTGCACTGAAAATTTTCAAACCTTAAGCAATTCCTGCATGACAAAGTCCAAAATCAGCATACCCTCTCCATCAGATTAAAATTTTAACATACAATATTCAATGAAAATAGTCTCTGAAGCTGTCCAGTTGAATCCTAGAAAAATGAGATAGTCAACACGTACAGCAATTTGAGTGCTGAAAAATTAAAGATCAAGTAAAATTCATCTTGCTGACGCTTTGATGTTTACAAGCAAATTTAAGATCAAGTCACAGCAGTTATAATCCATTTTTAACATGATCTTCAGATTGGTAGAGAACCAGGGAGCAAGATTTCTACCTCTGGTTGAAGCTTTAAGATTTAAGTTGAGATTTCTAATAATGAAGAAAAACATGCAGTGGAAAAATAATAATGAAAGAAAGATATATTCTAGTCTAGAAACTAAAGCATATTGCTTCCCATTCTATCAGTTGGGTTAAGAAGGAGATACCTTTTCCTTTTGCTTGTAGATGGTATCAATCTTTTTCATATACTCATCTGTCAGCTTCTGGAAGAAGCAAACAATGTTAACTTAGTGTTCTATCAAAGAAAGCAGAGTATAAAGTCTATCTCATTCATCGTCACAAGAAAATGAAAGAGGATATGAACTAAGGAGAACATTAACAGGACAACAAAATCAGAAAAATGAGAAAACAAAAATTCATAAACCCCTAAAATTGAAAGCAGAGCCTACTAAAATTTTATAACTATATCACATAATTAAAACACCACAAGATATTTCCAGCAACACCAATTGCAGCTTGCCATGATGCTATAGAATAGTTTAGTTTTCCCTATAGAATATGATAAGTGTTTCCAAAATGCATCTACCATTAGTTGGAGTGTGGAGGACTTAGAATCTTCCAGAAATATCCACAGTTTGTGGAAGCAATTTGGTAGTGAGTTTACTCATGCTTAACTTCAGTGACGAAAAGAAGCCAATCCAAAATCATCCCAGATAACGGACCATAAGCATGCAGTTACCTGAAAGTCACTGGACAAGTCCTTCACATTATCCTCTGAAAGCTTTTTTTCCTGAAGCCGAAGGATAAAAAAATGAACATAGAATGAGAAAGAAAACTTAAAAATAAAAATAAAATAAAAATAAAAAAAATAAAAAGAAAGAAAGAAAGGAAAATCCATCTAGGGTGGTAGCCCCTCCGCCCAACCCCTTCTTCGTGAAGGAAATAAAATTAACTGGACAGAAGAACACTGTTCCTCAATTCAGACCTTCTCAAGTTTCTCACAGGCTTTCAATGCATCTCTTCTGATATTCCTCAATGCCACCTAAAAGTAACCAATCAATAATTGTCAATTTAAGGAGAAGATTGATGGCATTAATGTAGTTTGCTAGTCATATGGACTTGATGAACTAGTGCAGTGAACAAACTAAGTACAAACTCATGCCACAAAAAGTCATGTATAAGTTATATATACATTTTATGGATACCATAATATTCGCCCATCTGAGCTTATTCACCTAAAAGAGACTGTTATACGTTATACATAAACAATATAAACAAACTGTGAGTTATTAGAATTCTAAACCATTAACTGAGTACGATATGTACCTTTCCTTCTTCAGCCAGTTTTGCTACCATTTTTGATAACTCCTGAAATTGAAAATGAATAAAGAAAAATTAAGTGAAACCACATAAATCTCCATAAGCATTTGAAAGAACTCCGCAAAAGGTACACTACATTAATTTTCAGCACACATTATAAAAAGTGGAGATCACGAGCTTCAAGAGATGACAAACTATAGAAAAATGGCATGATTAGAACTACAAGGTAAAACAAATTAACATATTCAACTTTCAGATATTAACAAATGTCTAAAACAAATCATAGCAATATTCACCTTTCGCATTCTAACTTATTGTCAGTTTACAAACTAACAGTTGATTAAAGGTCTCAAGGACCTGTTGGACAAGCTACCACTTGCTAGATCCCAAAAAAAAAACAGAGGAAATACCTTCCTTCTATCTGATGTCAATTGAGGAATGGATAAACGTATCACTTCTCCATCATTACTCGGAGTCAAACCAAGATCAGAGTTGACAATGGCCTTCTCTATGACCTTTAAGCTGGCATGTAAAGAAGTAAACATAAATCAGCAGAGTCAGGGACTACAAAAGAAATGTAAAAAGTTCTTGGGGGTACTTTTGCAAATTTGTAGTTCGTGCTGCTCGAAGAAAAAAAAGAAGAAAAATTTTTATTCTGGGTAGCCCTTGCAAAAAACATAACCAAATAGTCAATAAAGATTGCCATCGATGGTTTTTACAACTTATCCTGTGCTCTTAATAAATGAAAATTTTGTGAAAACTGTTAATCAATAGTCCCTACTCTAGCACTTAGTCGACTGCAGGAATGCTATATTTTTCATATGCTATTCTATGTCTATTCTATAGAAGAATAAATGAGCATGGTGTGATCTACCCTTTGGTTTATGCAATACCTGGATTTGTCATACGGCTGGACCAAAAGAGAACTTGCATCAGGAGTACTGATTTGAGCTATGCTTTTCAAGCTGACTGGAGTTCCATAATACTCCACCTGTAAATGCACAGTTTCATAGTTTTTCCAAAAAATAAAAAATAAAAAACTCTTTAACAGAACAATACATCATAAGTAACAAAATTTCCATAACAAGGGATACACAAGCCACCTAATGTTTGCTAAGTTGAACACAGATTGCATGTTCAACAAAGAATAAGGTAAATCTAAATTGAATGTAACATTAACAAAAAGAGAGATATAGCTCTTATGAGTACATTTTTCAACTTAGTAAAATAATTTCTTCCTAAAACATAAATCCACCAAAATCAGAATCAGTTTAAATTGAGCTTGAAAGCATCAAGGTGCTCTTCATTTGAAAATATCAAATGCAGCTATATTGTGCAAAATATTCGCCTCGAAAACAAAGCAAAACAAACAATCAAATATGGCGTGCCTCTCCATTTGTACCTAGAACTCATTCTCCTTTGTGCATAGAACATAAAAGTTTACTGCTGTGCTGATTAACGCATCTAGAGGAACTGATATATTTCATTTAATTCCTTCAAATCAAAGGACACGAGACTTTTGGAATATTCACATTGACATCAATCATTTCACAACAATTGAATCACAAACACATTTGCACAAAACCTAGATATGGATCCATACCTCAATCTTATCTAGCATTGCTGGGTTTGCTCTTCCTGTCCTTACAGAATTAAAATTGGTCCGAACTGTGTCAATAGTCCTGTCCATCCTTGCTTTCTGATAATAACAACATTCAAAATTCAAAGTTCTTTAGACTGAATGAATAAAATTCTAAATTCATTCAACTTTTGCCCATCTAATTACACAATAAAATCTAACAAAACCAGTAACCAGAAACACTTACAACATCTTTCTCAACGGATGACTTTAGAGCTTCAATTTCTTCAAGGGTTGCACATCTCACCACTCCTCTTCTGCATCTCTCTCACACACAACATTGTACATACAATCATTATCAAGTAATAGCAAAAACACAACTTATTGTAAAGTTAATTACTTGCCTCTTCTGCAACAACTGTTTCACAACAATGGGCTTGGTGAAAAGCTTAACGCCACCAGTGTAATTAGAAGCAGAGCTCCAGCAACGCACAATAGAACTATTCTTAGCATGGTGAGACGCTCTACAAAAAGAACCTGTAAAGCAATTTCATTTTAGAGTCATTTGCTTATGCACTACAAAAGAAAATGTTAAATTGCAGAAATAAAAGGGGAGCGAGAGACAAATAGGAAGATTAGAAAACCTGTAACAGAGAAGAGGGCCTTGGGAGAGCTTGGGTTTGAATGGAAGGTGGAAGGAAGCGGCGCAGTTGAAGAAAACGGAGAAGCCATTCAATTAACAGAGTAAGAAGAAGAATTCGAGAAAGACAGACAGAGAATGAAGAGGGAGAGCGGGATGTTATTCTGTGGATAAGAGCTCGCTCCTGCAACTGGCAGTCTTGTTTGGTTACTCGGACCGTAATTCTTCCTCCGTCCATGCTGTTTCCTTCTTTATTCATTCCATTTTATTCTCGTTTAGGATTAGGAATGTATAATTTACTTTTTTTTTTTTTATTTTACTCATATTTATATTGCCATAATATTCATAATTAATAACTTTCAAATAAATTACTGTGTTTTTTCAATAAATAAATAAATAATTAGCGTGTATAAAATATTTTGGATTTTTTTTTTTTTTTTGAAAGAGAGTAATAGTTTTATTTTAAATTGTTTATACGTAAACACAAACACAATAAGGAATATGACACGATATACATATAACCTATTGATTTATATGAAAACATAAAATAACAACATGCTACACTAAATAATTAAAATTTATAAGAAAATTTAAATAAATAAATAATTATTTATTATAAATCGTATACAAAATGAAAAGCACTTAATTTTCTATTTCAATACCATCAGGTAAATCAAAACATTAACATCATTGTTAAGAATTATATTATTTATCTCTAACTTATGACGTATTTAAAAGAGTTAAATTAATCTAGTACAATTTTTCACATTTTAATTTGTTGAACACGATATTTTCTAATTATTTTCTGATAAAACTCTTGTGAAGTATTGATTCCAAATTGTGAATTAGCTTTTGGATTTGAAAATAATAAATATATAATAAACTTATAAATTATAAATTGTAATATAGACTTTCTACTATATTTTGTTGACCTTTTGTTTTCTCTCATTTCTATTGTGTATTTTGTTGAGGTGCATTTGCACCTATTTATAGGCAGGATACAAGAGAGATAACACGGCTCTCCATTTATGTCATGGTTGGTTGCCAACCTTTGAATAACTTTCGCTGTCAATTTTGATTCCTTCTAAAAAAAAACGTGTGATTTATTTTTTCAAATGTATGTGGGTCCCACACGTCGGAGGGACCCCACAACAGTATGTATCCTTGTCTATAGTAGCCTCAACTTCTAGCCTTCTCCAATCATGAACACTCATAGGAAATTGATAAATCCTATAAGAAATATTGTTAGTAGAAAGTAAGAATAAGTTTCAGTTTGTACACAATATAATGTGCTGTGTCTCAAAAATGTCAGTTTATACCCTATGTTTGTTTTCTTCGTTTTTTACTAAAACCATATCAAACAAGTTAAATTTCTTGGTTTGATGCAATTAAGAACAAGAGCCTTACCATTAACGCGAAATAAGAAAATGAAGTATGCCTAAAAAATTAAAAGCACTCGAATCATCAAATTTACGAAAATGGAGTCTTACATTGATTCAAAGTGAAGTACCATTCTCTAGGAACGACTGGTCTTTTACAAAACATAAATGGTGAGGAATGGCTGGAATATATCTACTCGATTCAAATTGCTGTAATTCTTGTAGAAGTAATATATTTACTTTGGCTGGAAGAATTCGGAGGAAGCAGTCAAGGTGTGGGATGCTGAGGGGAAGAAAACAATCGATAAAAAGAGAAAAAGAAGAAGAAAGATAAAGACAAAATAATCAGTGGATATTGATTGACAAACCCAAACCAAATTAGCCCACTATAAGCACGCACGGGCCGTGTTTCTTAACCCAGCTTAGATTTACTGATACCGACCCAATTAATTAATAAGCCTAGTCCATTTTTCAGGCAGAACAATCTTTGGCCCAAACACATAAACCTTTCATTTAAAAATAAATAATAGTAGGGAGAAAATTTGCCATTGGAGAGGCCACAGCAGCAGTCTTTTTTTTTTCCAAAAAAAAAAAAAAAAATTAATAGAAGTTGCTGATGTAATAAAAATTACCAAGCGATTGAAGATTAAAAAAATACTGTTTGAACCTTCTATTTTATTCGGGAAGTATTGGTTTTGTTTTGTGGGTAAATGAGCATGCTCTTCACTTTTATTTATTAGATTTTGAGCTATTCAATCGTACCGAAGTTCATCCAAGTTGTGTATCCCATAAAACCAGTTCCAAGAGCGTCATGGAAGTGCTACTCTACTTCTATGGGTCATAGTAATAATGGATTGTTCAAGTGCCAGCATTATGGTGTCTTCCTCGCTCATCCCGTCCTTCGTATGGTACAAAACACTTTCTACGCAAAAGTTTTTTACTCGATCTGTCTCCCTGAATGAATTTTTACGCCTTTCTATACTTGTGTTTAATAGTTTCTCTGTGTCTATTTCATCATTGTTACAGATAACGACTACACGCCTTCAATTACATTTCTTTTAAGCCAGCGTTCTTTAGTTTTGTCTTCTTTAGTGTTTTGTTCCTTGTTTTTCTACCCACCCCAATTTATACATCATAACCTCCCCTCTCTCCTTTCTTTTCTTTTTTCTTTTTTTTTTTTTTGTATTTTTTTGCGTTTTTTTTCTGTAAAAAAAATAAAAAAGACGAAAACAAGAATTCACTGACCAGCGAGAGCCGAGCCGAGTAAATAGCCGAGGTTGGCGCTACCCGTAACCCGATAAGAACATACGCGCACTGGCACGTGCAAGGACAGTCCAAGCACGTAAGACTCTGACTAGAGAAAAGTAAAACCCCGAGTAAAATCTCTCTCTATGAAAAATTAAGAAATAAAATAGCGACAGGCAGCAAGAACTCGCGTATATAACCGCCCTCATCAATCACGCCCCACACTTCCGGCTTTTAACTCTCAGCAAAACTCAGAGCCCACAGAGAGTAAGAGAAACACATAACTCATACCCTCTATACCTTCATAATACCAGAGAGCAAGAGAGAGATTTTCTTTGTTCTTTTTTTCTTAAATTTTGTTGAGAGGTAGAGATATTAGGATTTTATTAATTGAAGAGAGTAAAAGAGTGTGCGTTGTGTAGCCATTAATGCTTCTCAGCAAAAAAGCGTGAGGGCGACCTTTCATTTTCCTTAACGATATTAAACTTCGACATACTTAGAGCGACGCCTAACTTGCAGTCTTGAGGAGTTCAAATGGACCTTAGTAAGGTAACGCTTGAGATCTTTTCCAAGCTGGAGCAAAAATGGCTTTCGCACTGTGAAAACTCTAAGAAAAAGCGAGTACTCAGCATTGATGGAGGTGGAACAACCGGCATTGTCGCAGGGGCGGCTCTTATACACCTGGAGGACCAGATCCGCCTCAAAATCGGTGATCCTCAGGCTCGAATCGCTGATTTCTTTGACATCATTGCCGGCACTGGCATTGGTGCCCTCCTGGCCGCCATGCTTGCTGCTGATGACGGCTTTGGCCGTCCTCTATTCACTGCCAGAGATGCAGTCGCATTTATAGCTGAGAACAACTCGGAGCTCTTCAAGGTCAAGCTCTCTGGATTCCTCCACCGACGCAGAAGATTCTCCGGCAAGACCATAGACAAGGCTTTGAAGGAAGCATTAAGCCGGGATGACGGAACGATCTTGACTTTGAAGGACACGTGTAAGCCTCTCCTTATTCCTTGCTTTGATCTCAACAGCTCTGCTCCTTTTGTTTTCTCCCGAGCGGATGCGTCCGAGACACCGAGTTTTAACTTCGATCTCTGGAAAGTCTGCCGCGCCACTCTAGCGACGCCAAGCCTCTTCAAGCCGTTCAACTTGACGTCGGTCGACGGCAAGACCTCTTGCTGTGCTATTGACGGTGGTGTAGTTATGAACAACCCTACGGCTGCGGCAGTTACTCATGTTCTTCACAACAAACGGGATTTTCCGTCGGTTAACGGAGTGGAGGATCTGCTGGTTCTGTCGTTAGGTAACGGTCCATTGAGTGGATCGTCAAGTAAGAGAAATCTCCGCCATAACGGCGAGTGCTCGACTTCGTCGGTTGTTGATATTGTGCTTGATGGTGTTTCGGAGACTGTAGACCAAATGTTGGGGAACGCTTTTTGTTGGAACCGTTCAGACTATGTCAGAATCCAGGTATGTGCAATTTTTTGCTTGCATTTCGAGGTTTGTTTGGTTGCTTAGAAAATTTAATTGTTTTTGGTGGGAAATCAATGTGTATTTTTCATCGCTAACGTTCACTTCCCTAGCCCACTTAAAAGAATTTCACATTTTTTTTTAATTTGCTTTTCCAATTTTTTTACAGAATAAAATTGTAACTTACGAATTGATTTTATCGGCAATTTACATCTTCTCCATAGCCAAACACAAATCTGGGTTTTACATTTCTGTTTATTTGGTATTGATTGACGGCGTGAAATGTGTGCAGGCAAATGGATTGACAAGCGGTGGACTTGTGGGCCCGAGAGTTGAAAACGAGGTGTTGAAGGAGAGAGGAGTTGAATCGTTGCCGTTTGGCGGGAAGCGGTTATTGACGGAGACCAATGCGGAAAGAATCGAGAGCTTCGTGCAACGTCTTGTTGCTTCAGGAAGGAGTAGCTTGCCTCCTAGTCCCTGCAAGGATTCCGCCGTTAGCCCTCTTGCCAACGGCCGTTAACTAGTTTTGCCCCCTCCTCTTGTAATAAATTTTTTTTTTAATCCTGTTTTAACCTTTTGTAACCAACCTCGGGTTTACTTAACCATATGTGTTTCGAGTTAAACAGGTAGTAGCTGATAATAACCTGTTCAGACTTCAGACCATTTCCTAACTTTCTACTGTCTATCTCTCAGAGTGGTTAAATAAATTGATTAGGTGTTCCTTTGACTGAGGACAAATTAATTAGTTACAAAGGCAATTAAAAAAAGTTGATTAAGGAAATGAATCATCATTATTAACCACGTCATTATGACCCTATTGCGTTTGTCTTTTATGTTGACATTTTGAAGCTGCTGCCCTTGCAATTATAAAATTAAAATGGATTTTTCCGTAGTTACAAAGGGAGAAAGTGATTTCTTGTGTAGACATATTCATACAAGGGAAATTTAGTCTTACAATCTGTATATTAAGGGGAAATTTGGTAAAATAATTTCCACAAAGTAATTATGAGGAGGTAATTTCGTCATGTTCTCTTTGATATGATATCTATAGATACTAATACGTTTCTTGTAGCACTGATTAATGTTCCCTTAGAACCCCACCGAAACGGAAAATGTTTTCTATAGTAACCTTTCGTATCTCTTTTCTTGATTTTATTGTTGCGAGTACACACAGTAGCATATACGAGGAAAAGGAATCAAAATTCTAGTGAATTTCTAATTCTAAACAGTAAAAATGGGTTTATGTAAGAATGAATCCTTCAAAATCAACTCTTTACTTTTCTCCAACTTCTTTATTTTTTTCCGACATTTATGATTTTTTATTTATTTATTAGACTCATGTTAGGTATAATTAATTAATTATCTTTACTCAGGGTTGATAATGACATTATGTAAAGACAAGATTTAGAGCTTAAACAAGATGTTGTTTTCAATTGCTGGAAACGGTCCAATGGTAGCTTCATTAGACAACCTGGTAGATGTGGACTTGGTTTTCCTGACAAGGGCTAACAAAATACTAGTTTCTCCTCTTTTTTTTTTTTTTTTTTTTTTTTTTTTGTTTTCCTGACAAGGGCTAAACAAAAATAGTTTCTCCTTTTTTTTTTTTTTTTTTTTTTTTTTTCTCACAGCAATTACTTTGGCTTTAATGGAAAATTTAGAGTAGGGAATTGGGGAATGCGAGGTGTTAGGGGACCGCAAACTCCAGTTTTAGCAATGACTTTATATGGAAGTAAACTTTCCTAGACAATGAAACATAAAGGGGGAGGGTAACGGGGACCTGAACCCTCTTTAGTAATTCTCTTATTCAATACCTATCTCTAATATGCATATAAATTTTTAAGGTTACAAAAATAATACATTAAACATTGCAACAAGACGTATATTAGTGTTTTTAATTGGACTCATAAGTTATAACATTTACTTAAAATAATTTTAAGATTTTTGTATTAATCATCAATGTCTTTTATTTTGAAAAATTCAACTTTCAATTACCTATTTCCTCCCCTTTTTCAATTACATATTGAAGATTTCAATTTTTTTTAAAAAAAAAAAAAAAATTCAAGTTTAATTCCGTATTCTTCATTTCCTTTTTTTCTTTATTCCTCCCCTTTGTGTAATTTAATTATTTCCCATGGGAGCATCGGACAGTGATAATGCAAAGCATTTTTGTTCATGTTGGTAAGATACTAGACATAATCATATGTACGTCACAAGAGACAAACCGATTCCCATACAGTTAATTATATATTCCTCAATTTGTTTGCTACAGTAATTAGGAGAATCCGAGAAATGAAAAGGGTTTAATCTAGTGTTTTTAGTTATATGATACATAAGACAGTACGATAATTTATCTGGGTAGTTCAATCATAATATCATTATTTAACTTGCCATTAATTACATGTTCTTTTTTAACTATGTAGTTGTTGTTCTCTTTAAATTGTTTTTGTAACGGTGGAATTCTTTTCTTACATTTGGATATCTTCAATGTCCCCTTATGTTCCCTGTACACTGAGCTTGGCTATTGAATGATGTTAATCCTTGTTAATTTGGGTTTTATTTACAATTATGTATTAAATAAGATATGGTCCTTATATAGTTGTTCCATTCAATAATTGATATTGGAATTGATATTTTGCATGTTTTTTATATATTTGATTGATTTATTAAATCATTTTAAATTTTAATTCAAATCGGATTTGAATGATGAAAAAAAAAAAAGATTTCTCTCTGTAACTTATATAATTTATGGGTCTTTTCATCACTAATAACATTGAACTATCAAGTCACGATTACTAAAACAGTTAATATTGTTAAAACCATGCGTGAATATTGATATATGTTGTATACATAAAATTGGTATGGTAAATGTATAAATAAATGAAAATAAATCTTTTTTTTTTTTTTTAAAGCAGCAAAAAGTTTTAAAACGGGTAAACGTAAACCGACCCGACCGTGGGGATCTCCTAATATTAGAGCTTGGCAGCTCCACCTCGAAGCCGGCTAGTGTTGTGGATGACTGTAGACTAGAGTGTGCATTTTGTCAATGCAAAACCACCTGAGTCCGACAAGATTGGGAGGTGAGTCAAGTCTCCACTCCAATCCATCAATATTGTTACCACTACTAATATAGCTTTTCCTTATTTAGTTTTCTGCGTGCGCAATTATTTTACTCCACTCTTCCTATAAACAGAAACCTTTTTTTTTTTTTTGTCCTATGCTAGGCGCAATTTTTTATTTTTTATTTAAAATAATTAACCCTGTTTAATATCCTTTGTTTTCAATAGCTTTTCCATTTAATAATCAATTTAAAGTATACAACTAATATTAATAAAAAATTTAAGAAAAATATATTATTTAGTGCAAAAATATAAACAAACTTATCTTATAAAAGAAAAATAAATGTAATTTTGAATCTAACGGTTGATAAAATTTCATCTTCTCAAAGAATTGTTAAATTTAACCTCATGGAGTTGAGATTATAAAATGCTACTAATTAATAACTGATGCCAAATTTTATTATTCAAGCTCTTGTATTTTACTGCTTTACCATCTTTAACATGTCTAATAAGCAGTTAACAAGGATTATACAGATTGTTTTATTAGCCTTACGATCTCTTTTAATGTCTTCTTAGGCTTTTCTTCTCCCATATTGCTTTCTTATCGATTCTTATTTTTAGGAGTTTTGTTTGTTTCTTTTCCTAAAGCAGATTCTCTGGTCCTTGCTCTCGGTTTCATCAAAGATCAAACATCAGAATCTGTCTTTGCCCTCAGGATTAGGGTTTTCCTCTACCACATCATATGATTAAACAATACTATATATTTTCCGTATTTCAAATTTTCTCTTTTCTTATTTTTATGGATAGACATTGATTTCCTAGTAAAGATACAGAGTACAAATTAAAAACGAAGTAAGGGGAGAAAGAGGAGCTGAGTGGGTGTGAGCCCTAGCGGCTGGTGGGCAAGCCGGGTAGGTAACTATGCAGTTTGATAACGACCACGTAATCTAATTAATTAGGATACAATAAATTTCTTGATTAGGACTAAAGTTAGCATCAGAATTTTAAGGAGTGGTGTAAGTTTGAAGTCATATATTTGGTGGGGTAGTCAATAACCCGCCATTGGATTAAGACCCAAGTTATGCTCCTAATTAAGATTTAACAGTCGTCACCGTTACCATCAAACCAACCATTGAGCCTTCTTTAAACCTTTTTTTATAATTTCCAAAACAAATTAATTAAGATTTTCTAAATAAATCATATTTAAAAATAATAATAAACCTTAGGATCAATAAAAGCATATACGGATTTTGATATTTGTGATTATATACGAGACGTACTAGTTTTTACCCCAAACCCAAAGTACTAGGGGTGTCCTCTAGTTATATGTCCAAAAGTACCGTAAGAATAAGGGCTCCACCCTACGAAACTTCCAACCACAAGTTTAGGAAACGTCATTAAGAGGTGGGTTTTAACTTTCTGACGAAATGGGCAAAGAGGACAGTCAGTAATAAAAGATTTACGCTATCCTTTCTCTGTTATCCTCTAAAAAGGACACTGAATTGGGTTGTTGTAAATAGGTTTTATTTAAATTTTCTTCGATACTTATTATTATTATTATCATTTTTCAATTAATATCGTAATATAGTATAGGTGTGGGACTCATTTATGATTTATCTATTGCTATAAATACATTACTGTCACAAATTTAATTCTGAATTTTTAAATAATCATCTTTTCTATTTTTTTATTTTTATTTTGCAGAGAATATTAGCTTTTTTTTTATCTATCCAATTGTGGGAAAATATGATTTTGTTTACAATTAAAATTAATTTTATAGTACCCCGAGAGGTGAGAGGGGATAACAATGATCCCTTCTCCCTTAACCAGAAGTCTTGAGTTTGAGTATGAGTATGAAGTCATTTTAAACGCTCAAAAGGAAGCGCTTTGCCTCCTTGTGGATTTGCCCGGCACGAATCTGAATTAATTAGACAACGAGTTTCAAACATCGGACGGTTAAAACCAACAAAAAAAAAAGTTTTGTAGTAGTAACTGAACTCCTTGCAATATTTAATCGACCAATTTATTTTTATATGTATTATTATAATTTTATGATCTTTTATATTATTTGATAAATATTTAGTTAATCATCCATTAGTCCATCAAATCCATATGTCTATTTCTCACGATTAAATCAATTAGAAGTGCATAATCTTTCTATTTGCTTAATTAATTCTTACAGCAACAACAGGTTCATATGCGAAATTTCTTAGTGGTTTCTAAAATATTTTTAATTTCCTACTAGCTACTAGAAAATATTATCATTATTATTTTATTTAATAAATAATTGTTGGCCTTTCTCCAATGCAATGTGCAAGTCGTGGATGCTTGACTCATTTAGTCAACGCTTTGTACTTAGTTCATCTCTCTATACTATACCAACTGCAAATCAACGCCAATTCACACACCATCCATTTCGCCATGTCCCCAGATCCATGCACACGTGTGCCTCTCCCTCTCTCTCTCTCTCTCTCTCTCTTAATTATGTGTGCATTAACAGCAACTCGCACCTTATACATTAAGATTTCTGATAAGATCTTGTCTCCTGATGATTCCTTTTCCCCAACTTGACTTATTTTTTCATTTTTGCCCCCCGTTTTTTTTTTTTATATTATAATACGCATTTAAGTAAGTATTAATTTCATGTTTTATTTAATAGCATGAGAAAAATATATTATTTGGCAATATATTTAATAAATAGTCGTTTTTAGAATTATAAAATTAAGACCGACATATGAATATACCATATGGTATGATAACTATTTTTTGTTCCTTTTGCAATGCAAATTGCAGATAAGATGCATGTCAGCTGTGATTTAAAAGGAAAAATGTAGGAGAGTTCGTTGTTTTACCCAGTTGAAGATAGCAGCACTGAAAAAGAAGCAATTACCAGAAAAAGAAAAGAGGTGAATTGATTGGCAAGAAGCAAGAGGACCTTTGCCTTTTTTTATGTTGGGGAATCTCTTGCTAGCTAAAATCCATATAAAATGTTATTAAAAAAATTTCAATATATAGTAAGTATTTTGTTTTCTTCTTATTAATGCACTGAAAGGGAGGGACAGAATGCTTTTTTTTTTTTTTTTTTTTTTTTTTAGAAAGTTTGCAGGAGGGCATTATATATTGCAGGTCACGAGATCCTAAGAATAAGATAAGTACTGTATTTTTTTTTTTTTTTTTTTTTTTTTTAAATATAAAAGTTTGCAGGAGGGCATTAATTTGCAAGGTCACGAGATTCCATAAGAATAAGATAAGTACTGTATAAAAAACGAGAAGAAAAACAAATGAAGGCCAGATTTTATTTTTCCTTAATTCTTCAAACTATACATATATAATATTATTACACATTTTACTAAGACATGTTTGAATTCAATAGATTATTTGTACAAGTCATAAATTTAATTCATAAGAAAATATTTACGGCAAAAAATGGTTATAATCCCGAAATAATATTAACTTTTAATTATGGTAAAGTAAAAGTAATAACAAGAAATTCAATTTGTAATTATTAAAATATTGGCATTAAGCTTAAGCTAAAATAAATGAGATATACGAATTTTCAATTCCTATGCATTCACATAAGGTTGCAAAAGCTATGAGATAATATAACATACAGTAGAAATTTCCATTAGAAATTGGTAAATAATTTTTACGTGTGTGTAATTTAAAAATATTTTTATCTCGAAAATAGCATTTCAACATGTTATTCTATTCATCGGATCTTGAAATTGCTGAAAGAGAAGATTTATAGGAAGAAGATGGTTAAGGTGTTGAATACCATGTTTTGGGTTTTACGTTGTATGTGCTGTGTCCTAAGATTATCGCAGACAGACACACACTTGGCATACATGCAAGGCGAGCCAATATGGAATTCTATGCTTCTCACGTGCAATATCACAGATATATGATTTTCTATTTCTGTTTCCTTTTCTTTAAGATATTTTTCATTTATTTTAAGAAATCATAAGATTAAGAAGTGAATTTCGTATTAATTAGTATTAATATAAGTTAATTAATTTTATCCAAGATAAATATCAAAATTTGTCCAGTTATAAATTGTTTTGCATGTCACACGTAATTAAACTTTAATACATATAATGCTTTTCTTTATGGAATGACCAGATTTTATAATTGAACAATTCACTGATTTCCTTTATATTTTTTTCTTTTTTCCTTTTTTTTAATGTTGCCCTTGTAACATTCTTTAATTTTTCTTTTCAAGGTTCTCTATTTTTCTTCAACATTAATTTTAATAATTAGCTAGGATGCTCATGTTTCATGTTGTCTTATCATGTAATTAAACTGGACACATAAAATATTCGATTATATTTCTTTTTTTTCAGAAAAAAACTATTATAATGAAATATTTAATATCTAATTGAAAATAAAATAAAAATCTCTATTAAAAAAATATTTTATTATGGAATATCACTTTTTTTTTTTTACTAAACAAAAAAGTATCATCGGTCTATTGATCTCAGATATGTCCACTTCACCTAAAAGAGAATAGTACTAAACTACTCATCCTAACATCAGTAGATAAATATCACTTTAGCAAAACATTGATAACAAAACAAGTTTTATGAGAACTATTGTTCTAGACTTGACAAAAGGAAATAAAAAAAATCTTTATTTTACAATACATAACAAAATATAAAGAAAACAAATTAAGGATTATTATTTATCATAGGAAAGCATCTTGAAACAAGATACACATACCTAACATTTGTATTAAAATAACTAATTATTAGGATTAAGCTAAGCTTGCTCATATAAAGAATCAAATCACGTTTTAATGAAAACAAATTATAAAATTGGATTTCTTGCATTTGCTTTCTCGTGGGTCACATGGATATTTTTATTTATTGGCTACGACGAAGGAAACAACCTACAAGCTAACATAACACAGTGTCCATCCAAGTGCACCACTGGTGTGAGTCACTCAAGAGTACAATGTCACGTGGCTAGCTAGCTCTACTAAATAATATATTTGCATGGGAGTTAAATTTTTTAAAGCTCGTGAAAACTGAGAAAAGATACCTTTATTATTATTTAAAGACAAACAAGCACCTGGCTGGCTTTAGTAGATTTGATTGACTTTTTTGTCGTTTATGTGTTTGTGTGATAAAAAGGAAATAAAAAATAAAAAATAAAAAGACAAAAGAAGATGCAGCCAAGAAACTGGACTGAGAATAGTGAAGACTGAGGAAGACAAGACTCTTGAGCAGTTAAAAATGGCTGCAAATGCGCTGGTAAAGGAATCTATCTAAAAGAAATGCCAAGGGAACCTTCTTTTGCCTTTTCAACTTGTCTCACCGCCGACAACTGAGCCAACCCCCGTACTATTACTTTGTACAAATACTGTATTTATATTATTAATACTTTTAGTCTACTTTTGGAGATTTACCTTTCTTCTTGGGCCCATGGGCTTTGTTTTTAAATTCATTGAATTTTGTATCCAACTTAATAACATAACGGGCTATACAGTAAAAATAACCTTTTTTTTAAGGTATTAAATTAATAAAAACAACTATATGATCGAGAGAAGTCGAACTCAAAATTTCAACTCTTCAGATAAGTGAAAAAACTAACCAGATTATCACATAATTAGCTATTATTTAACAATCTTTTAGAGTATTAGAAATTTAAGATATAATATTGAATAGAAGAGAGAGTTATTCTCTAATGTATAGTCTACAATGGTGTTGTAGTCCACCTGAGTCTCTAGTGAAAAAATAAAAAAAAATTAATAAAATACCATTTCTGAACAGGTGAAGTTTGTAATGAGACTTGATAGTGTTTTGTACCCAAAAATTCTAAAGTAGAGGATTAGACTTGATAATCGGTTTTTAACCCATGTAAATAGCTCATCCATTCTTTTGCCAGCTTTATAGGAATTCTGGCCCAAAGCCCAAAGCTTCTCATGGGCCTTTGGACCCTGTTGTAGTTGGTTCGTTTTCAAGATTCTAACAGTTCTAACACTTAAAACTAACTGTTATTAATATAGTCTAAATATTGATTTTAATTGTTAATGTATTTTCTTATCAAGCATTTTACATATATATATTATTTTACAAGGTAATGTTGGTTCGTTCTTAATGTCTTATTTTTGTTTCAATATATATATATATATATAATAAATTTAAAAGATTTTCTTAAAAAAAAAAATTTGTATTGTTAATTTTTTTTTTCGAAAGGTGCATTGTTAAATTGTTGAAAATTTCAAAGTGAAGCGCTAAAAATTAATAAAGTTAAAAAAAATCATTAACCAAAACATGCTTTTAAAAACATAAGAATATAACTAAATTTATATGTATCACTCGTGATATATAATGAATAAAATTAAAAAGAAACTATTGTTTAATTCCTGGTATAGTTTGATAAGTAGTCTGATAGAGATCTTAACAAAACTGCAATTAATTAATTACCTAGAGCAGCGAGTTATGTATAATATTTTTTTCAGAATAAACGTTTTAACGAAAAAAACATACTAAGTGATAGGGATGAATTAATAAAACTTTTAAGAATATTTATAATACATTTCAAATTATAACAGATTATATATACATTTGTGGTAAGAATTTTAGTTATGAATGTGGATTTTGGTAATTAAGGACTCTTGATGATTCTCTTGACTAGGCTTTATTTTATTCAAACGGATACAAACACTGTTCAAACTTAATTGATTGCTCCGACTTTAATATTGCTCGGTCCTTAGGTTTGTTTTAAACAAATTAACAATCTGTTCCTATCACTAAAAAATATTTTTTTCAATATATTTCATCGTACGGTAAGTTTCTGCTCTTGCCACAATTGTCCAATTGAGTCAAAAAATGATTTTATTTGCACAGTTATAGACACAGAGTTATCTTGCCAAAAACCCAAATAAAACTCCATCAGTAGCCGTCAATTTCACCACCGTTATATCCACAATCTGAGAATTATTTGGTGACAAAGGAAAAAGACAAGGGTATTTCAGTCTTTTTATTAATTTAGCAGAAAAAATTGAAAATATTAACAGATGAACAGAATAATTAAACAAAATTAAAATATAGGAATAAAATAATATATTTTAAAACTATAGGGGCAGAATAATCAATTTTGACATAATATGGGCTCGTTCCGTAATTTTCCCTATGTTATTCCATTTCCCACAGAGTAAATGGCGCGTACGCTTTTGAATTTTGTAACTGGAGAAGGCGGGAGCACACAAATAGTAAAATTGGAAGGAAACTGAATGGCGGGTCTTTCCTACATAAAACCAAATAAAAAACAAAAATAAAAACCCCATTTTTATCGATTTAATTAACCCACATTCCTCCTTCCTCCATTCACACAGGACATCTTTCCTAAATTACCCTCTCTCTCTCCATCTACCTCCATCTCCATCCACACCTCTCTCCATGGATCACCAAACAATCACCGCAAGAAGGAGCTTGAAGCGGAAGCTCGAGCCAGAATTCCACGAAGATAGCGATCATCGCAAAGTTCCAGCAACCGACGCTGAGGAGACTCGTCAAGATCTGGCATGTGATATTCAAGCCCAAGTTGACATACTTAACTCAAGCTTCTCTTCTCTCGAAGCCGATCGTGCAGCTGCCAAGCGCGCTGCTAACTTCCTCTCTCAGCTCGCAAAGAACGGTAAAAGTTCTGTTTCTTATATGTTCCTGCGATGTAGTAATTCATTCTTAATTACTAGCTTATGCCTGCACGTGTAATTTGTGTGTGAATTCTCTGTTGAGATCTATAAAGAAAGGTCTTAGTGTTACTTGTTGCTTTCTATTTATTTTCGTTGTGCCTGATTGATTATGCAGTGGTTTAATTAAATGATTATTATGTTTTTGGTCTTTGTGTTTCTTTTAATGATTTAGGGTTTAATAGGTTCTTCTTAACTTGCCTTTCTGCAGAGGAAATAGTGAATTTGATCGTGGACTGTGGTGCTGTGCCTGCGCTGGTGATGCATCTTCAGGCGCCACCGCCTTTAAGAGGTGAAAGTAGTTCAAAAGCGTACGAGCATGAGGTGGAAAGAGGCAGTGCTTTCGCTCTTGGACTTCTTGCAGTGAAAGTAATTGAACATATTGCATTTTGCGTTTATTTCCTTTTAATTCTTTTGATTGGTTGCGGCATAATCTGTACAATTGTTGTTATACCTTTGCCTATAGTTGATTTTTGGTTCTTTCGAGTATCTTGTCATCTATCCTGTTGGTTAATTGCATTATAAAGCTTAATATAAAATGTTTACAACTTAGTTTAATAAATTCATCAATTATTTAAAGTTGTACCCACAATTGTTGTGGAGTTTATCCTTTGAATTGCTAGAGTGGTTTTAACAAAATTTATAAAAGGATGGAATTGTATTGATATCTACGTTATAATTGGGATTCTATGCTTGTTATGGACATCAGGGGGTTGGACTTTAGGTGTCTTGTAAATTGTCTGTGATATTTATGGCTGGACTTGGATAAATATGTAATACCTGAGAGTGTGCTGGTCAATCAATAGTTTCAACTCTTATGTTGAATTTGGGCATTGATTGCTTTGGCTGAATTAGAGGCAAGATGAGGTAGACGCTAAGGCTTGTTGACTGGGAAATTTGGTTGTTGCACATTTAATTTTGACTTAATATAGTTTCTCATCGCAATTTGTTCCATTTGTTTCTCTGCATCTGCCGTCAGATCTTTCCATGATTGATTATTCCAATCATTTTTAGTCTATTTTCATATTTTATTGGTTAGATCTCTCATGAGTAACTATCACAACAATTGGTTTCCATGCTTTTCTGATTTGTTGGCTCACCTCTTTTGTTTAACCTCATGACCTAGTTCACAAATTTGCCTTGGTTCTTTCTTAAGTTTCTATTCTATCTCCAACTTTTCATGGTTGAACCTTATTAATAATACTAACTTATTTTATGGTTGAACCTTATTAATGATAGTAACTTAACCTACAGCTATGCATACGTTAAATTTTTTCTACTTAGCCCCTAATTTTATGGTCTCTCTCTCTTTTCTATTCTTTCTAATAGCCCGAGCATCAACAACTCATAGTAGATGAAGGGGCTTTACCCCATCTTGCGGACTTGTTGAAGAGGCATAAAACTAGTGGTAATTCTCGAGCAGTCAATGGTGTCATCAGGAGAGCAGCTGATGCAATCACTAACCTTGCTCATGAGAATAATGCCATTAAAACATGTGTCAGGTTTGCTTCCTTTTTTTTTTTTTTTTTTTTTTTTTGTCATTAAAATCTTATGTGCTGTTTATAATCTCTTTATATATATTTATAATATATCCAGGATTATATCATACAACCATTTTTTTAAAATTGGCTTGAGTTTGTTAGTGTAAATAAGAAAGCACTCTGCCTTAACCCCATTTCATTCAAATGATAGAAAACAAGTCAGATATAGATAAGTTTTTTATTAGGCTTTTTATTTTCACTAAAATTCTATTATTATAATAGAAGTTTTGTTTTTCCTTTTTTTTTTTTTTTTGTCATTAATCTTATGCTGTTATAATCTCCTTTATAATATTGTGGATAATATATCCAGGATTGAAGGTGGCATACCACCTCTTGTTGAATTGCTTGAGTTTGTTGATGTAAAGGTACAGAGAGCAGCTGCTGGGGCCTTACGGACCCTTGCATTCAAAAATGATGAAAACAAAAGTCAGGTAGATGAGTTTTTTCAGGCTTTTTTTTTTCACAAATGTCTATTGGGATAAAGGAAAGGTTGGGGTGGGGTGTTGTGCCTTATGTCAGCAATTCTGTTGTTATGAAAAGCTAATTAATAATTTGCAGATTGTAGAATGCAATGCTTTACCCACTCTTATTCTGATGCTCCAATCAGAGGATACTACCATACATTATGAAGCGGTTGGTTCAATTAAAATTTTTGGTAGATATTCTTTTGTTTGCATTGTGGAATTAGCCATTAGCTGACTTTGCAAGAGGTTTTCAGGTTGGTGTGATTGGAAATCTTGTTCACTCGTCTCCAAATATAAAGAAAGAAGTTCTTCTTGCTGGAGCTTTACAACCTGTAATTGGATTGCTTAGGTAGGAACGAACCCTTCATCCTTGTCCATTATGTTTAGAGAATCATGTTTTACAATTCTCCCTTTCAATATGCTGTAATTGCCCATTATAAGCATTTTGATCTCTTCCTTCCTTATAGTAGTGATGTGCCACTAATCAAATTAGTTTGACAGCTCCTGCTGTTCAGAGAGCCAAAGAGAAGCAGCTTTGCTATTGGGTCAATTTGCTGCTGCTGATTCAGATTGCAAGGTAAACCCGAACCTCATTTATGATTTTAAGGCTTAAACCATGAAACTCTCATTTGTACAGAAGGGGTGCAACATAGTTACTGGTGCTTGCTTCTAGAAATGCATTGCATTCAAACATGCATTATTTATCTTGTTATTTTTTTTGGGGATGGGAAGGGAGTCGGATTGTGCCAGTGTTTTTCTTTTTAATTGTCACAACAATGAGGTTCATGATGTAGGTGCATATAGTTCAAAGAGGAGCTGTCCGACCCTTAATTGATATGCTCGAGTCTGAAGATGTGCAGCTTAAAGAGATGTCAGCCTTTGCACTTGGGAGGTTGGCACAGGTTATTATATCTTTGACCTATTGCCTGGCCATGTTTTACCATGACACACGCATGTGCATGAGTTTCTCCTTTTGTGAGACAGAGAGGGCAGTGATTGGAATAGAATCGGTAGCTGAATCATATGGTCTAGGCATTTATCTGTTCTTCTATATTCTAAAGAAATTGTTGGGCATATCATATACATGGTTTTTATTTTTTAATGTTTCAAGAAAAAGGTTAATGTTAACATGTTTTACTTGCATAAATTTAATGTAGCATGTAACAAACAAAATAAGTGCACCATTCTACTGTATTGGTATTACTATTATAACATCTAAGTTCATAATATTTATCATTTACGGAAATGGTTTTCTATACCTTTTCTCACCCACAATTATTGGTTCCATCTTCTGAAATTTTAAAAAATTTTGCTCCTGTTTATTAACTTTTTTATCTTTACAATTTTTTTTCTAAATCCTTGCTTCTTTCTAAATTTAGGAGACACACAACCAAGCTGGCATTGCCCATAGTGGTGGCATAGTGCCTTTACTTAAGCTTCTTGAGTCAAAGAATGGAACTTTGCAACATAATGCTGCTTTTGCTCTGTATGGCATTGCAGATAATGAGGTATGGCTTATTTTGTTGCTTCATTGCCTATTTTCTTTTGTATTCCAGTTAGTAATTTACTCAAATGCAATGTACCGAAATTTTTCCTGGATTTATCAACAGGACAATGTTGCTGAGCTTGTCAAGGTTGGAGGTGTTCAGAAACTCCAGGATGGAGAATTCATTGCTCAAGTATGTTTATTTGACTTGCAGTGGCTACTTTTTGGTGCTTGACTGACTTATCTGATTGTTCAATTGATTGATGATTTGGAAGATTGTTGCTGTCTTCCTGTCTCTGATTATGTTCATTCTGGTAAAAATTGATAACTTATTTTATTGTTATAATGTGGTACTTGCAGCCAACAAAGGATTGCATTGCAAAAACACTGAAAAGACTAGAAGAGAAGATTCATGGGCGAGTGAGTTGTTTAACTGGCATCTTTGCCCATCCTGTATCTTGATTATCAATTTTGTGTATCTTTCTGAATTGTCAGTTAGGATTATTGATTGAGAAATTGGTTATTGGGTGTAAAGATATAATGATTCCCTTATACCGTTTTTCTACAGGTATTGAACCATCTCTTATATTTGATGCGGGTTGCAGAGAAAGCTATTCAGAGACGAATTGCTTTGACTCTTGCTCATCTATGTGCTCCTGATGATCGAAAGGCCATTTTTCTTGATAATAATGGTAGAAGTTTTGCATCTGCTGATTCTTATTGTTATTGCGTTTGTTTCTTCAGCAGATACATTCATATGGGATTTTCCTGCAGGATTAGATTTGCTGTTGGGGCTTCTTGAATCTGGAAATCAGAAGCAGCAACATTACAGCGCAGTGGCTTTGTACAAGTTGGCTACCAAAACCACTTCATTTTCTCCTGTAGATTCTGCTCCTCTATCACCAACCCCGCAGGTGAATTCCTTTTATTTTTTCCTTTTGTGCATATGTAATCCTTCATTTTCTTTTTCTTAGAAATCTTTGGGCCATAGAATTTTGATGTTATACCTTTCTAGTCAGATGGTGGTGCACTAAATTAAAGTGTCTGCTAGGTGATTGTTATTGAGGCCAACTATTAGTCTCTTGGTCAAGGAGTGTTGAATATTAATCATGATGATAGTCTTGGTTTGGCAGCCATCAATTCATCTATTGTGTTTAAGCATTTAGTGAGGGCAAAGACAGCAATTGAAAGAGTTATTATTTTCATTGCAGGTATATTTGGGTGAGCAGTATGTTAACAATCCTACACTGTCAGATGTTACATTCTTAGTTGAAGGTAAGAAATAATGTTGCATATATAATTTTGTAATACTTTATGTCATGACATGTTCTGTTACTTTTATTGATGAAATCATTGTTATAAAGTGCTTGATCATAATGCTTTTTTGCCAGGTCAACGGTTTTATGCACATAGAATTTGTCTGCTTGCTTCTTCAGATGCTTTCCGAGCAATGTTTGATGGGGGTTACAGGGTGAGAATTTATTATTATTTTAAAAGCTCACTTTTGGTGTATGCTTTGTTATGAATTTGTAAGTTTATTCTTGTAACAGCCTCGGCCTAAGTGCCCTGAGTATCTTCGCAAAAAACTTGCCTCAAAATTGCTAGCCTAAGTTACTTATATTTGTAACTCTCTCTATTCCCCCCGCTAATATGGGACTTTTGAGCCAAGCTATTCAAGCTTTTATGGAGCATTGTGGTTTTTCCATCATTGCTCTTTGGCAATCTGATCCCTAAGAAATGAATAGAGAGGAGTAGGAGCTCTAATCAGAGTTACTCAATTGCTATTAACAGATGTTGCTTTAGCTGATCTGGTGCAATTCTCGCACCCTTGTTTAATGTTTTCTTGAACACCAGATAAAAGGAATTAGCTGTTGTAAGTGAAAATGGTTTAGAATCTCTGATTTATTACTCATGAAAAAAGGAAAATGAAATTGCAGGAGAGGGATGCAAAAGATGTAGAGATTCCAAATATTAGATGGGATGTCTTCGAGTTAATGATGAGGTGCGAACTGTTGACTTTCTTTCTTAGGTATAAAAGATAATTTGCAATCTGCTTTCTGATAATCTATTGGTTTGTGCTGTGCCTTTAGGTTCATTTATACAGGATCTGTAGACGTTGATATTGATATTGCACAGGATCTTCTTAGAGCTGCTGATCAATATCTTTTGGAGGGCCTTAAGCGTCGATGCGAATATACCATTGCACAGGTTTGCTACGGTTGATAATTTCTTTTTTAATTACACTTTCAACAAATTAAAGTAACTCTGATGAATTCTTGTCTCATGTCAAGGATATTTCTGTGGAAAATGTTTCGCTTATGTACGAGTTGTCAGAAGGCTTTAATGCTACATCACTGAGGGAAGCTTGCATACTGTTTATATTTGAGCAATTCGATAAATTGAGCTCCAAGCCGTGGTATGTTATTTCCTTAGTTCTCTTAATTATCTTTTATCACCTTCCGTTTAATTTTCTCTTGAATTTGATTTCGGTGACTGTAAATTTACTACTGAGAATTTGCAGGTGTTGTCAATTGATCCAACACATTATGCCTGAGATACCAAATTACTTTACAAAAGCACTTACCAGAAACAATGAAGCTAACATGAGGTAGCTGTAGATGATTCACCTGGGTTTTGATCTTCAACTAACTGCTAAGATGGTAGCAAAAGATGTACAGAAATTGTAGACTTGAGCTAGGGCAGCTAATCCAACTGGCAAGAGTAACCATGCCAAGCTAATTCAAAAGGCAAGAATAACTATGCCAAGATAATTCAAATAGCTAGAGTAGCCATGCCAAGATAATTCAAAAGGCACAATTTTTTCTTACAACCGACCGACGCTTGATCACCACATTGGGCCTGTGTCTCATTTTGATATGATATTGGGATTAATAGACGTACTTGCTGTAAATTCTAGAAAGCACTCTTTTTCTTATTATGGTTGCAATTGTTTTCATTTGATGGAAGGACCATGATTCAATCTGTAATTATGATTAACATTACCCATTACGCAATATTTATATATTTAAGAATTTAGCCTATTTTGTGAAAAATCTATATAGATGGCTGGTTTATGTGTGAACTGTGAAGTGAGCTTGCCGCAAAATTGAAATTTGTTTACCCATTTGGATGAAGTGACTTTTAATTTTTCTTTTAATTTTTTTTTTTAATATAGCGCATTACAATAAAACAAATAAGGATTTTGATATTAGTAAAATATTTACCTATTAAATGACAATTATCACTTTTTATTATTGTTTTATTTTTTTAATGAAAAGAAATTAATGCTCTTGTTTGTATCAATTTTTATTATTATTACTAAGTTTGCCGGTTGAGTTGTTTTGACTAGCAAACTAAGATTGAAGCAGGTTTTTGGGGGCTCATTTATTATTTACATTCCGTCTATAATTCGATTTTGTAAATCAAATAATGAAAAATAAATTTTTATTGAAATAATAATATTTTTAATTAGACACTAAAAAAAAATAAAGTAGTAATAATTTTTTTAAAAAAATAAATATTTTTATTAGTTTGATTCTCAAACGGTACTATAAATCACTGCATGCAAGTCTAATCCGGTCTTCCAAGGTAAGCTACAGTGAGAGAAAGGTCGAAGTCTCGAAGCAGATTAGTTGTAACGTTACCCTAATCCCGCTCCCACGTCCCAACCGACACAATGGGCCGGAAAAATAGTTTTATCATGTTCTCTTAAGTTGGGCTAACCGGATAGAATATAACGGGCCGGTACGCTTTATGTTATCATACGGTCAAGAATGCATTTGTGTCCAAGGCGAAAGAAACCGAAGAATCGAAGATTAACTAGTCATTTTTTCTTCATCTTCTACTCCCAGTTTGTTTGCATGCTCCGCTGGAAAAGGAAAGATGGGGGTGCAGATTCTTGGGCTTTGGTCGCGCACTCCTAGCTTGTGGGTTCACTTACCTGAAACGCGAAGCAAGCCTGTTCACTTACTACCAACTACAGCTCTTCCAACTACTGCTTCTCTCTCGTCCTCACCTCCCACCATTCAGGCAAGAATACAAGAGGAAACAATATGCTAATATGTTTAGTTATTCCTCTGTTTTTCCTTCTATATGCTTTTGCTTAGTATTTCAATTCTTGATTGGAAATTGCCTGCAAAAATAAAATTTAAGCTTGTAATCGGAAAGAAAATATTTCAGGTTGTTGGTGGAAAAAATCCGACTTGGTACGGAAATGGAAATGCCAATTCCAACACTACCCTTGATGGTTTTGCTGACGAGACTGATTGGATTGATCTTGATAGCGAGCTTTGTTATTGGACCAAATCACTGCGTCCTGTTCAGGTTTCAATTGCGTTTCTTTTTCACTTCCATTGGTTTTTTTGAAGGTGTTCGTTAGATGATTTATTATTATTATTATTATTATTATTATTATTTGCAATTTGAGTGACTTTAAATTCTCGTTGGGTGGTGGAAACCATGCAGTGGTATCCTGGTCATATTGCAAAGACAGAAAAAGAACTTAAAGAGCAGCTTAAGTTAATGGATGTTGTGATAGAAGTGCGAGATGCTAGAATTCCTCTGTCTACAACCCATCCACAGGTTAATTTCCAATTATATGAATGCTTACAAATCAAATGCCATTAGATTTTATGTGTGTTTTTATGCATGCCTGGGTGATTGCTTCTGCTTCCATTGTGCAATTCCTCCTCCCCCTCCCCCCCCCCCCCCCCATGAATGCTTACAAAATCAAAGCATGCCATTCAGATTTTATGTGTGTTTTTATGCATGCCTGGGGTGATTGCTTCTGCTTCCATTGTGCAATTCCTCCTCACCCTCCCCCCCCCCTTTTCTCTTAATTTCAGTCTCTACGTAATACCTTTGCCAAAAAAACCAAATCTCATAGCAAGAAATCATGTTGTCTAATGCAATGCAGATAGTTATCTCCTCTCTTTGCCTCTTGATATTTAAAATTTTACTTGGCTATACTGTTACCCCTCCCCCCCCCCCCCCCCCCCCTTTTCTCTTAATTTCAGTCTCTACGTATACTTGCCAAAAAAACCAAATCCTCATAGCAGAAATCATGTTGTCTGATGCAATGCCAGATAGTTTATCTCCCTCCTTTGCTCTTGATATTTAAAATTTTACTTGCTACTGTTACCCTTGAGATTGAGAGTCCTTTTTTGGCATTGCTTTGTTCTTCCTTTATCGATACACAGATGGATTCCTGGCTTGGAAATAGGAAAAGAATTTTAGTTTTGAATAGAGAAGATATGATATCCAAGGCAGACAGGAATGCGTGGGCAAATTATTTTGCAAGGCAGGGCATAAAGCCTGTCTTTTCCAATGGACAACTTGGAATGGTAACTAAAGGAGTGACTCTCTTGTTACTTCCTTTATATTGAACATCATTATGTAAAATAATTTTTAACGTGGAAAAAATACAGGGTACTATGAAGCTAAGCCGGTTGGCAAAGGCATTGGCTGCAAGTGTAAATGTCAAAAGAAGAGCCAAAGGACTCCTTCCTCGTCCAGTGGGTTTCAAAATCTGTACAGAAATTGAAGCCATCAAAGTCACCTTTAGACAACTTTGTTTGATAAAATCTCCTTTTTTGCGTAGGTTCGAGCTGGAATAGTTGGATACCCAAATGTTGGGAAATCATCTCTAATCAACCGTTTGCTGAAGCGTCGAATGTGTGAAGCAGCCTCCAGGCCTGGAGTTACTAGAGAACTGAAGTATGCATTTACTTAATTTTCTCCACTGTCTTGGAAGATGTGAAATTGGGAAGTGAAATTACAGTAATTTAAGTGATGCATATTTATTGGGTGTCTTTGTTTGCAAGATGGGTTCAATTTGGGAAAGAACTAGAGTTGCTAGACTCTCCTGGCATGCTTCCAATGCGGATTAGTGATCAATCAGCAGCTATAAAGCTTGCTATCTGTGATGATATTGGGGAGAGATCCTATGATGTGGTTGATGTAGCAGCAATTCTTGTACAGATTTTGACAAGGATCCCATCAGTTGGTATGTCTATTGTTTATTCTGCAATTCATTGCCTATCAGACATGAGCTTATTTAATTTTAACTTTGGACCCTTGCCAGGTGTGAAAGCTCTTCAGAATCGCTACAAGATTGATGTAGATGGGCATAATGGTAGAATGTATGTATTACTATCTACTTGGAATATGGACTGACTGACTAAAAACAGTATCAAACGCTCAAAAAGTGAAATCAAGTTTCTGCCACTTTTTTTAAGGCATAGAGGAGTACAATCAGGAATGCCCCTATTGTTTCTAGAAAGTAGTATTATTGGGAAAACTAAGTTTTGGGTTTTGTTTTGGCGTAAACATTGACCTCTATCTTTTATTGCCATAAGCAATAATGTTTTATGCGCATAATCAAACATTCAATTTCACAAAAATCCCTAATTGATTTCATTGCTGTTAATCTTTTGATGCAGATTTGTACAGAAACTCGCAGTTCACTTATTCAATGGGGACACCCATCAAGCAGCTTTCCGCATTTTGACTGATTTTCGGAAAGGGAAGTTCGGTTGGGTGGCACTGGAGAGGCCTCCCAGGTGATATTGATAGCTTTGAAGTGAATGTCTGTATTTCTAAGGTTCCCCCCTTGGATCCTGATGCCGCGAGATTGCCTGGTGGTGTCTCATGCAAAATATGTTGATCTTGGCATGTTGCAGTGCCATAAGAGGAGGGAGAAAGCTTCTGCCTGTTGGCTATTGTAATCTTTTGAAGGAAACGTGGGAGATAAAACTGTAAAATCTGGATGGACGAAAACACATCAGGTGAATATGAGATTGAAGCTTTGTACCACGTTTTGGTAGTATATTAGGTCCTCTGTTCCTTATCCCCTGTGAAGTTGCCGCAAAAATTGTTAAAATATTTTGTAATTATCAAGTAGTATATCAAATGGTTGTAAATCTTACCCCTCATGAAAAGGCTTGTCAACTATTTCTTGCATCACAATGAAACATGTATTTTTTTTCCTGTTTTTAGACATCAATTCAAAGAAGCCAATGATTTGAGCATGGCTATATCTCAGAAATGTGCAAGTTTAGATTATGTTTTAATCACAATTTATTAGACTGAAGAAAATTTACATGAATAGTACTCACAGCATCTTAATCACACCTTTTTTAAGTTAATTCGGCTCCTGCGACCGAGGTTGAGCTGCATCTGGCTTTGATTCAAGCTAGATGTTAAGTATCCCAATTACAACATATTTCCTCATCAAGACGATTCAATTGAGACCATACAATCCCTTTTACCATCACACTTCAAAAATTGCAGAGGGTGTGTGTGTGTGTGTGTGTGTAGCAGAAGAAGTGAGGGCTAAAGGAAAGGCAATGAAGCTTTAACTGAAATACAGGAACTAAAGCAATCAATCATATAGTCATAATGCTTTTTACTATACATATACGAATGTTTTCATGAATCGTGAAGGAAAAACAAACCTCTGAGGGGCAAAGCTGTAAGAGAAAAGGACCTAAAAGAAAATTTTAAAGCTAAATATTGAAAAAATGGGACAACATTTACCAATGAATGACAATCGCAGTGCAAACAAGTAAGTTTGCCTTGTGTCCAATATTCAAACTAACGTGAATGGAATATAATTCCAATACCCAGAATTTCTAACTCTACAACATGCGAAGGGACGCAGGATTACAAATGATACAGTGACCTGATTTGGGGTCTTCATCTCGCAATTGTGGGAGCACAAGTGGTTGAATCATCTTTGTTTGACCAACTTTCTTTAATTCTGCATGCTTGGATTGGCCGTTCAATCTGCAGCCCTTCAGCAGCTTCTTTTTCCAACTGACAACAGTATCTCCCAAATGTGTTGAGATTTACATGAAGTCTAAAATCTATACTAAATAAGAACTTCATCTCCAACCGATTCAACTCCGCTGTGCTTACTCCTCCCACTTTGGCATAGTATGCATTGTTGAAGAATCTGAAACATAACAGATTTTCAAGAATTATAGAGCTAAATATACATTTGCAGGTTGTCTAATGGTTTTTCTACCAGATTACAGAAAAATATTAGGACATATCAAGCTTCATGATCATTATCTAGTATAATGGAGTTATCCACCTATCCTTAAGAACTTCATTTGTGAGACCACCCTTAAAGCATAAAGTTTGCAAAAACAACGTAAGTTTCATGCTTATTGGCTCATTTTAATCAAGCTAGTTGCACTCAGTGTACATGAATTTGCTTATATAAATACAAATCAATATTTGAAAATTGGTACTTACGCATCATCAATGAACTTTGCAGCGATCATTAAACTTGTCATTAGGAGCCGGTGGACATTAAGGGAAGTTACATGAACATGTGTACTTTGTATAAATCTATCCACATAAATGTGTGCCACAACGAAGCACGATGGGCTGCAGGCAGAGTACTTGAAGATGCGATCAATATACTGCTGAATACTTACAGCTGGTGCTCTTAAGCCATGAAATACTGTAATAGAATCTTTGATCTGTGATGTCTCCATTAGCATCTCATTTTTGTGAACCAATCTCTCAAGAAATGAAGAAAGAAGGGTTAAAACCCGGGGAGTTCCCAAAACTCCTTTCCGCAGTTCCTTAAGCCCCAAAGTTAGGTACACATCCGAGTCTACATTCCCAGTATCAAGTGTCAATGTTCCCATATCTAAGCTACACTGCATTAATTAACACCTATAAGCTCATCATTATTAGAACACACCAATGGCATTCTAGATTATACTTCAAGGAGACATTGAAGGAGAGAATAATGAGAAAGATACCAAGTGTGGTGCAGGGGTGCTCATGTGAAATGTTTTCAGATGAATGAATGAATGATAAAACCCACCAAAGAAGATTAATGAAATAAATTCATCCTTGGAAATAAAAAAAATGATAATTATTAGCCTTCCATCAACTTATCAAGCAGGTTGCGGCTTGGGGAAACAAAGGGCGGTTCAATATAAATACTTCAGGACTCAAATGTAGAGAAACAAAATCAAAGGGGTAATACAGAATGTAACCATGAGAAATACAAAAGATTTATTCAATTCATGAGAATATCAAACAAAATTCAATGAATGAGGCAAAAATGACAATTCTAGCTATTTACTAATAGTTGACGCTGTAAAGCTTTTAGTAATTAATATGTTAGCATAATTTTATAAGGGTATTAACAGGGGGAAAAACACTTGATTCAATAATTAAAATAATAATAATAATAAAACTCATGAAAATAAGATCCTGCTTACACATTGAGAACTCAATTAGTGATATAGATTCCAGCGAAATTAATAAACTTTTGCCCTTACTTCTTTATATAAACAAAGATCCCATACAAACCCACTTCATTGCTTCCCAGTAAACGGAAGATTAACTGTATTTTAAGCAGTAAAGATAAGAACTTTTAACCATATATACCATTTCGGTAGTTAATCAAGCTGACCCATAAGCATAAACAGACAAAATCAACAAATTAAACCAAGCACCCCAAATCCAGTTGAGCTAGCAAAAAGGGAAAATACAAACATTAATGAAATCCCCAATTCAATAAACAGAATATCCAATCCAAGTAAAAGTAGAGATAAAAAAGAAAAAGAAACAAAATGAAACAAAAGGGCACAAGTACTCACATAATTCTTGATATGTGTTTATCACTATTGTTCTTGGTTGCTAAAACAGCATCAGAGACGAAGAAGATACGCTGAATACAGAGAGAAAGAGACAGTTCTTTGATTCTTTCATACGGCTCGAAATTCTCTTTCTCTCCTCTCTCAGGCGATGTCTCTTTTCCTCTCTACATTACTTTAAGCCAGACAGAGGGAGAGGCAGAGAGCTTGCTTTTTTTTCTTTTTTCTTTTTTCCTTTTCTTTTTTTAATTGCTAATCTATTTATTTATAATAGTTATTATTCTATACAAAACAAATGACTCTCTCTCTTTCTTCACATGGAAAGAAGGGAAGTTTCTCTCTTTATAAACTTTAAATGGAGCATAGTGTCGGTAGTGCTGCTATAAGTCACCATTGCTGGGTGGGACGGGAAAGCTTTTCTTGGATTCCTGCCTTGTCTATGGTGAATAATGGGACCCACCTTTGTTAAATGGTTATTTTCTTATTTTCTTTGCTTTTATATAATGCTTTATCTATATTATTTAATTACTTTTTTTTAATTTTTCAAAATTTAACAATACGTTAATATTGGAGACTTATTCTTGCATGCTTTGTCTGTTTAAACTCTAGACTAGGGAATCAAATTTTTGTTACGAAATTTTAACTTTTTAGGAAGTTAGTTAAATATTTAAACTATCCAATTTAAGAAAATAACTACCCTTGTCGTTTTTATTAATCCCGTAGACTTTTTATTTATTTAATTAATATATTTTTTGTAATTTTAACAAATTAAAATTAAGATAGCATTAAGTGCTTATTCTATTTATTTATTTTTATTTGCATTTTAGATTTTTATAAATGATTAAATAATTAATTAAGTCGTATAAATTAAATATTTTATTTTATCTCGTGTTATTTTTTAAGGGACTTCCTCCTTTGCATTTAAAAAAAATGTTTAAGATATTTAAAATTTACTATTACATTGAAATATTTAATCATTTATTTTTAAAATTATTTGAAGGAACAGTGCATATATCTTAAGATTGGATACGTGTGCGTCCCACCGCCACCGCGTCACTGTTAAATTTAGAGATAAATAATTTAATAAATCACGGCGCGAGAGAGGCCACCGCCACCGCTAGTGCGTCACATACATTAACAATCATTGGAAGTCAAGCAGTTTTATCTAATCGTTACCTATTTTGCTTTTAACCTTTTCATTTATTATTATTTTTTTTTTAAGTTGGGAATCTACTAATCCCACCATTAATCAAATCGTACGTCATGTATGTTAGTTGGCTTTCTTTTCTGGATGTTGATTGGACTGCACTATAACACTCGTGTGCGGTCACAGCTCAAAACTCAGATAGTCAGATGCATTTTCTGTTTCTTAATTATTATTTTCACACATACAGTTTATAAAATTAAAATAAAACTTTCTCCCCCTAAAAACTCAACCGCAACTTTATTACTATTTTTACTTTTTTACTATTAGAAATAATTTTTTAATCTTAGTATATTTAAATTTTGACATTCACTCTTAAATCATTAATCGCAGATTTGTAATATTTGATTTTTTTTTTTTTTTTTGACGAAAAAGAAGAGCAAAACTCATATGACTATAAATGTAATCTAAATTATGAAACTCCAAGCTCCACCAGCATAATTTCATATTGTAAATAAATTTTGATATTCCAATTAAGATAAATTAACTACAGCTATTAAGTGTGTGTAGAGTAAAATTAATTGTTTACTAATAATTTAATTATTAATTTCATTAAATATTAAAAAAATAACGTTTTATAATATATTCTTTTCAAACTTTAATAATAATATAAATACTAGTGTTTCGCTTTTAGTAAAAACATAAATCATCAAAACAGAGCTTAAATTTATATATCTAAAAAAAATAAAGAATCAACTTGATTGAATTTGGTAACTCAAATCTCATCGATGTATAATTTCCTCTTCAATAAATTTTTCAACAAAAAAAAGTTGATTTATATAATTGCTAATCTTAAAAGAAAAAAAAAAATTAAACAAAAGGTTTCTTGCACCTAATAGGGCAGAGAGTAGTTACAAGAAGGAGACTCTTGTTCGGTGTGAGTTGACATATATATTTTTCTAGTTGTAACTAATGAAAATTGGGTCCGAACCAACAACAAATGCAACTTTCTAGTTAATGGATAATGATAGTTAATTTTCTGAAAAATTGCTTTTCAATAATAATTATTTCCGCAAATGATCTAATAATAAATACATATATAATCTGATAATAGTTCAAGTTCAAATCCTCCATTTTTCAATCTAACAATAAAAAAAAAAAAACCAATAGTTATTTTCTATCTATATCATGAGCTGCAACGCTTAATCATTTCCTAATTCGTAATCAATGTGGCATACTAAATGTGTTAATGGCTTATCTTTATAAGGTTCTTGAATTGACAAGGATAATTAGACCTTAATTATAGATAATCAAAATTGTTAATTAATTTAATAAAATAAAAATTGTTGGTATGTCTATGTCAATGCCACATACATGCCAACGTTATGACACACATGTATCCTGCACAACCAATGCCATACAGTTTATAGCTGGCGAAATGTCGGTTCCGACAAGTAGAAGCAAACAATAGGAGCATGATCTATGAACTCGGAAAGCCCAGGATCAGGCCCAGGACTAGGCGCATCCAAAATAAAGGCCCGACACATTGTCCGCTTGACACGCACATAATGTAACTATTACGACGATGGAGGGTTAATGTCGTCAATTCAAAGGGAAGCGGAACGGAAAACCTACGCGATTGCTTCCATTATTTTAAAGCAAAAGAAGCAAAATTGATTTCCCTCCAATTCCCGCAGGCACGCTTCCCTATCTGCAAATTGAATGATTAGATATTTGCACCACCAATTTTAAAAGTCTCTATTTCCATAGCCTCCATTTTTCCTTTTTGGAGACTCTGCTTCTAGGGTTTGCATATTCCTGTTTGTTTCTCCAGATTGTCTAGGGTTTCTACAGTGCTCGCTTCTTCTCAGGTATTTACTTTCCTTTCTCATTCATTTATGGAATAAATTTTACGAAATAGATTTTAAATTTCAAAATTTCTTTGCCGATTAGATTTGATTTGCAGGGTAATAAGACGCCACTTTCTCTTCCCATTTATTTAGGTTTCTCAGTTACTAAGCCAAAGATTTTTTTTTTTTTTCATTTTGGCCTTATTCTTCTTTCCCTATCTTTTTTTTTTTTTCTATTATTATTTATTATTATTATTATTTATTTCCCCTTTAGTAGGATTTGCAGTAGTATATTTATGTTTATTTATTTATTATTATTTCGAATTCTATTTATTCCTCTTCTTCTTCTTCTTATTGGGTTACATTTCATTTCTAGTGTCTTAAATTCTTGGTGAACATTTTCTTGTGCCTTAACCGCTAATAAAACTCTTTTTTTTTTCTTTTTTTTTTTTTGTTGGGTGATTAAAATTCCGAGCATCTAAAAATAAAAGGTTTTAGTTTTCTCTGTGTCTTTGTGCCTTCTGTGTGACTTTTGCAAACTCGTATATTTCAATCAGTCTTACGGTGAATTGTTTGGGAGGAATTAAATTGGAATTTTAGTTCGCGGTGCGGTTGTACTTAGGCTATGTTTGGTCTAATGAAATCTGATGTAATTTAATCAAATCCATTCATAGTGTGGTTACATTACATTTGGTTCCATTATGGCTCATCAAATGTAGTCTTTAGTGTTTTATGTTGTGGGCCATGAGGAATGAAGTTTCATATTCAAGACAAAGCAATCGGGCCATGTATTATTTGAAATTTCATTGTACTCACCTAGTGGGCTAGTGGCTGAACTATAATGAGTAATAATCGTAATTTTAGGTGTTATTTTGTGGGTTGACGTTGTAATTTTGGTGTAATGAATTGACTGTTACATGCTTTGGACAGAATTTATAATTATTTGGGCATTTTTTTTGTTGCACATGATTGTAAGGAATTGATTGACTTGTTAATTGTTTTCTTATTTAGGAGACCCTTTTCCAGATTTCTTGCCATTTAATTTGTGCTGATGCCTCTTTTTCACTGGTGTTGATCTCTTATAAAAACCTATTTTTTTTCTCCCAATTATTATATTTAATGTCTTGAGTTGTAAAAATACTTATTAGTTATTCTATTTCATGTATGTTGAAGTTGGTTTGGTTTGTTTGGGAGTCACTCTGTGCTATCATGATGGGTGAATTTGCCCATCTAAATTTACATGTTAAAAAATTCTCTTTCAGTTTTAGTAATGCTGTGTTCCTGAAAATGCACTGTTGATACTCCGAATAGTTTTGAACGAAGAACCACCTCTTGTTTTTCCATATTTACATTTTTAAACATGCAATATATATGGACATTAGGAAGCTTGATGACCTATTAATTGCCAAATTGATATGCTGCTGATGGTTGTATGGCCACCACTGCCTTTGTTTTGTACTACTCACAACCACAGACATGATTATTTTCTTTTTTCTGATTCTGGATTTGTGTCTCTTAATAGCTGTTCTCATTCATGACTTGGAACAATTGCAATCCATGATCACCTCCTTTAACATTCATCTCTTCTTCCCACTGTCACCACTTCCAGTATTATTGTCCAGCTCCATGATAATGTTTATGAATCTCAGCAAATAACATTGAAGAAGGGATACTATTCTCCTTCATTCCAAAATGAGAGATTTGAAAGTTACAGACATATTGCAGTAAATTTTAGTGAAAATTGAACCTCATTAACGCTTGAGAAGGCATATCACCTCATGATAGAAACTTGATGGTACTTGGCACCTTTGATAAAATTTCTATGTTTGTTCAATTTGAATCTTAATTTCTTAATATCAGGGTTCCTTACAGTTTTGTTCTGATAATACTTATTTTATACAAGATTGCAAAAAATAATTAAAATCTTTTCTTCCTTTCTCTCATTTGTTTTCCTCTTCAAACTTTCAATTAAAGTATAAACAATTTCCTTTATCAACTTTCTGGTCTCTTTCTCCTAACTGTTTAAAATGCCACAACTTCTTTAGACTTTCTGATGGTGGATGAAGGAGGCTTATGGTAAATGCGTGTTTGGCTGGATCAATTTAAGTTGTTTGCTACTTGCAAATTTCTTTATCCTTCTTCACACACACACACACAGACAGAGATTTATATATATGACCTTGTTTCTAGATATGCTTTTATAGTGCAGTTATGGCCTGCTTCTCAGGTTATTTTGACATGGATCCTACAACACAAAGTTTCCAGCACCGAACACTTTCTGTCAAATTGTGGCCTCCTAGTCAGAGTACCAGGCTAATGCTTGTAGAGCGGATGACCAAGAATCTTACGACTCCTTCCATTATTTCCAGAAAGTATGGCTTGTTGAGCAAAGAAGAAGCTGAGGAGGATGCCAAGCAAATTGAAGAGTTAGCATTTATTGCTGCAAACCAACACTACCAGAAAGAGCCTGATGGTGATGGAAGTTTTGCAGTGCAGGTTTATGCCAAAGAATCCAGTAAGCTCATGCTGGAAGTTCTTAGAAGAGGACCTAGAATGAAGGAAGATGGAGAAGTGATAACAACTGACAAAGCTACTGCTGTGCGTACAGATATATTTGATATATCTGGTGGTCGAAGGGCATTTATCAGTGCAGACGAGGCTGAAGATCTTTTAAAACCACTTAAGGAGCCTGGGCACCTGTATACTAGGATCTGTTTCAGTAACAGAAGTTTTGGTTTGGATGCAGCTGGTGTTGCAGCGCCTATCTTGTCATCCATAAGGGATCAATTAACAGAAGTAGACTTATCAGACTTTGTTGCAGGGAGGCCAGAATCAGAAGCTCTTGACGTCATGAATATATTTTCTACAGCCCTGGAGGGTTGTAATTTGAGATATTTGAACCTTTCAAACAATGCCTTGGGCGAAAAGGGTTTGAGGGCTTTTGGGGCACTTCTCAAAACACAGAAGAATCTGGAGGAGCTTTATCTGATTAATGATGGTATCTCAGAGGAAGCTGCACGTGCAGTTTGTGAGCTAATCCCTTCCACTGAGAAGCTCAAGGTCCTTCAGTTTCACAATAACATGACTGGAGATGAAGGTGCAGTTGCTATTGCTGAAATTGTAAAACGATCTACCATGTTGGAGGATTTTCGATGTTCTTCAACAAGGATAGGTTCAGATGGTGGTGTTATACTGGCTGAAGCTCTTGGAACGTGTAGCCATTTGCGGAAGCTTGATCTGCGTGACAATATGTTTGGAGTGGAAGCTGGAGTTGCTTTGAGTAAGTCTTTATTTTCATTTGCTGATCTTACTGAGGTTTATCTTAGTTATCTAAACTTGGAGGATGAAGGGGCTGAAGCACTTGCCAATGCTCTAAAGGATTCTGCACCTTCACTTGAAGTTCTTGAAATGGCTGGGAATGATATTACTGTGAAAGGAGCTTCTCGTTTGGCAGCTTGTATTGCAGCAAAACAATTTCTCAGCAAGTTAAACCTTTCTGAGAATGAATTGAAGGATGAAGGTGCTATTTTGATTGCGAAGGCAATAGAGGAAGGTCATGGCCAGTTAAATGAAGTTGATTTGAGCACAAACTCAATAAGAAGGGCTGGGGCAAGGCTCTTGGCACAGGCTGTTGTGCTTAAGCCAGGGTTTAAGATGCTAAATATTAATGGTAATTACATATCTGACGAAGGGATTGATGAAGTGAAGGATATATTAAAAAATTTGCCTGGTGTGATTGGGCTTTTGGATGAGAATGATCCAGAAGGTGAAGATCTTGATGAAGAGACAAACGAAGAGGATGAGGATAATGAGGATGAATTGGAATTCAAACTTAAGGGGCTTGAAATCAAACATGATCAGTAGGAATGACATTATAAGTGATTTGCTGTTATAGCTTTTTCAGGAATTAAAACTTATGCATAGACTACTGGTTATTTGGATATAAAGCTTGTTTCTATGCAATCTAGTCTAGTTGCATTAACCAGGTACTAGTAGACTCGTCCACTGTAGGTTAAACTGAGAAAAGTGTTTTTTTTTTCTTTCTTTTTGCCTTGATATATCAGACTACCGAGTTTAGCAGATGTAGCTTAAACCTGCCTGGGAACTGGGTTTAGTTCTAGGATTTGCTAGGCAAATATTGTATTGCTTTAGGCAGTATGTTGTTTTTAATTTATTAGCTGCTCTCGGTTCTTAGAGCGTAGTTTTCTTTTGTAGCATATGAATGCTCAATATTTTTAAATTGAGTTTGGTCGTTCTGGCCTTTTGAGACTCAAAATATTTGTTTACTGCAGTTGTTTAATATAATTTCGATGAAGACGCTGTAGTGATAATGCATGTGCAGAGGTTTGTCCTCTTATTTTGAACAGGTGTTCAATGATCAAACTGTTTAAGTCCAGTCAACAGTTGCCATCAGATATAGAGATGCATGATTCTGTTCTAGCATAGATAGGATTAGGAATAAGCAGATAGAAAATGCCATATTTCATGATTTATGACAATGCTATATTTCCTGATTTATGACAATACCATATTTTATGTTTAGTTAGAATAAGACTTAGTGATAGTGAATAAAACAATTGTTGTGGCTCCAATAACTAATTGATTTCTGTTTCTATTGTCTGAAAATGTTACCAATAGCTTTATTTATTCATTAATTTTCTTGTGAATTAAGTGGAAAAAAAGTACAATGATTCTTAACAAACTAAAACAGACGAGGAAGGATGACAAAACTGTAAGTCCCAGCGACCAGGGTAGATCTGGAAACGTAACAGTTCTGATGCACTTGATCAGACTGCTACTGGAACTTTAAGAGATTCAAGTATTTTATCGTCTATGTCAAACTGCATAGGCTTCTTGTCTCTTCCGATCTTTACATACTCATCAAATCGTTCTTTCAAGTCCTCGGGAAGGTTTGTGGTAGCATTCCATCCGAGGATGTCCTTGGCAGCTCTGGGTTCTGCATAGAAATGCTGCAAAGCACATGGATTATATATTTTCTGGTTCAAACTGTTGAAAAAAGAATTAGTATAGGATACTGCACTGGTTAAATTACCATGTTTCGGAAAGGAAAAGCTTTCTTTGCATCAATTCCAACAGCTTTTGGGTCATAATGCACAATTTCGACCGGTAAACCTGCAGCTTGAGCACATAGTTTTGCCATTCCATCCAAAGTCACAGCTCGGTCACTTACACAGTTGAATATGTTGCTATTTGCAGCTTCTGGGTTCTCAACAGCTAGAGTAAGCATGGAAGACAAGTCCCTAACATGGGCGATATTAGTTAGTTGCATTCCAGAGCCAGGAATTGGCACTGGCCTTTTTCGGACGATCCCTGTTTACAGAAGAGATCATCATCGTCATCTAAACTATTCATAGACAGAATGAAAGGACAAGAAAATTGAAGAATACAACCATTTTCTACTTACGATCGAAAAACCACTCCTCACAATCTTTGTTGTTGCCTGAACCAATCATGTATTGGGGGCGGAATATAGCCCAGCTACTAAAAATCTCTGCAATGTATTTCTCTACTCCAACATGGCCAGCACTAGCTTTAACATCATCCTTTAATGGTAAAGAAACTTTGGTTAAGCGAAATAAATTTCAATCTATTTTAATGCTTTATTAGACAACTTACCCCTTCAACATGAGGAGGTTCATCAGTAGGTACATAAATTCCGGCACTGCTGATGTACATGAACTGCTTCACACCACTACTCTTTGCCCAGTCCACCACAGGCCTGTGTGTTCAATTCCCTTAATTAGTAACAGTTTAATTATAAATGTTGATTTTTTGGTGAATGATAGAGTGAAAAAATTAACCTGACAGTATCAAGATCCTTGCCATTGTTATCTAACACCACATCAAAAGTTGCGCCTTCCACAGCTTTCCCTACTTCTGCTGGGTCTCCCCACACTGTTTTCCCTCCAGCACTCACAATTTCCTTCATTAAAACCAAAGAAAAGAAATGACAATAACTAGATTGATTGAATTCAAATTACAAACAAATTATAAATTTTTCTTCTGTCAATTGCATGTCTCACAATGCTCCAGATTAGTATTCAGATTCCGGCAGCTGTTTCCCTTTAAAAATAATTAAAAAAAGAATCAGAAAATCCCAAATTGAACTTACTGAGAATCTGCTGAATGGAGGTTTCTTCATTTTATCAGAATTCTGCTCGCCAACAGTCAAGATAGTGACGTCATGACCAGAACCCAGAAGCTCTTTTGCAAAGTAAAATCCAATAACTGCATGGCCACCGCTGTTTGTGTTAACTATAAGGACCTTCTTCTTCTCTGCTGTACTGGCCTTTACAGTGAAGGCAGAGGCAGAGAAGGGCATTGAACATGAAATAGGGCATGTTAAAGAATTTGGAGAGATAGAGAGAAAAGAAGAAAGATGAGAGGATTGGGAGGAGGAAGAGAAGGAGAGGCGTGAAGAAGATAAAAGAGAAAGTGGAGAAAGCTTGTAAGGTGGAGAAGAGAAGAGGAGAGAAGATGACGAAGGAGAAAGAGTAGCCATTGACTGTTACTTTGTTGGAGCTGGGCTTTGATTCTTTGAGAACCAGCAGTTCTTTTGGCTATTAGATAATGGTAACGGTTAAAGATAATTTCGCGGCTAATTTAAATGTTACAGTTGAGATGGTTGGTCATTTTTTTTTTTTGGGAAGAAATAATATGTGAATTAATTATTTGCCATGCGTTAGTTTTCTCGGTAGAGATTAGATATGAGTAAATTTACTTCAGAATGAACTTGAATTTCCTTTTTAATTTAAATGTTACAGTTGAGATGGTTGGTCATTTTTTTTTTTTGGGAAGATAATATGTGAATTAATTATTTGCGCATGCGTTAGTTTTCTCTTCGGAAGATTAGATATGAGTAAATTACTTCAGAAATGAACTTGAATTTCCTTTTTTTTTTTTTTTAATAATATATAACTATATATATATATATATTTATATATATATATATGTTTGGGAAATATGCTGATCTGGACCTTTGGTACCTATTTATGAAGATATGGACTATAGGTTTTATTTCTTCAAGTGTAAATTTATGTTGGGAAATATAGCTGATCTGGACTTTGGACTATATGAAGATATGGACTATAGTTTTATTTCTCAAGTGTATTTTCAAATATGAATTTTAAGTAAAAAGTTTGAATATTATTTTATGTAAAATTTAAAATATCTTACTGTATTAGGTTTTATTTGAATAAATAACTATTTCAAATAAATAAAAATATGAATTTTTATATTATATTATAATATTTTTAATTGAAATATCCATTGAGTGAAGTAAAAACAATACATGGAAGGAAATCTCAGCAATTAAAACAAATCATAGAGCCTAATATATTTGATGGATCTAACGTGTATTTAACAACTTAGCAAACATGGATTCTTGTTAATGATCATAATTAATTTAAGTCGACAAGTCCATTTGCCATAATTAGATTTTCAACTTTATTAATTACTTATAAGGATTAGAGAGAAAGGCAATGGCCAAACCTAGGGTAGCAATCTACAGTGAAATAAATCATAGCCATTGGATCCATGAACGGCCCCACCTAGGCTAGGCGCCGAGAAAAGCACTGTCGCTTTGATGATCGGCAAAGAGTGGGACCCAACCCCGCTTTTGAATGGACAAAACAAAAATAAAAAAGAATAAAAATAGTACTACAAGTCAAGTCAGATTAATTTTAGAACGTTAGCCAAGTCGGCCCTTCTTTTAAAATCGCCATCATTATACTTCACTTCCTTAGGAACTAGCCGTTACATATCTCTTTCTCTCTGTTTCTCTCCATGGCAGCTTCAGTGGACTCGCCATCCCCTGCCCATCTCAATAAGGTACCTCCTCCTCCTTCTTCACTAATTTGTTGGATTGTTTATAATTGTTTTTGAAATTTGTTGGTTTCAGGAGAGCACAAACTTGATGGTTTCTTCTCCTCTGTTCAGCCCTAGTTCTGATAAGCGTTTCTGGAGCACTCTTCGTAACCGGATTGATACGCTTCTGGAGAATCGCCAATGCAAGGTTTCAAAAGCCCAAGATCAGCTCAATCTTGACCCACCTTCAGCTACCCAATTGGTGAGCGAGTTTTTCAGTTGTAACTTTTTATTAATTGATTTGAATTTCAAAATTTTTTTTATACGTTGGAACTTGAACAGAGTATATTGGTTCTGTTTTTTTGTTGTAGAGTGCAGGAGAATCAAATCGAGCAAAGATAACGAAGGAAGACTCGTTGCTTTTGCTAAGAGGGTTTGACTCAATTGCTCAAACACTCTCTCAGCTCTCCAACAATCTGGACAATGCTCTTCAGGTAAAAGTTTTTTTTTTTGATAAAACCTAATTAATTAAGGTTCAAAAGTTCATTAATTTATTTTCTGACTGACATTTTTTGTCTAAAGATCTGTGATTTATATACTAAAACACTTTGGGGTTTTAACGATTTTGGAACCACTCTTGTCTGTTTTTAGGGAGCTAGATATTTATCTGAACCACCTACGTTGAGTGAAATATTACACAGTAATCTCAAAAATTCAGATAATAAGCAAGAGGGTTTAGAAAAGGAACAAAATGAAAAAGGAGGAGAAAGTAAAGGATCAAAAAGGAAGTTCGATCAAACTGACAGCTCAGAGGATCATAGAAATGAGTCACTCAAGGAAAATGAACAGAGCCCGAAGGACAAGAAGCTAAAGAAAGTAAAAAATGTTGGTTGCTCCCTTCTTTTCAATACAATTCTGATTTTATAGCATTCAACTAAGGTTGTATTAATTGGCAATTTTTCATTTTTAAAAATTGCAGCTTGCAATTTCCATGGCTACAAAAGCAGCTTCACTTGCAAGAGAAATAAAGTCAATAAAATCAGATTTATGTTTTGTGCAAGAGAGATGCACTCTGCTTGAAGAAGAGAACAGGAGGCTCAGAGATGGAGTCTCTAAGGGGATCAGACCAGAGGAAGATGACTTGGTAAGCCATCGGTTTTTTAGGGCTATATGTATACATATATTTATTATTTTTCTCTTTGAAGATTTTGCTGAAAATGAAATTGCATTGATTAAATTTAACAGATGAGGCTTCAAATGGAGGCCCTGCTTTCAGAAAAATCCAGATTAGCCAATGAAAACGCCAATCTGATAAGGGAAAACCAATGCCTTCACCAACTTGTTGAGTATCACCAACTCACCTCCTTAGATCTTTCTGCTTCTTATGAGCAACTTGTTCAAGGAATGTGCTTAGACTTTTCTTCTCCATCATCATCCACGAAGGAAGAGCCAGAAAATGCAGCAGATAATAATGAAGTTCCAAAAACACCAGGGGCTACTTTTTTTAGTTTCTCAACTTCCCTTGACGAGTGCTTCCAAGAACAGCAGTAGGCATTTGCCTAGAATAATGGAAGTTTTGTCCATATGACTTTGGATTTCAGACTGTAATATTGTCCATAAAGTTTTTCAATTGCCTACGATAGAATGATGTAATATTGTTCTTCCAAGGAAATTATGCAAATAAAGAAATTCATTTTTGCTAGCTCTTTCGTGCATTCACCGTATGTATTCTCTTGCATAGACACCAATACGCATATGACCATTAACTTCTGTCAAAGGAGACATGACAAATACCCACCAGGCATAGAGACGAGCAAATAACACAACTAAGTTCTAACATAGCAAATCATACACCTTAGTAGTTCATCTCCATCAAAAAGAGACATGACAAAAACCCACCAGGCAGAGCTAAAAATAAATCACCACAGAAGTCATTTTGGCATAGCCACAAGCAAAGAACACAACTAAGTTGTGATATAGCAAATCATACACCTAGTTCTTTTCAATTTCTTTATCGAGTCTTTTTCTCTTAGCAGAAGTCTTGCATTCAAGACATCTTTCAACAGTTGCTTCAGGAGCTTTCGTCATTGAGAACCAGAATGCATCTCTTAACACATCTTTCAACTTCTCCAACACTTCAGTAACCATATGATTCCCCTTCTCATACTAAAAAAATGCAAATTTAGAAAAGAAACATCAACTTGTCACATTAAGAATTGCAAAAGTTGTTGCATTCAGAAGTTACAACAAAAGCAATAATTTTTGTGTCCCTTATGAAAAGAAAAATGAATACAATAATAGAGTGACACATCTATATTCTTTATGGTGGTTACATTCATTTATAGATATTGATGGCTTCCATATCATTTTAAACTTGTCAAATTAATTTTAGTCCACCCGTTTAATCTTATCAATTCTATAACCCTGTTATTGATAACGGTTTTAGCCATTAGACTAAAATTGAAGTTTTTTTTTTTTAAATTGCTGGTTCAAACAAATAGGTCACCGCCAGATGAAAATGCTGTTAATACAAGAAATTATACTCAGATATGCTCTCCTGTTACAATCTAAGGGACATAATAACACAATCCCAATTGCAAAATAAGTTCCACAAAAACTAGAAAAGTCAAATATGTTGGATCTATGAGAACAGAAAACATACCACTTCAATTTTTCCAAGAGCATATTCCAACTTCTTAAAAAGCTGATCATTTTCCTCTGTCAAAGCTTCAACCTACAAAAGCAAGTCCAAGAACAAATTGCGTCGCTGTTGATTATGAATAATAACAAAATATGCAATGCTAAATATGCCACCAGATAAACAACATGTAACCTTCTTTTGGGAATCGATGTACAAAGTTTTGTATGTGACATCCCCTGTACTAAAGCTTTCACTAAAGAAGGTTCTGCCAGTTCCCTGCAAATTGCTATGAATTTCAATAGATGTTTCATTTACACAGGGTTATTTAAACAATAAAGCTACAGAAAAGAGGCTCATTCATATGGAAGACTTTGATACCTTAGAATTCAATTCATCCATAGTCTTTTGTTGTGCCTCCAAAAGTTGTATTATATAGTCAACTTTTTCATCTGAGGTTCTCTCATCTGAGGTTTTCTCATCCAAAGTAGGCTCTGGCAATTCCTCTTCTGCCGGTTCATCTTCTTTATCACTTTCACTGACAGTTACCTCTTGAATGATACACTGGATGTCGTGGCTTTCCCTAGCCATAACTGCATTTGAAAGACGCTCTGATCGCCTAACTTTAGTAGGGGTGTTCTTCACTTTCTTTCTAGAAGACGTTCTGGAAGAGTTTGCTTCTTGTGATTCGAGGATAGGAGTTGTGTTTTCAGGCTGTTTGTCTACTTTTTCTAAAGAAGGGCTATTGTTTTCAGGCTCCACATGTGGATTTGTGCTGCCATGCTTCAATTAGAATAAAATAGTTCAAATTTAATTTCAAAAACTATCAAAGATCTTTTATAGAAACTATAAATATTTTTGTGTATCAAATAATACAATTAACAATTATATGTATATATATCGCTATGGTTCACAATTGGAAAAACTAGCACCATAACCAATTCAAACAGAAAACAGGATAATTATTCCCAATTCACCATATCTTGGCAATCAATGCCTTCCATTTCTGCTTGTGAGTCTTCAAACCAGTTAGCCACAATGAATAATGTTTCTCATTCAAAAGTAAAAGGCTACCTCACAAGAAAATAGAATTTGATCCTTGGATGATCAGAACAGAGAACATTCTTCAGTAGTTTTAGTTTCACATTAAAAATATGCCTTCTATACTTCATAAGCTAAAACAAAGCAAACCCACTGAATGTTTAAACATTAGAAAGTAATACCCAAAAGCTGACCCTTCGCATTAATGATCAAACAAATTCAAAAGACCACCAACAGATATGAAGCGATTGAAACTTAAAAGAATGGACATTGGACATGGATTACAAAGATAAATGATTCACCTATCATTAAAGGCTAAAACCCTAATCCCCAAATAAACAGACACAGTAGAAATAACAAGTAAAAGTTATTTCTTGCAAAAAAAATCCCTTATTAAAATAAAATCAAACATGCATGCAAACCATAACCATCCAACTAAACATGCATGAAAGGAAATCCAAGAGAGACAACCAAACGGATATTAAGAAAAAAAAAAAAAAAAAGCAAAGCTTGAAGTAAAATAAACGATTAAAAAACATCTAAAGCCACGATCTTTGTACATAGATTAAACAAGTAATAAAAATAAACCATCATAACATATTAGAATGAAGAAATTAAGAAAAGAAAGAAAGGAAGGCTTATTGTTGCTCACCTTCTGTGACTTTTCTGCAACCTTAGAAGCGCTAGGTTTCCTGGCCATCTTTTCCAATATACAAAAACTGTTCACCGAACAGAGTGAGTTGTGGGGAGGGGAGCGTGAGAATTCATGGGAGTGGAGTGAAAATAAGACGACTAATCTTAGTTGGTGGAGTTTCACGAGGTAATTGCGTCCTTTGTAGACAACGTGTAGGTCCTTTATTGGTCAACTAGTATCCTAATATTTCAATTTTTCACCTTTGAAATATATTTTTATTTTTCACACTTAAAATAATAGAGTATAATTTTTTTTTCATCAAAATAAATAAATAAATAAAATATATAATGTATAATTTTTTCACAATTTTGATTTTTACCTTCAACTTCTAATTTGGTTTACTTAAAAGTAATTTGGATCGATAAAGTTTTGTCTTATAATCATGGAGAAGATAAAATTTCGTGAAATTCATTTATGAATTTAAATTTTTGTGTTTGGTATGAAAAGAAAATAAATAATTAAATTCTATAAATGCATTCTATAGATTTAAATACAGTAAATTGAATTCTATCAAAAATGTGAAATTTCAAAATGAATTCCACAAATTTAAACAATTTGTAACTTTATGATTAAAGTTTTCATTCTTCCAATCCTCTAAATTACTACGCTAAGGATATTTTATAAATAAAAGTAAATAAATTTTCAATTTTTAACTTTATTATAAACATGAAAAATCATTTATAAATGAATTTTATCTTTTTAATACATTATAAATAAATTTCACATTTTGAGTTTATACCAAATGAGTCGTAAGTCTTGATTTTGTATTAATTAGGATTAATTATATGAATTATTCGTTCCTAATGGCTTTACAAGCAGCAGACCTTTTGTACATTCTATCATTAACATATACTGAGCCTTATGTATTTTTTTATTTTTGCATATTTTTCTTTCTCATTAAAACTGCAGTTTAAAAAAAATGGATGTTTTCTTTCATAAAAATCGAATTATTGATTTGGTTTATGGTTTTAAAATCCAAATCTTAAACTTTAAAATAATAAAAAATTCAATGCAATTTAGTAATTAAAAATTCTTTTGCATTGATTTGTATAAATTGGATAGTAATTAAATTATAATTCCGAACTAATTGAGTAAATTATATAATTATTTTATGAAAAGTCTAAATTTTAAGATTGTTCGTGAAAAATATTAAAATACATAATGTACAAGTTATACATCAGTTAAAGTATAGTTTTCTATAATTTTTTAGTAATACAAAAATCAATATTTGAGTTTTTTTATCAATAAATTGTTAATTAATAATCTAACGAATAATTAAAATGTGAAAATTTTGTAAAATTGAATAATTAAATAAATACACGTTTAATTTTATTGTTGAGAAAAAAAAGGAATGCAAATTATTTTTTTTTCATCTATATTAATCCATGTTTGTAGAACATATATTATGCTAAAATTGACTCAATGATCAAACAACCTTTGGCTAAATATGGCAATTATTATATTTAACTAAAAATAATACATTTAATTTATATTAAGATAACCTTAATCCTTGAAGCAAATAGATTAAAATTTTAACTATGTTGCAAATAAGGTAATATCTTTTTAATTATTGTTAAGTATAAGAAGAAACTTCAAAATAAATTAGATAATTATTTAAAAACAATTATTTTCCCTTTTCCTTTCCCCTTTATGAGAAAAAAAAGTTCAAAATAAACCCTTACAATTTATTTTTATTATATTTCTTTTCGTGACAATAAGTATAAAAATTAAAAACACGGTTATAAAAAATATAAAACATACCAAAATTTCCACGCATAAATTATTAAGGTAAAATAAGAGATTCAAAATCCCATATATCAAAATTAAAATCGAATTAGAAATTTTATTATCAAACTTAAGAACTAATTGGTCAATTCATCAAATTTACTAAATTATCAATATAATTCTCTTCGAAAATTTGGTGATTCAATACTGCATCAATAAAAAACAAATTGACTATTATTCTCAAAAAAATAATTATACACAACCTTTGAAAATAATTAAATTAATATTTTTTATTTGGGATTTTATTTATAAAGATAAAATATTTTGGCTGTGTTCGGTAATAGTTTTTTTGAGTAACTTTTAGAATTTTGACCATTCAAAACTCTAAATGTTACTTAAAGAGTTATTCGGTAACATAGAATTCGCATTAATTTTTAAAAATTAAGGTAGCATTTTGTGAAAAAGTTAACTTATGTAATATTTAGCTTTTAGCTTTTCACGAAAGGCTACTCAAACAGCTAATTTTGTTGAACATATCCTTTAAAAGATCTCATGAGAAAAAGACAAACCTATAAATTACTGTATTTTAAGCTTTTTTTTTTGGAAAAATAAAAATGAAAATTTATTTTTCAGTGGTAAATTATAGTATGTTTTGTCAAACTGCCATTTCCATAATTTGGGGTTGAATAATAATGGAATATTTCTATTTTTATTTTCTTTTTTTTCTCTGAGAAGAATTTCTATTTTTGCTTTCAATTTAATGACTTTGCAACTGCAACAATTAAACTTAATTTCAATTAAAGACAAGGTTTTGATAAAATCCGTTGTCTGATCGGTGGTGCTGTAGCTGCTGCGTATTCACTCCTTTCTTTTTCCCTTCCCCACAAAGGATAAGATGATAACATTTCCTTACACAGAACACCCACTCATAGACAGTTGCAGATAAGCCACTTCTTCCTCTTCCTCTTCTTCTTCTTCTTCTTCTTCACTGCATACACTGTATTTCCTCTTCTTCTCACACTAGTATAATCTCTCTCTGTAATCTTCATTTCCATGACACCTTTGCTCTGCTTCCGTACCTCCACTCCTTCTCTCTACTTATCTCCATTGTTTCCCTTCTTCACGCCTCTCCCTCGCTTCAAATCCCCACCACACCGAACCCATCGTTTCCCTATTCTTTCACTCTCTAACGACCCCTTTCAACGATCAATCAATCAGGACTCGCCAACTCAGCCGAGAACGCTTTTTCCTGGCGGCTATAAGCGCCCTGAAATCAAGGTCCCCAACATTGTTCTCCAGCTTGAATCCGACGACGTTTTGCCTCGCGGGGATGTTTTGGATTTTATTGATAAGGCCGTTGTTAAGTGGGTAGGAATTGTCGTTCTTAATTGCGGTGATGGTAGCGGGAAGGCTCTCTACGAAGCTGCATGTTTGTTGAAGTCTGTTATAAGGGATCGTGCTTATTTGTTGATTGGAGAACGCGTTGATGTCGCTGCTGCTGTTAATGCTAGTGGGGTTGTTCTCTCTGATCAAGGTTTGCTTAATTCATTCCAATTAAGTTCTATAAATTAGATTTAGTTTTATCTGATATTGAGTGTTATGGAGAAATATTATTATGCAATGAGAATCGTTAGCCTGAAGTCTAGTTGGTATATACACGTGCATGGAGATAGTATTTTATCAAAATTTGGTGTGTACGTATATCGTATTTGGATTAGTTAGTAGATGGTGCTTTATTTGGTTTCAATGAGGTTTTGTTTTCTGTCATTAATCCTTGGACACGAAGAATAATGGATTCCTCCTTCTCTTACAGGTCTTCCTGCCATTGTGGCAAGAAATATGATGATGGATTCGAAATCTGAATCTGTAGTTCTCCCTTTAGTAGCCAGAAATGTGCAGACTTCTAGCGCTGCCTTAAACGCATCTAATTCTGAAGGTGCTGATTTTCTTATATACGGGATTGGTCAAGAGAGACATTTTGATCTAAAAATGTGCTCTGGATTTGCGGATGTGAAAATACCAATTTTTTTCATCTACGCGTCACGTAGTGTGCCAATGTCAGTTATAGAGGCATCAAAATTGCTAAAATCTGGTCTTGCTGGTTTAGTTATGTCATTGGAGGATTTGAGGTCGTTTAATGACGAGTCTTTGAGTCAATTGTTCAACACTGTAAGTGCAACGGAGGAAAGCTTAGAGAATGAGCTTGAAAGCCTCAATAATGTTAAATCATTGGAGGTAGAAAATGATTTTCATGGGAAAAAGCAGATAGGAGGCTTTGTTAAGTTGCAGGACAGAGAAAAACAGCTCATAGAAACAGAAAGATCAGTATTGCTTGAAGCTATTAACGTTATTCAGAAAGCTGCTCCTCAGGTGCTCATTATAGAAATTTAGTAGTTGTGAACCATTTTTATTCGATAAGTCCACATTATATCAATTCTTTTGTTGCCTTTTTATGCCTGAATCAGGGTAATTGTTTTGAGTGACAGATGGAGGAGGTGACACTTCTAATTGATGCTGTTTCTCAAATTGATGAGCCATTTTTACTGGCTATAGTGGTAATTGTGTGCTGAACTTCAACAAATTCTGGGTCCAGGGATATTCATTGGTATTAGCTCTAAATTTCCAATAAACCCCTTTTGTTTTCATTGGAAGACCTAGAATTAAAGTGGTGTTTAACAAGTCTCATTATTTTTCATTTAACAACTTTTGAATTAAAAAGATTGTGAGTTTGTCTTCCTCCGCTTTCTGTTGCATATGCTGATGCTTATGTCCCCAACGACTTTTTTGTTCTCTCATACTAATGTCTTAAATTAGAACATGTATTTATATAAAATTCCAATGTGGTTAGAAATTTCATAAACAAGTTGCATTAACAGTCTTCTGTTGGCCTATGTTTATTTTGCTATGCATGTTCATTCAATTCATTAGTTGTCTTGTCCTTGACTTACGCTTTTTAAGGATATTCTTTTTACTATTTTCTTAATGTTCTTAGCATTGAGTTGAGCCAAGTGTTAATAGGTGCTATTGTGCTGTAAATATGGAGAGACGTGATCATCTATTTTTCTCGCTTTTTCTTCCCTTGATTTCTTATTTTTCTATGTCTCTTTGAAGATAACTTCATCTGCGAGATATTAATGTTAATTTATCAGACCGAAAAAAAAAAAAAATTGACAGAGATTAGTTAGTAATTTGTGTCATTATGCTGTTCTAAGATACTTACCCCCTTACTTATCTTTGCACCAGGGTGAATTTAATTCTGGTAAATCTAGCGTAATTAATGCGCTTCTTGGAAAAAGATACCTTAAAGAAGGTGTTGTTCCTACAACCAATGAGATCACTTTCTTACGATATTCTGAGTATAATTCTGAAGAGCCAGAGCGTTGTGAAAGACATCCAGATGGCCAATACATATGCTATCTTCCTGCTCCAATTCTTAAGGAGGTGAGTATTTTATGGTTTGATCCATGTATACGTCTGAATTCAGTTTTGAGATATTCTAATCCTTTGAATAACTAAGTCCAATGAACTCTGCTATTATATATGTATGTATATGCACACAGATACATGTGCACAATTCTTTTCAGTTGCAAAGCGTGATATATCCGTTGCTAGTCAGCTTAATCAGCTCTCAAACTCAATAATCCTGTTCAGTGTGACCTTTTTCTCTTTGCATCTTTGCTGTTGTTTGATCAAAGTTACTGGTAATAGCTGCAACTTTAGCAAGTTTGTGCTGTAAACTTTAAATGTGCTCATGTCAGTGTTGTCTCTTAGCACCGCAAGTTTCTTTCTGTTTCAAAATGGATTATTGAGCTGCCCGGCCCTTATTTCTTGGATAGTGCAATAAAATTTAACATCCTCAATCCTACTGTATATGCCATCTTAACCAAAGACACTAATCATTCACTTCTGTATCACCATTTAATAGGCCAAAAAGTGAATGGAATAATGCATCAAAAAAAGAGAACAGTTAAAGTATTTGTACGCAATTAAGCATAAAGCAAAAATATTTTAGCATTTGAAACCTAGCAACAAAGCCTCCTGGACTCTTCTTCACATGAACATTTTCTGCAACCAATGGTTTAAGCTTATTGAGGCTTTTAAGCTCATTCTATGATTTCCTGCATTACATTTTGTTCGATGTGACTGATTTATTTAATTATCTACGTTTCAAACAGATGAACATTGTTGATACGCCAGGGACTAATGTCATTCTCCAAAGGCAGCAACGCCTCACTGAGGAATTTGTGCCTCGTGCTGATTTGCTTCTTTTTGTTATTTCTGCTGATCGCCCATTAACTGAAAGTGAGGTATAAATCAGTACTCTTATACATATAGCTTACCATTGTAGGAAAATATTATTCAGATAACTCATTGCTAAGGCACTCTGTTTATGACTCCTTTATATCACATATTAGATTCCATTGGGAATCTATGATGATATCTTCATTGATTTTAAACATGAAGATTTTAGGACTCCTGTATTTGCTATCTGAGTACGTCAGTTCAAAAAGATAAAAATATGAACTTTTGACATGGACGATTATGTATTTGCAATCCAGTTGCTTAGGCTTCCTGTGCATGCAATAGTGTTGTATAATCTAGAAAAGCACTTAAGTAGCTATGTGGAAAATTGAGATTATAATCTATGATCTATCCATATTTTCTTGGTAACTCTTAACTTATATGTTTGAAGGACAATATAAGCACTAAGCATTGGGAAATATTTTGTCCAGCATTTGCTATTTCTGAAGATGCTTTTGTTTTCATTTCTGATTCAGGTTTCTTTTCTGCAATACACTCAACAGTGGAAGAAGAAAGTTGTGTTTGTGTTAAATAAATCTGACCTCTATCAGAATACCAGTGAGGTTTGTTTTGAAACCTCTTTTTCTTTTTCTTTTTTTTTTTTCAAAAAATTTTTTTTTGGCATGTAGTAAAGGTATCAAGCCTGTTAGTATTTATATTTGCCAGAGCTGTCAAGCAAGTTACAAGTGTTTTAAATTATTCTTCATGATTTTGTAGCTTGAGGAGGCTATGTCATTCATCATGGAGAATACAGGGAAGTTACTAAACACTGAAAACGTGATGTTGTATCCAGTCTCTGCTCGGTCTGCTCTTGAAGCAAAACTTTCAGCTTCTTCTGAATTAAAACAAGATAATAAACGATCATCAGTTTTAGAATCTTATTCGCATATCAATAGCTTCTATGAACTTGAGAAGTTTCTGTATAGTTTTTTGGATGGCTCAACAGAAACAGGAATGGAAAGAATGAAGCTCAAACTGGAAACTCCAATTGCTATTGCTGAGCGTATACTTTCTACTTGTGAAACTCTTGTGAAACAAGAATGCCGAAATGCCGAGCAGGATCTGATCACTTTAAATGAAATTGTTGATAGTGTGAAAGAGTATACAATGAGGACAGAAAAGGAGAGCGTCTCTTGGAGAACAAAGACTTTGTCTCTGGTAAGTTCTCATAGAATATGCATTTCCCTCTTATCTTCCCTTCAATCACACTGAGAATCTTTTGAAATAAAGTAAATTACAATGAGTTGGTTGTGAAATGTATTTGGAAATGACATTGCAGATCGAAAGAACAAAATCCCGTCTTCTGGAGCTTATAGAATCCACTCTACAGATATCAAATCTTGATCTTGCTGCCTCATATATATTTAAAGGGGAAAAATCTGCGACGACGGCTGCTGCGTTCAGGGTTCAAAATGATATAATTGGTCCTGCAGTTTCAGATGCACAAGTGAGTTGACCATTCTTGACCTGTTTAGGAACTGACTCAAGCATGTTCAATCTTGGTTTTTATATTGTGTGGTTGATTCATTTAACTCATCTTTCAGTTTTCCTCATTTTCTAAATCAGTTATTGCACTTTATTTTCTTCTGACGTGTTTCTTTAGTATTTTCTGTTCCACTTATCTTTAGATTCATTTGGTTTGGTTGGTTATAATTTATTTACCATTTCTTTTTTATGTTATCTGGGCATGCAGAAACTACTTGAAGAATATGCATTATGGTTAAAATCAAATAGTGCTCATGAAGGGAAGCTGTACAAAGAATCCTTTGAAAAAAGGTGGTCTTTGCTTACCAATCCAAACACACAGATGCATTTTCAGATCAATGAGTTGCTGGGAAAAGTTGATGATGTCAGCTTGAAAGTGATACAGAACTTCAGTACTGGTGCAGCTTCAAAGCTTTTTGAACAGGAAATACGTGAAGTGGTTAGTCTGGATTTGTCTCATTAATTATTTCTCAAACTAGATAAGCCCGGAAAAGTAAAATAGAACTATGACACAATCAAACCCGAACGAATAGTAAAAATTGACTTTTAAACATTCTTGAGCAAAAGATGGGATGTCTCAATTAACTAGTTTAATAATAGCATCTGAAAGTATGTGTTGTAAAGTTGAGTGCTTATGGAGGTCGGCAATCACACACACACACACGCACACACACATATTCTATATGTCTTTATCAGTATAAGATGATATCTCTAGTAGCAAAAAGTTGTACCTTATGTTACTACCGACAACTTGCTTCTTGTGTAGGAATGTGTTTTAAAATGCTCTAAGATTTGAGTAACATTTTTGCAGTAGAATGGTGGCATAAATTTGTAGATAAGTAGTTTTATGCAGCTTTACCCCATTTATGCTTTGAGTATTAATTTTCTTGGATTTGTTTAGAGGCTTATTTGCATTTCATAGTATTATTTATTTTTCTTGAACTTGTGATTCTCTATTTTATTGGTGGCCTTGGAAACTGGATAGTCTTCTGGTAACATTCAATTTTTTGAAAGCTCAAGATGTGGTGTGTAGTAAGGCTGTGTTTCTTTCTTGCTCAGAGATGGACCCTTTGGACATAAATAGAATTAGCTGGAAGTGACTTAAATGGTTAAAAACCTATATCCCAAGTATTGTTTTATGGCGTTCTGTAGGTGTTATAAAATAAACTACCAAATAAATAAATAAATAAAGCTAAGGTAAGCAAAATTTCCTAAAAGAAAAAATTATTTAACTTTCAAACTCTTAAGATGAAATCTGTTAACCGCTTTTCGGTAGCTGACACTATCTACTTCAGCAGAAATAACATCAACCCAAAAGGTTTTGGAACTGATTCTTCAAATATATTCTGGCAATTTCTGCACTTTTATTGTACTAGAAGTTTATTTTATTTCAGATGGATTAGGTCTTATCATACAGTAAGTTTATTTGTCATTTTTGTTGATTTATGATTCAGTAATCCTGATATGGAATGTTTTCTTTTTGATCCTAGTACTTGGGAACATTTGGTGGACTAGGAGCTGCTGGTTTATCTGCCTCTCTTTTGACATCTGTGCTACCTACCACTTTAGAAGATCTTCTTGCTCTTGGCCTTTGTTCTGCTGGAGGGTAATGTATCCTCCATTTTTCTCTATACATTAGTCAGTTGCAGGATTGAGATTTTAGTATCATCCACAAAATAGAAGTTTTGCATTACGAGTATATCTTAATATCTAATTTATTCTTTATTTCTCTAATAGGTTCATAGCAGTTTCAAATTTCCCATCCCGCAAGCGAGGGATGATAGATAAGGTAAGCAAAATAGCAGATGGCTTGGCACGTGAAATTGAAAAAGCAATGCAGAAGGATCTCCTGGAAACAGCTGCTAATTTGGAAAACTTTGTAATAACCATTGGCAAGCCTTACCAAGATGCAGCACAACAAAGACTCAACAACCTTTTAGCTGTTCAAAATGAATTATCAGATATCGCAGAAAAACTTATAACTCTGCAAGTTGAAATACAGAATCTTCATGTATCATAAGATATTTTAAAATTGTTAATGGATGCAATTTGGTTCTCAGTGTTAGTAACACAAGAACCGTTATAATGCATTGATGTTAACATCCATTAACAAACAATGTGCTTGTAAAATTTTTATCCTTCACCTGATTTTGGAGAACAGATAATCAGTGATAGTGCCTTATTTTTACCTAATTATCCATAAGTTCGAAATGGGAAATCTAAGTTTGTGCCCTTTGTCTTGTTTATTTTGATCAGTGGACGTCATTTTACCTCTTTTGAGTGGCCAATTAACATAAGGTTTTGACCTCTTATATTAAAATCAATTTACTCTTATCATATACCTGGTTAGTGCACGAGCAGAAAGGTATAGCTGCATGCCTAGATCGCGAAGTCTCAGCATCTGCCGCTGATAAAAAGTTAATTAAGGATCACATATTTTCTTAATTTGGGAATTGTTAAATAAATATCGATTATGACGAGTGAGTGCCAACCTGCTCAGAACAAAAGAATATATGGAACCACTATCATCATTTCAACAATTATATCCATTGGTACCGTCCATAAAGTTTGTCGTTGGCCTCTTATAATTAATTTTTATATCCAATAATGAAAGTTAATCAATCCTAGTGATTAGCTCGTTCTATTTATTTTAGTCATAAATTGGAATTTTGTAGTCTTGTAGATGGATATTATTTTATATTTTTTATTCGGTATCAACAATATATTTTTAATTGATAATCTAATTTAATGAGTGTTATTTATTTTAGTCGACGTTATTTTGATTTATTAGACTTCCCATATATCTAAAAATATTGAAAAATATAACAATATATTCAATTTTTAGTTTGTGATATTACTTTATTGCAAGACCATATATAAGCTTAGCATTCAGCCGTTAAACTAAAAAATCTTATATCGATAAAGACATTTCTCGAAATCGAATTCATATTTTCACCTTCATAGATATTGAAATTGCTTACTACTGTAATCAACATCTTACTTGTGTTCTTGTCTTTATTTTAATACCAATTCTGGTTCAGTCTCGAAGACACTATGTATGGGAGAAAAACCTTTAAATGTGAACCAATAGGGAAGTGACATGACTACAATGTTTACGTGTTCTCTTTTTCTGTTTTAGTTAATGAAAATAATTTTATAGTGAAAGGAGAATGATGAGTGGAAGACAAAATGCTACAATTACAAAATAGATTATAATGGTCAAAAGGCATTGAGTGCGCCATATTGGCATGTTTGTTTAAGCCATGAATTTGATTCCACGGTCTTTGTTTTTAAAGACTCTTAAAGCAGAAATTGACAAATAAACACATAAAAATAAATGTTTAGACCTTACTTTCTGGGGGCCAAGGGAGACAATGGTGACACACAAGAAGAGAGCCTTTTTTCCTTCCCTTGGCTTATCAGAGTCTTCCTTTTCCTTTGGCCAATATAAAAGAAAAGCAAGCAAATGAAAGCAGATTTGATGGTTAGGGCTAAGTGAGAGTGTCCAAAGGCACATATTCTTGATTCTTGCTAGCGTTGGTATACCTATATAGCACAATCAAAGATTTCATTTCTTGGATTCAGAGGGCTTAAAAAAGTTTACTGTTTTGAAACCAGCAACTGTTAATGCTTCTCTTTCATTTGCTGCCTCTACGAAATATCTTTAATTCATTATTTGAAAATTTGATATCTATCTTGGGTTGCATATCTAATATTTCACACAATAAGATTATACGTTGTGCAAAAGTGAAAGCTGAACGTACATGCTAAATTGATGAAGTAAAAAAAAAATACAAATTGAAGTAATAGAGGACTTAAGAACGACCTAAAGGATATTAAGTTAAGGCATCATTTGCATGTGATGGACAAACTTAAATGGCGTTTCATTTAGAAATACAATAGATTCATATGATGTCTTAATTTGAGTAAGCAATAAGACCTGAGTGGTTGAATGCTTCCAATGGGCTTGTTTGCATGATGAGTAATGCTGCAACAGTACAGAGCTACTCTTGGCTTTTCATGGACAAAATTTAAAAAGACCAAACACAAAAGTAACTCTGCCCTTTCAAATCCTAAAGCTAGAAAAAGCATGTCGCGATATCTCATCAATATAGTAATTACTTATATATATTTTTTTCATTTTCATTTTCTCTCTGTTCATTTTTTTTTTTTTTTTTTTTTTAATACTTATATATATTTTAGTCAATTTCATTTTCTCTCTGTTCATTACTTTTTTTTTTTTTTTTTTGTGCCACAGAGGTGTTTTTATGGTTTAGAATAAGGGTGATATATTTTAAAATAAAGATTCTATGTACAATAAATGAAGACTACAAAATTCATTTATAATTGATATTTTATAAGTAAAGTTGAATAATAGAATATTTAATTTTTTTTAAATTAATATGATTTTTTTTTTTTTTTTTTTTACCACAGGTGTTTTTATGTTTAGACTAAGGGTGATATATAAATATAATTCTTTCAATAATGATGACTTCAAATTCTGAATATTGATTTTATAAGTAAAGTTGAATATTGAATATTTAATTTTTTTTAAAATTAAATATTGATCCCAAAAATTGAATTTTAATATATAAAATCAAGAGTAGGCTCATTTTCTCAACACAGAATCGCCATGTATTTTCTTTTTGTCTTTGAATGATTATTACCATGCGGTTTGTTTAAACTTAAAGTTACAGGCTATTGCTAATGCAATTGTGAAGACTTGTATCTGAATCTTTGACTTTTTGTTTTCTTAATTACAATAGATAGCTAATGACATGATAAATATCCATTCTTGTTTAACTGTATCTCAGATTCTCAGTAGCAAGAAGAACTGTGGGACTTATGAACCCTAGTAGCTTCTTCATTTTTCTGTGAATGAGGCTTGGTTGTGCAAGTGGGATCCTACACTGGCTATTACTCCAAAAATAGTTACTGCATGTGAATCTGTATTATGCTTTACTTATTCTAATTATGGCTATTCTACCAAATTGATAAAGAAAGAATTTTGTATATGGGTCTTGTTTGTGTCGTATAGTTGCATTTTCATTTTGGTGAAAACAGTAGTGTTTAACAATCCAATTTTGTACTTTGTAGACTGCTTCACAAGCTTCACAGGATCGGGGAAATCTCATTTTGCAATATCCAGCCTATTGGGAAGTAAATAATTATAATTAATAATACTGAATTAATGGAATATTACCACAAAAATAGACTTATTTTTATTCACACTATTAAGAAAAATTAATTAATATTTTTTGAATAATAATGAATTTATTTTGCTTATTTTTTTCTATTATTACCCTCTATATTAATATATTAGTTCTCTTTTCGTTCCGTAGAGCTTTGCTCTTTCCCCTATTACCCAAAAAAAGAAAAATATATTACATATCACCTTCAATAAACAATTAAATGAAAAAAGTATTGATAACTAAAGCATATTTAATAGTAATACATTAGAGAATTAGTAAATTAAGAACGAACAAAACTTAACATCCTCTAAATTATTCCCTCCGTTTCAAATTGTAAATAGAAATTAAGGAAATAATTAATTTTTCTAAATTATAGTAATAAAATTAAGGATAATTTGATCAAATTACCAAGTAATTTGTGAAGATAATTATTGTATCTAATATAAATAAAAATAAAATTGAAAAAAATTATTTATTATTTTTTAAAATACGATGAAAAAAATTATTTAATTATTTTTTTAAAATACATTATAATTTTTGGAAATAAAATAATTACTTTAAAATAACTTTTATATATCATATATATATATATATATATACTATAGTTTGCTAATCATTGAGAGGTATATATATTTTGCTTAATCAGGAGGTGTAATCCCCTTTGACCATAGAACGTAAAAATTTTTAGTTTTTTCAGCAAAATGAACTCCCCGAGAATAATCAAACTTGTGTTCTCTATCTTATGAAGATTGAGATCCCTTACCAAGAGCTTGATGGTAAAACAACATATATTTTGATAAGGAGGATGTAGGTATTATTTTTGGAAGAGAGATGGAGCATGTCACTTGAAACTTTTAACGCAAAAAAAAAAAACATGCATGTCCGTACAGTTTTAGTGTCTCTTGAACTATACAAGAACCAATGAAGCATTGACAAATGGAATGAGAACATAAGGATAAAAAAAGAAAAAAACAAGAAGAAAATGCTACTACTGCTTTCTTTCACTCCATAAATGGAAAATAAAAATAAAAGGCAAATGAATTCTTGAAATTGGAGGTGAGGTGTGGATTCTAAGTTAGCTTTTCGATCATTTCTGAAAATTAAAGTTTGAAGCCCTACCTTGCCTTTGCTTGGAAGACATTAAAAAGGGCACCTCGTTTATTCTTTTTAATTATATCGGTATCAGCCAATGTTCTTCTAATTTTGGTCGGTTATAATTAATTAATTAATTAATCATGACTTGATTAATTTTCAGTTAATCACAGTTGAGCCAGATCATTGTTCTTCGCCTTCTTAAATTAAACTATGGACTCTCCAATATCGTGTCTGCTAGGCTAGTGACTAGTGTTGATAGTGAAAGAAGAATCTTTTTTCTCAACCTTTTCTTATGTGAGACTAAATTACAGTAGCAGTTTTTTTTTGTGTTTCTAATCTGAATTTACATCACACAGAGGGTAAAATGGTCAATACTAAATTTTAAAAGTACTCCATATTTAGATTTCGAAACAAAAATGTCTAATTAAATTTAAGTGAAAAATATTTCTTGACATTTCATATCACCCCTTAACGAATCGGCAGCAATTTATTAATTTAATGGTTTTAATAAAGAAAAATATCTTAAAAGGAATTAGTCCGAAGAAATGACTTTGTGCTCTTCAAAAGTTAAGTTGGAAATGGTGTTTGATTCATTGCTTTAATTTTATATTATATAGGTAATCTCAGTCTCAATTTAGGTTTTGACCCTAAGATATCAACTTTCATTGAAATGAGAACATGAGTTATGTGAAGTGAATGATAAATATGAGGTAGCACATTGTATTGTAATCTTAGGCTCCTGTTTGGTCTGTTTTTAGTAGAATATTGAAAATGGGTAGAAAAGGTTGATGTTTTGTATCAATATAGGATTTTTTTTTTTTTTTTCCTATGAGAAATTGTATATAAGAACATATTACAAACCTAAACTGGCCAGTACTGCAATTATGAGTTTTTACCTTAAAAAATATCAAAAATTTTTTTAAAAAAGGAGAAATAAAAATAATTTAAGTTCTAATGTACTTGTATAAAATAAATATTCAACCATACTATTACAAGTATTAAAGCGGTACTCTTTATCTTATTTGCAAGTTTCACTTTTTTGGTATTTCCTTTTCACTTTATAATGTGTGGCAGAGTAAAAATTCTAAGACTCTAGTGGCATTAAAAGTTGCTTTCCTACTCACTACTACTGCCTAAAGCTCTAGTATAAATTCATCCACACCCCCTTCCAATTCTCTTTCATGTTCACTCCTCCTTTCCTTGATTCCTATCTCTTAAATCCCTCTTCCACAATCCATTCATCAAATATCAAAAATTCTACCCAAAACCAAAATATGGGTTTTGTTTGATCTTACTTTTGTCCTTTTGATCTAATAAACCTCCAAAAACTCAACCGTCTCAAACCAAACAAAAAGTCCTCTGTTGCTCCCCTGTTTTTCTGTTCATTTACTCTGTTTTTTTTTTTTTTTTTTCTATCCCTCCAAACAACTCGAACATCTCAAACCAAAACAAACAAGTCCTCTGTTTTGCATCCCTGTTTTCTGTTATTTACTCTGTGTTTTTATTTAATTTTTTTTTTTCCTGTCACTAATATTTCAATATGTCTCGACTGCTCAAGTTTCCAAGGCCTACAATCATTGCTTGGCAGCCAGCTCGCCCTAGTTGAAAAATTACAATGTTGTTTCTGAGGCATAAAAGTTGCTCCACCGAAATCACATTGTTTCGCACGTAACTCAGTTTTCCATCCCAAGTGGGCAATTCTTTTGATAATGACTACCAATAACCAGCCACCAATAATTACGGTGACATGGTATGGAGCTGAGAGTACCCCTTCCCTTCAAAATCTCTTGCCAAAACGCACGTTTCTGAAGCAATAAAGGGACTGAGAAAAAACCGTTTATATTCCACAATGTTTGATAAGCGCTCTGCTTGTAAAGCTTTTTTTTTTTTTTTTTTTTCCTGTCACTTTTCAAAATGTCATGCTCAAGTTTCCAAGGCCTACAATCATGCTTGGAGCCAGCTCGCCTAGTTGAACCATGTGTTTTGAGGCTAAAATTGGCTCCACCGAAATCCATTGTTTCGCGTACTAGTTCATCCCCAGTGGGCAATTCTTTTGATTATGACTCCAAAAACACCACCAATAATACGGTGGACATGGGTGGCTGGAGTTTCCTTCAAAATCTTGCCAAAAACACGTCTGAAAGCAATAAAGGGACTGAAAAAATTTATATTCCACCAAATTGTAAGCGCTCTGCTTGTAAGCTAAGTGAAAAGAGCTTAGAAATGTGCACTGAAAGCTTAGGCAGTGAGACCGGCAGTGATGGCGGGGAAAGTAGCGATGAAATGGCTTTACTCTGTAGTTATTCAAATGATAATAATGAAAACAAATCATCAAAATTGAAAGAAACGAGAAGAATGAGACGTAGCGCTAGCTTTCCACCTCCTTTGACCTCAATTAGTGGCTCCACTAATGTTCAAGTGAGGCCGCACAGAGAAGACGGTAGGCTAGTTTTGAAAGCAGTAAGCGTTTCTTCTTCTAAGGCTTATTTCCATGCAGAGCGCATTAACGGCAGGCTTAAGCTTCATTTAATGAACTATGACACCAATGGAGAAGACGAAGAAGAAGAAGAAACTGAGGAAACATTAGTTGATGAGGAAAATGAAGATGAAGAAGAAGAAGAAGAAGAAGAAGAAGAAGAAGAGGGTTTAGAGGAAAATAATGGAAATGGTGGGGGTGAAATGGAAATGGAGAAATTGCAAAGGCCAAGCAGGTGCAAAGAAGGTGGGAATGGAAGCAAAAGCTTGCTTAATTGGAAGCCATTTTTGGTGGCTACTTAAAACAACTTCTATCCTCTGTTTCTTTCTAAGTTCACTATTATAGCATTTAGTTCCATCTTTGTCTCATTTTTCTTTTAAACTTCAGTGATTATAATTTTAGATTTTGGCATCTATAAAATATGCTTATGGTAGTTATTATCGTTAGTGGACTTGGTCCTTCCTCTCTGTCTCTGTCTCTGTCTCTTTTAACTTTCCTCTCTAGCATATGACTTCATTTTGTCTTCCCAAAATACCCTTGGGAATGATTTTGTAAGTTATAAATTTATAATATATAATAATACATACTCTTTATTCTTATCAGCTAGTTGTTTAAACTCTCCACATAATTAGTTAGGTGATTAACTTCATTAATGTCGATTAAAGGAGTCATTAGCAAGGATGATGTAGCATAATTACCAACCACCATCCAGTGGCATTAGCTGGTCCAAAATGTTTAAATCTCAAGGCATATATCGCTTTCATAGATAGTGTTTTGGACCATTTTTTGTATGAAAATACCCTTGTCCTTGTTATAAGTTTGCTTCTTAAAATTATTTTCTTCTTCCTTTGTATCCAAGTAGAGAAAAAAAAAAAAAACAAAAATAAATAGTAGTTTTATGTATTGCATTGCCATGGAAAGAAAATTAACTAATTTTATTTATTTACGAATTTTAAAAGAACACGAGACTATTCACGTAAAAGTATATTCGGTTTTTTAATCTCCGATATAAAAATTAATAGATGTGAATATTTAACCTCTATTAACTCTCACTTACGATATTTTAAAAAAGTTAAAAATAAAGTTAAAGAAGTTAATCTCGCTTTGCATCAACCTCCTGAAACAAACTGCCATGCAAAAACTTAATTCATATCTGAGCGAGCTAGGTTAAAAGTGGGTTTATGGTAATTGTAATGGCTCCAACGGCAAAACAGATTGCACGTTGAGGTGTACGAATGGTGTACGAATGCCTGGTAACAATCAAGACAAGGTCCCACAACAGAGAGCAACATGCAACTGACCTTATAACACATGATCATCCATGTGCTCTTATTTGCTTTTTACACAAAAGATGTCACATTTACAAAAACTTTAACTTCCCTTTTAACATGGGGACAATTATGAGGATAGAATGGTCAAGTCTGATGTTATGTTCCAACGTTATTCACTCTGTGTAATGTGTTATAGTATTGGAATTGGATTGATCAAGAGCAAAGAAGAACCCTAACGCCCTAACCCTAGCTGATTATAGAGGAGACTTACAAAAATCAATTGGTTGGGTTGGGTAAATGGGCCAGGTTAGTGGGTAACATTCCTTAAAAGAGAAGGGTACTGTACTATCGTGGAGTTTGGGTATCCATACGTTTTAAGGTTTGTATTTGAGGGTAAGGAAGAGGAGATTTGTCAACAAGCACATGCATCATTGTGTCTCTAACATCATGTGCTTTGAGAACCTTATTGAGCTCCTTTAAGCACATATTCTCTCACCATATCCTCTCACAAGTAAGCAAAAAATCTTTTGCCAATCACCGTGTCTCCACATTTTATTATGGTCACATGACCAACTTTTATCTAACTGTGTATGATGCTTAATGTTAAATCCAAAACATAGTTTTTTCAATTTCTACGCAGAAATCAGAATCACATCTCCTCTTTTTTTCCTGCTTTTCAAAAATTTCATCTTCTGTTCACACATAATTCTCTTTCTTGACTAGTTGTGAAGTTCGATTAAACTTAATCTAGACTTGCAAGAACAGGAAAAAGAATGTTTAGACCTATTCATTTGTCGAGCCTGAATATGAAAAAAAAGATGCTGAATCTTAACTAAAAAGGCTCAATTGAGTCCCATAATCCGGCTCGAAAATAGGTCTTATTTTGTTATTATATGTACTTGCTGTGTGAAGAGATGTTAATATTTGAATTGGAAATGTGTGTGTGACGTCTTACCATCTCTGACCAAGTATTTGTTGCTGCATGACAAGTTGGGCTTCAAAGCTGCAACTTGTAATTGAAATAAAATTGTTTTTATTTTTATAAATGAGATACAGACATACAAAACAGAAGAAATAAATAAATATATCCAAGTCGAAAATGGGTGTTAATTAGGTTTATTGTTTTGAAATGGCACATGCAGATGCAGTAGCAGAGGATGTCATTATCAAAATTTTCCTGCAGTAGCTGAGTATGTAATTTGTGGTCAAAAGACTCAAAATGTGCTACTTATAATGGATATTGCTGCTACTACTGCTTCAATTAATATCTTTATACTGTTGCCCCAACATTTTGTAATGTCTATATCACTTGCATCTATTTTGGATGCTGTCTCGTCTTTATTTCCAGGCATCCTTCCTCCTTTTCACACTAGCTAGTTGGTATTCAAATATAAATACATAATAATCAACTAAATAACGTTTTTCTTCATTTTTTCATTTGTTTCAGCTAATACATAATATTTTTATTAAATTAGTAATACCTCAGAATTAATAATTACAAAATAGAAATAACAATAACTGTATATTCTTTAACGAAATACTAGTTTTCATCCATAATCATAGGCTTGGTTGTGTCTAAAGTAGCTAGCTAGGCGTATATATTTTCACCATATATATAATTTTCTAATATGTATTGATGAGTGATGCAACTTGGTACGAACCCACTCATGCATTTACATCGACCAGGTTGGTTGATGTGGTCGTCCATCGACTTGCATTACTTTACACCTCAAATTTGCACCATCGACATCTCAACCTCTACATACAACTGTGGATGGCTTTCGACTTGGTCTTGCACTAATTTCAGTCTATTGCTTACTGGGGTAATTATTAATCGAACTAATCCAAAATGAATTCTTCAACAGTTTTACATAATAAATTGCTTACTCTCCGATTTTAATTTACTTTCTGCTGTGTGGATTACCCAAAAACTCAGGTTTTCTTGGAGATTATAAACCCAATCCATTAAATCTTTAATTGATTGGTGGGGCAGAGGGTACGTACGAAGGTTTTCTTGGATATATATATATATATATATATATGGTTACCAAAAACTTCAAGGTGTTTCTTGGATGATTATAAACCCCAATCCATTAAATCTTTATTGATTTGGTGGGGTGCAGGAGGAGCTTACGTACGAAGGTTTTCTTGGATATATCACATATTACTATATATAATCTATGGTTAAGTGAAGATAAATTTGAACGTAATGTAATTAAATAAAAAAACGAAGGTGGCAAAAAGCCTAGTCTTTTGCCTGGTGATTATCTGTATGAATACGTGTCAAATCACACCAAAAATAAAAAAAAAAATAAAAAAAAAAGCGCTCCTTTAGAATCAAAAAGAAACCGCACTCACGCACTCTGTCCACCCAACCTAATAGACACAAAATATAATACTTATAACAATCCCTACAAAAAAAAAAAAAAAAAAAAAAAGCGCTCCTTTTAGAACAAAGAAACCCCACCACTCTGTCCACCCAACCTTAGACACAAAATAAAATTATAAACCCTACAAAGGGACAACAGAAAAATGAAATAAAAAAATAAATACATATTCTCCTTATAATTATTGGTCTGAAGAGAAATATTTGGTGTTGTTTTTGCTTTTTTATGATTCCCCATCTAATCAAGGTACGTATGTCTATTATAAGTAGATACATATATATAGCTAATAAGGTAAAGTAATTGTGTCCTTGTCACCGATATTAAACCTAAAAATTGCACCACATGACATAACATCCAACCCAAGAATGATCTTACGTATGAAACGTTGAAATGAAACAATAAGCTGGTGGTCTGGCTTCATCCATCTTCAGCCTTTGTATTAATTTGTGGCATTCGAATTCCAATAATGTCGCCCACTTCTCCTAGTCCTACGTGTTCAACTACATTGTTCTCCACATGATATTCCTCTGATTGAAACTTCTCCTTTCACATATATTCTATTCGTTATCGTATTTGCTTTTATCGTTGCTGGACTTCCATGTCACCAACCCAATCCATTTTCTCTTTCCTTTCCTTACCTATTAATTCTTCAATCCAATCCATTACTTATCACAACTAAACCATTACTTATATAAAAAAACGATCTAAGTATCTGATTTAGCAGTTATGAGATCAGTTTAATTCATATCTAAAACGATGTTACAGTACATTAATTAATTAGTTAAACTAATTAATTAAACTTAGGTGGAAGATTGGAACCATACATAAGCTATAAAGAGGGCCCGAGGTGATGGGAAACATATGTATGTGTAGCTTTCAAGGAAGGCCACCAGAGTTGTCTGGTGCTTATCTTTTGGATGTGATTTGTATAATTGTATCGTATTGTAGTGTTGGGTATATGGTACGTAGTGGCTCTAAAAAGGAGTTAAAAACTTAACATTGTTTGTTGGAATCTTTGTTTCCCATGGCCAAGGCGGATTTGATGTCTGTGTTGCATGCAATTTTTAGCTTCTCTATCTCTTTCCACCTACGTATATACGTAATGGAAGTTTCTTTAAATATTATATATAATATATTTAATTTGTAAATATAACGAATAAAATATTATATTTATTGTTGATCAGACCGTGAAGAATGAGACAGTGAGAAGTTTTGTATTTTTCGTGTATCACTAATTTAATGAATATTATTCAAATGAAAACATGTAATTCAGTATTATTTCAATTTATTTAATCTTGAAAATATATGTATTATTTCACACTTTATGAATAATTAATATGTGAATAATGAGGAAATAAATAAAAAATATATAATAATATAAGGGATTCCAGTTACACAGAGGATCCATGATAGTATCCAATAAGGACCCACAATTTACTAACAACAGGATTCAGTAAATCTAGTCTCTTCTGCTAGGAATCATGAAATTTTCTGTCTTGTAATTATTAATATCCTTTTCTTTTTCTGTTTATTTTTTGAGAATTTTCTTTTTGTAAAAATGTGAAAAACATATATCTTGGAGAGCGGCATGGTTCAATATTCATGTCTTACATATATAGATCATTAGGTATGGTGGCCCTACCTATCATCTATAGGTCGATTTGCCAATTATCACCTGAGTGAACAATCCCAGCCGTCCATGTCTCCCACCTGCTCAGCAAATTTACATTGATTTGGGATTTTGTACTTACAACTTGTGGTAATTTTTTTTTTTCTTTTTCCTTTTTTCTTTTATGGGATTGGTGTCAGGTGCATTTTGCCGACCTAAATAATGCCTGAGACACTTTTTGGCCATTTTATAAATATTTTGCTTTTTTAAATTTTTCAGTATTAATATCGATGGTCTATTTTTTTTTTTTTTTTTTTTTTTTCATATTAATATCGATGGTCTATTTTTTTTTTTTTTTTTTCTATCTGAGTGAAAAACTCACCAATGAGTTTGAAATAGGTAGCCACAATTGATTTTAAAATCATAAAAAATTTATCGAGAAGTGACATTACGGGCTGTTTTTTTTTTTTTTTTTTTCTATCTGAGTGAAAGTGCAAATTTTAAAAAATTATGAGAATTAATTACAGTACCAACTTACTATATATGATAAAATATTTATTTAAATTAAAAAATGTATTCAAATTTATTTTATTAGATTCGTGCGTAAAAAATTATTAAAGTCTTTATTTGTATATTGAAATACAAATGTTTCAAATTATATTCTCGTTTATATTAAATTTAAATTATATTTATGATTTCTATTTTAATAAAGTTAGTTTACTTTAATATAATTATTGATCGATATACATGTATTATAATACTCAAACTCTCTTAAAATTGATTAAAATAAGTTTTAATTCTTTTAAATTAACTTTAAATTCTTTTAAATCAGAAATCCCTTAACAAAAAAAATTTAAGGATTTATAGAAAAAAAAAATCGATTCTATCTTTTAAAAGAATACAGGAAAAATAATTTCGAAATTTATAAAAGCGAAAACGATCATGAAGAGCAGAAGGGAATCTTGGTTAGAATTATTGAAACTGAACGAATCGGGCGAGAGCAACTCGAGCAAGTTCAAAGTCATAAGTGAAGACACAGGAAAAATTGTTAGGCATATATATATCGGATTTGAATTTCAACTCTACAAGAAGACAAAAGTTTTCAGGCATCATTCATGTTAACAGTCAAAAAGAACGACACAGAGTGGATTTTGATGGTGGGAGTGAAGGATCATGTCCACGAAATGTAAGATCTTCTTTAGCTCTTTCTTCCCCTGCTTGATACCTCAGAATCCTATCCTTTCACATCACCTGCTTCTACTTTTCATATATGACAATAGGTTATAATCATCCTAATCTCTTCAAGAACCTCCCCACTTCCTTTTTTGTTCATTACCCTGCTAAAACTACCTTTACTTTTTCTACCCATTTATGTTCAAACACATGAAATTTATAACTCTTTATGTGTTTTTATCATTGAGCTTATAGCTTAGTACTCAAATATCTATTCACAAATTCAAATTCTGACAGGTCTCATTATACACCCAACAAAGGAAAAAGGAGAGATCACATTAATTTTTGGCAATAGGCCCCCCAAAGTTTTGGGCTCAAGCTGAAGGGTGAAAATCCAAAGTCCAGTTAAGCCCAACTTGAGGGTTAAACGCAAGAATTGTTTTAAGGTGTCAATTAGCTTGTTCGGAAATAAAATAAAATAAAATAAAAACTTTCCCTTCAATTTAGTTTTTGAGCAAAATTACTTTATTTTCTATAACCGAATACTAATTTGATTCTTCAATTTCTTTTAAAAATGCTTAGACATATCCCCTGCAAATCTTACTTTTAATGGCTTTTTGACTTTCTTTTGTTGATTTGGACAGTAAAGAGTTTGAAATAAGTCTTGTTAGTTAGCTGTTAATAATAGCATCAACACAATTTCAATAAAGCGCAATATCATTCAATATATATATATATATATATTTGACTTTCTTTTGTGATGCGAGCAGTAAAAGGTTCTGAAAATAACGTCTTGTTAGTTAAGCCTGTTAAAATAGCATCAACACCCAATTCTCAATAAAGCGCAAATATTCATTCAACGTTATTATATATATATATACTATATATTTTTCAATATTAATTCTGGTTTTATTACTTCGGCAACCTACCTTTAGGTTGAGCGGCCAGCTTGTTCTTGATTAGCTTTAAGTTTATTCAAATCTGGCGTTTCAAGAACAAGATAATTTTGTATCAGATTAAGTTAATGATAATCTTCAAACCTTACTACACTTATATATATATATATATATATTTTCAATATTAATTCTGGTTTTATACTTGGCAAACCTACCTTAGGTTGCGCGGGCCAGCTTGTTCTTGATTAGCTTTAGTTTCAAATCTTGGTTCAAGAACAAGATAATTTTGTATCAGATTAAGTAATGATAATCTTAAACCTTATACACTTTATATTGAATTTAAACCAGATCAAATTTGAAATAAAAAAAATTTTTTTGCTTATTGACAAAAATAAAAGGGATCTCTCAAAACATAAACAGTAACATAACTAAATCAAGAAAAAAAACTCCTATGAGATCAAGTGAATTAAACCTTGTTATCAGGGCTTGAGACATACAAGGTAAGCAATTTCACGGCTGGAAAGTTAATTTCAGTTTTCTTGGACACATCCTCTGGATCTTCTGATTGTTATGGATGAATTCCAATTCCATAGCCATACAATCTGCACATACATAAAATAACTTAAATCTTTTGGACTGCAATTTCTAAATATAATTGGTTGCGAAGACACTTTGTTGCAAGTGGACTGTACTTGCATCTAGTTTTTTATTTTTTTTATTTTTTTTTTTTATTATGACAATTTAGTTTTTCATTATGTTAAGAGTTTTGAATAGTTTTTAATGTTTTCCAGTTTGATGTATATGATATTTTGAATCAGATTTTTTTATTAAATTATCTAGGTTAGGTTGGGTATAAATGGGAGGCATAATGGCTTGGAATAGTATTTAGATACAATAAGTTTTTCCTAGATAATATAATAAAAATTATCTTTGCTGATAAAAAAAAAAACGTAAATCATTTGAGATCAACTCAAAAGCAAGATGCGATTCAGCAGCTTGAGGTGAAGAGAGTTCCCATATTTCCCGAGAAAATTATCATGATTTCAAGAAAATTGAAAAAAAAAAAAAATACGAGTTAGACCAAAGACCCATTAAACTATCTTACAAGTTAGAATAGATAGGTCATGAATGTATTGATGCAAGTGAGAAGGCAAACGGCAAATACGATAAATCCACAACTGTGACCAATGCAACATGAGGAGTAACAATCTAATAATAATATACAATCGATACATGATATGAGATGTGAATACCTCGTATGCATACAACTGTAATGATTCCATGATGAGTTGAAGCGTGCAAAATTGGGAAAGCCTTCCATTGATGTAGCAAAGTTGCAACAGTTAATTGGCAGCTCAAAATCTAGCTAGAAGAATTCTTCCTTGCAGTGTATGCGCGAAAAGCTGCCACTCCGACAACTGTGAAAGCAGCCCCAACTGTAAATTTAAAACAGAGCTCAGTGAAGATAAATGCTACAATCTTAATTAGTCCTATATATGTTTATGGAACTATGCACTGAGAGAGAGAGAGAGAGAGAGAGAGAGAGAGAGAGAGAGAGGATGAACCTGACATGAATAGCAGAGAGTGACTGAAAAGCTGCCGAAAGTACTTGCGCTTCCTCCCAGCCTCAGTTTCAGGAATATTCAAATGAGGGCGTTCAGCTGCACTTAGAATTCTACAGAATACATTATTTGTTTCTCCTAGTTTCATGCTAACAGCAATAGGAGCCTCTATTCCCAAATCCTGACAAACCTAGAAAAGAATTTCAAATTTGAAAATAAGAAGAAATTTGAGCCACAACTACCAACTTATGCAAACAGGGAATTGAAGTGCACAAATATGAGTTTGACATTTTTTTTTTTCACTACAATCATGTGTCAGATATTTTTGAGTATGCAATGATGAGGTAGTCAAAGCCTGAAATATATACCGTTACTGGATCCTGAACTGCCATTGTAAATGGATCCAAGTCATCCTTGGCTGCGACAAGAAGGCATGGCACCCCATATCCGCTTTCTTCACCTAACCTAGTTACTTCCAAAAGCATTTCACAGGTTCTTTTCCAAGAATATTTATCTGAACTGGAAATATGAAAATTTATGTCATGCGCAATGTCTATCCATTTAGCAACATTCTCAGAAGAAGAAATGCCAACAAATATCGACAGAGGCAGATATAGGGGCAATAATAGCACCATCAAACTAATGGCAGAGATAAGATAAGAACAGCAAGCACTATCAAACGACATTAAATTGTAACAAATGCATCATCATATGGTTGATAAATTAGATTCTCCCCCCAACAACTAGAGCCAAACTTACCTATCGTAGACAAATACAGCAACATCACAGGCTGCCAGGGATTCTTTATTTGACAAAAATTTCTTTACTCCATCTTCTGGCATCTCGTGCAAAATAAGAGTCTTCTTATTGCCCTACACAGTTATTTACATGAAAAAGTTGACCATACAGCTCAATCTGTAACACCTCAATTAATACAACAGGTATATTTGTCCTTAGATATCAAAGCATAGATATGTAATGAAAAATAATCACTTGATTCATTTCTCAGCCAGAAACCTAGTTAGAATGGTACATAAACAGCTACCTGGGTTCATCATTTCTACTGCTACCACTTACCAAAACCTGGTCAACAACATTTGCTGCATAATGCTCTGCTATTGTTGGATTGTAAATTGAGAATGGCCTGCAGTTGGAATTGGCATTCCAACATCAGTATTGCATAAAGGAAACAAGAATGGGAAAAAGTGTAGCCAATGAAGACAAGGAAAACTAGCTACTCAGATGACCTGAACTGAGTTATATTAAATAATTGTTAGAGGTTCAGATTAAACACCTTTCTAAAAATGAATTCAATAGAGCTGACTTTCCAGCATTTTTAGGACCAAACACTAAGCAATGGAAAACATTTCTTTCTGTTCGTTGCTTTTTGCGGTCCACTGTTCTTCTTTGAGTAACACAGAGTGCTGAAGCAGGATTTCCACCATAACCAACATATATCAGATTAGCCAAACTGCTTTTTGGATCCAGCAATGTCATGAGATCCCACTGTAATCACATATTCAAATGTGAGTAAAAAACTCAAGATGATTATGCAGTAATGGATTTAAAAATGCATGAAATAAATGCTGGATTCAAATAATGATTAAAACTAGAATGCCAAGTTAAATTACATTTCCCCAAACAATTCAGAGAAAAACACCTTCGATACTGTTCTCATATAGGAATCAGTATTGTCAAAAGCGCAAGGCGCCCTTGAGGCGACAAGGTCCTCCATTGCCCTAGGCAATAGGCACCATGCGCTCACCCGAGTAATGTGACGATTCAAAAATTCTAGATAACCCAAAATTTAGAGTTCTATTTTGGTTCCAAAAAGCATTAGATAATTTAGACTTCTAGATGTATTGTTAAAGAATCAAAAGCTCAAAACTATATAAAACTGTATGTAATGGAGTTGTTCTTCACATTGAGACTCAGTTGGGTAGTTAAATTCTTCTTCTTCACACTGAGGATAGAGGTTCTTTCTTCTTTACATTGAGTTATGCTGTGTATTTCATGTGGCAGACATCATGCGTGCTTTCTTACTAAGTATTAGATTTTATTCACTTAATTCTTTGATTGGCTGTGATTGTGAAGCTTCCCAATTTGAAGCCACTTTCTTTTTTCTTTCCATATTTGTTATAGTTATTTTAATGGTTAGATTAGATTTTGATCTTTTTATTAATGGCTATCAAACTTTCTATATTAACTTTTTTTTCCCATATATATATATATATATATATATTCTTCTATTAAAAGTTAACCTAAGATTTTAATATTTATATGGGAAATAGCAATTTTTATTTGATTCGCTCGCCTGAACCTTGTTGCGCCTAGGCAACGCCTAGTTGATGTCACCTCGCCTGAAGGGATGCCAGGCGCCTACCCCTCACCTTGCCTGAGCGCTGGTGACAATACTGATAGGAATAAGATAAACTTTAAATCAATATTCAAAATAATTTGATGTTTGAAAAGCAGCTTCCTTTAAAATATATCCTCACAATGAAAGAAACTATCACCGACATTTCCTTTCACATTTCATCATTGTTAGAAATTCATGTGAAAAAAATAGCGTCTTACATGCAACATAAAGTTAAAAAAAAAAAAATTTGTTGCGTATCGCAGATATTAAGAAATAATTAAAAAGAATGAGAAGTAGGAAATACACCTCAGATAGGAAACCCTTCAGAGTTAAATTCCTTTGTGTTGTTCTCTCTGCAGCATCCTTGTAAGGAGCCTCATGCCAAGGACTGAAATATAGGAAGGATCAGAATATAGAAGAAATTATGAACTGAAAAATCATAATGCAGCCATCTGCAAGACCCGAGCACAGAAGTCGTAAAAGAAACAATTGGCAAACTATAGTAAACAGTTTTGAGTTCAGACCAATATATAGGAGTATATACATATACACTAGTTATATCATTTAACATAACTAGTTATATCATTTAACATTGACTTTACTCATAAAATAAAGTGAAATATCTATTGTGAATACACCTAATTTATGTGAACAGCTAGTACCATAATGGTTTTTAATTACACTTGTAATGTATAATGTAAGACTTTATTTATCTCAATTGATATTGATGATCTATTATCTATAATATAATAATTTAATAATTATTAATATATCAGACACAGAAGTCGTATAAAGAAAACAATTGCAAAACTATAGGTAAACAGTTTTCGAGTTCGGACCTGAATAGCTTTATTATAGGAAGTACGTATACATAGTACAGCTGTGCGTCTTAAGTCATTTATGATATACGAGATATCATTCATTTTACGAATCATTAAAACTAGTCTATATCATCCTCCTAAGCAATTGACATTTACTCATAAAAATAAATCTAGTGCAATTATTATTGTGAATAACACCTAGAGCTTTATTATTGTATCGACAAACAGCTTACCTAATGGGTTATTTAATCTACGAACTCCATGCTAATTGTATAATGTAAGACTTTATTATCTTCACTTGATATTTGATTGATCTATTATCTATAATATAATAGATTTAATATTATTAGCCGATATATTAATAATTATATTAATCATAAATGATGAATAAATATAAAAATAAAACTAAATAAAATAATAAAAAATAAATAAATAAATAATTATATAATAAATAATAAGTATAAATAACTACATATATAGTAACTATACAATGGATATACACAATAAATTTATTTCTTCTATTGTTTCTAGTTTCGAGATATATGCATGTACTTCATTTTTATTTAGTAAATTAAATGTCGGTGTGAAATGTTTTCTTGAACTGCTCCAAAAACTGATCCATGCAGTCTACAGCATGCATGTATGCAAGTTCCTAAACACAGAATTGTTGACATGACAAAAACATGCAAACAGATTCATTATGCAAAAAAAAAAAAAAAAAAGATTATTGTTTATTGTTTTCCCTCAACTTTGACATAAGTAATTAGTTTAGGAGTCCCATTGTAATGTGGCAAGCTTTAAAAAAAAAAAAAAAAAAGATTATTGTTTTCCCCAACTTTGAATAAGTAATTAGTTAGGAGTCCATTGTAATGTGGCAAGCTTCGCTCATACAATAGGCTATTGATGTAACCGATAGATACAATTGTAACTTCACAAATCAATATTCTCTCTTCACTATTCTATTTTTCTCTCCCTCTCTCCGATCATTCTCTTTCCCACATATTTTCCCTCTCTTTCCTCTATTATCTCCCTTGCCAATGAATAGTTGGTTTGGGTCCTAAAAGATGACCAACTCGGATCATTAAGAAACTATAAAGACCTTAAAGCACAAAACTCTGAGAATCATAGTATGTACAATCAAGAATAAAGGAAGATAACTAGACTTACTTTTCTGGAGCAGTTGAAAATAGCTCATCAAGTTCAGCAGGTCGTAAAGCCCCATGCTAGTAAATTTTTACAATGACAGATTAGGACTTTTCCGATATACTTGGATAGACTGAATTTTAAAATTTTAAAAAAATATAACCTGGAAAGGAGAGCAATGACAATATAAGCATCCAGAAAAGATTAATACATACATTATCAATATCAAACAATCGGAAGATCCCACGCAGAAACTCCACAGCTTCAGTAGTCAGCTCTATACTCTACAAAACGAAAGCTAAGAGGTAATTATTTGATACTCTAAAAGGACAATTGACATAGAACGGGATGGAAAAGTGTCCATCACATAAAATGGTTGCAGTGAACATGCATTTTTCATGATATTTCAAATGGTGGCATACATTAGTATAATGAAATTTATCAAATTTAAATACTTTTCGAAATACTGTTAGTGGATAATGCAGCACAAACATATGCTATTCCTCTAGTCATTCACGCAGCACGACATAAATACTGAAATACAATAGAAACTATCAGAATAGAGCACCATGCCACCTCTTGAACAAATTGAAGCACTCCCAATAAGAGATGGTACTCTCCTTAATTCAACCATTATGTGAAACAGAGGGTTACTTAAGTAGTTAATAACCATAAATGTGGAACGAACACAATAAAACCAAATAACCAATACAAAATATTAAGCCGCTCCATTTTACATCGTTTCCTTTTTTACTTTAACATGTAATCATTATTTGCACAGGTGTATATAATGCAAATCTATGAGGAACACTGTCATGGATTTAAAATTTTAAAAAACCAAGTCATGGTTTTGTATTTCACAAAGATGAAAAAAGCTTAAGCACAATCAAACATCACAACAAACCCACTCCAAAATGAAATCTGAGATAGGTTTCCTATCATCTATGTTGCATGGAAACTCTGTTTGGCTGATGTTTCCAAAATGCGGGCCATTTTCATAAATTGGATAATTTGGAAACATGTTTCCACTTTTGGAAATACATTTCCATAAACTAAAAACTCTTGGAAACTCATTTCTCTAATTAAAATAGAGATATAAATAAATAAAAAGTCACAAAACATGTATTTTTTATGAGTACGGAACTTGTAAACTGTTTTTTTTTTTTCTTTTGGATATGATTAAATGCTGATTGGAGCTGACTTATTGTTGATATATTTAATGGTTCAAAATAATTTATCTTTTATATCTATAATTATAACCCTATAATTTTCATATTCAGGCATTTTATAATATCATTTCCCGCCGTGCTTTCACGTTTCCGTTTCCATGCAACATAGCGAATCATCAGTACCTGGTCAGAAGCTTGTTTAGATGGAACAGGAAGAAGATCATCTCTGAGTTTTAATTCATCGTCATAGCCAAATTTTCTCAAAACAGCCCAAGTTGTTTCAAGTCGCCCCTTATCTATGAATAGAGTATGTAGGAAAAGGAATCCTTCAAGTGTAAGACCCAGGTCATTAACACCTTCTTTCTTCTTTTCTTGTACTACTCTTCTCACACCCACTATCTCAGCAGGCTGCAGGGGAGCATTAAAACACTTAACCTGTTTATAAGTATTGCAACGTATCAGATTACCAAAAAGAGTAAAAAAGAATTATTTAAAGAGGACTAAAAGTAGAAAAAGGAAAAGAAACCTGAAAGTCATTCAACTCTGCATCATTAAGTGCCCCATCCATGTCACGATCACAAAGAAGAAATATCCTTCTCAAAGCCCTTTCACATCGAGGTCTCAAAGCTTGATTCTCTTGATCAAACAATGGAGATGTTGGATGAAGGACAGCTTTTTGAGCAAAATAGAAAACATCTGGGACCTAAAAACAATTAAGTTTAATTCTTAAATTTTCACCAGTTATGCTTCTATATTCTAAACAAGAAAAAAGGTAAGACTATAGATAAGTTGCCTCCCTAACATGAGAAAGACTCAAGAAAAGGAAAACTAGTCCATGATAGGAATGCATGTCTTCTTAGTCTCATCGGTTATGAGTTTGCCTTCTGCTATGTTCTCCTCCACTTCATGCATTTTCTTCCTGCAGCTATGAGGTTTCATTATATCGTAGGCTGCCATTCTGTTCCTTCCTACTAAATTTTTAATTTGTAATTCACTTCTTAATTAAAAAGAAAGTATACAAGCAGTGGACAATAATTAGAAAGAAAAAAAAAAAGGGCCCTCAGAAACATGGCATATCTGATCAAATGAGGTAAATGTAGCAAACAAAAAGTTTTAGTATACCTGCATAAGGGTAACTGCGGAACATTCTATACAGGTCTCAATTTCTCTATATCGTTGCATGGTTGGTCCCATGACCTGCTCCAGGCTAACAGCCTCACTATCGGGTCGCAAGTCTAGTTTGCAACCAACCACAATAATAGGTGCCTTGATCTTCATAGAATAATTATTTAAAAAAAAAGAGGTAAGGGATCAGCCAAATTTTCAGTTATCAAATTAATCACGTAGTATAAAAAACCCCGATATTGCGAATTGCAAAGTACCTCCAATTGCCGGAGTTCCTCGAGCCAAGTACTACTCAAACGACTGAGTGTCAGAGGTTGATCACAAGCATAAGTTAACACCACCGCATCAGCTCGCTTCAATTCGTCAATAAGCTTTCCTCTATTCTCCGGGCTATAAGTAAGAAATATTGTCCATAAATGTAGTATAATTTCAATATTTAAGTTTTAAGTAAAAAATCGAAGCGTCGTACTAATTGGTATATTAAGTCTAAAAACAGAGAAAATCTACAAGTTTTGACGACATTTAGAATCAGCAGCAAAAAGATTTCCAAACAAGCAACAGATGTATGTATATAAATAAAAAGTAACGGAGGCTTTACGTACGCAGAAGAAGTGTCGATGATGGTGATGGGGACACGATCGGGGAAGAAATCGGCCGGTAGACGAGTAGGAGAAAGCACGCGGGGGACGTTCTCGGGGAAAGAATCAGTGGCAACCGCCGCAATCAAGCTCGATTTTCCGGTGAAGCGATCGCCTGCGACGACGATTCTCACACCGGTCCTGCCGCCGGAGGCAGTGTTCCCGCCTGCCATCGAGACTTCGAAGTGAAAGAAAGCGACAATGTAAATAGAGCGAATCAACAAATAAAAGAGTAAGTTCAGTGAATCTGTTTTATTGGCATTTTCGTGGCTGCATCACCTGCGTACATGTGGACAAGAAGTTCGTTGAAGAGGGCCTGAGACTTGGGAATTTGCTGCTATGTGGGCTGCTCTTTTTTGGGCTAGGGCCCAATTAATTATCCTGCGGCCCAATAAAGCTCCACCAATTATACGAACTTGCCGACCCCAGACTCGTAGTCTCGCTCCTTTTTGGAAATGTTGCTCCGGTCCATTCGTAGAAACCTTGCCGCCGCCGCACGTCACTTCTCGGGGCAAGCAGCGGCAACGGTGTCGGAGAGGCCCGTTAATAGCGGACGAGAAGTCACGAGAAAAGGTGGTGGAGGAGACACGCTGGGAAGGAGATTATTTAGTCTTGCGTACGCGAAACGTAGTGCCGTAATTGCTATACAGAAATGGAAATCGGAGGGACACTCTGTGCAGAAGTATCAGCTTAATCGTATTGTTAGAGAGCTCCGAAAGCTAAAGCGGTACAAGCATGCCCTCGAGGTCCGTTACTTTTTTTTTTCTTTAACTTAAATATAGTACTATGTAACTTTAATGTTCATTGTGATTGTGGCGTTTTAAGCTTTAACCTTATTATGATATGATTACTTGGAAATTTAATGGTTTAGTAAGTAAAATTTTGCAACTTCAACCTTCTTGTGGTTGTGGAGTTTTAACACACTGATGATGATGACTTCTGTGATATTTAGTATTTGTATTTGACTGCAAGCTTTTCTTTTTTCCAATGATTTTTACGGCAAAAACTTCAAATGCTCAGTCATTTCAAATGACTAACTATACAAATTATTTGAATAGGTTTGTGAATGGATGACACAAGAGCGAGAAATTAAGCTCTTGCCAGGTGACTATGCAGTGCACTTGGACCTGATTGCTAAGGTACGTGGTCTAAACAGTGCAGAAAAGTTTTTTGAGGATTTGCCTGATGAAATGAGAGGATGGCACACCTGCACAGCTCTTCTTCATACTTATGTTCAGTTTAAGTTGCTTTCTAAAGCTGAGGCTTTGATGGAGAAAATGGCCGAATGTGGTTTCATGAAGAATCCCCTTCCTTATAATCACATGCTAACTCTGTATGTTGCAAATGAACAGTTTGAGAAGATTCCAGGAATCATTAAGGAATTAAAGAAAAACACTTCCCCTGATGTTGTTACTTACAATCTGTGGCTAAGGGTATGTGCCTCACAGAATGATATAAAAACGGCAAAGGAGGTTCTTTTAGAACTGAAGAAGGCAAAAATAGATCCAGACTGGATAACATATAGTACATTGTCCAACTTATACATAAAAAACGAACTTTTGGAAGATGCAGCATCTACTTTGAAGGAGATGGAGAAAAGGGCCTGGAGGAAAAATCGACTCGCTTATTCTTCCCTTCTCAGTTTGCATACAAGCATGGGAAATAAGGATGGGTTGCATCGAATCTGGAATAAGATGAAATCACTGTTTCGCAAAATGAATGATGCTGAATATATTTGTATGATTTCTTCACTTGTGAAACTTGAGGAGATTGAAAAAGCAGAGAAGCTTTACTCCGAGTGGGAGTCAGTTTCTGGAACATGTGATCCTCAGGTCTCAAACATACTTCTAGCTGCTTATATCAATAGAAACCGAATGGAAGAAGCTGAAAAATTTCAGCAACGCATGGTGCAGAAGGGCATTCGACCTTGTTACACTACTTGGGAGCTTCTTACATGGGGTCATTTGAAAGATAAGCAGATGGAAAATGTTTTAGATTATTTTAAGAAAGCCATTAGTAGTGTTAAAAAATGGAGTCTGGACAAAAGGTTGGTTGGAGAAATATTTAAGAATCTTGAGGAGAGAGGAGATGTTGAAGGAGCAGAGGAATTTCTGGTCATGCTTCGGAATGCTGGCCATGTGAGTACAGAGATATATAATTCTCTTCTACGAACTTATGCTAAAGCAGGTGTAATGCCCCTAATAATAGCAGAGCGTATGGGGAAAGATAATGTTGAGTTAAACGAAGAAACACATAGGCTGATCCAAACTACAAGCAACATGTGTGTGAGTGAAGTCTCAAGCTTTGTGTCGTAGTGAAAACATAAAATTTTTACCTCGTCAGCTACCTGGAGTTATTAGGAGGTTTTGTGTGGTAAAATCTTTGTTCAATTTAATTAATTTTGTTGTCAATGGATGACAATTCAAGAAGTTAATGACAAATACGCATGATGTTATTGTTTATGCACTTGAATTTTATTGCAGATATAAGAATTGTTTAGAACTTTTTCAAATTGAATGAATAGCTGATCAGAATTTTTTGCCACATCCTTCCCTCTCGTGTCTGGGACTGGAATGCCATCTTTTCTAGGCTTTGGAGGGAAAAAAAGTAGTACAATGTCAATCTTGCTAGATTTTTCTGCAACGAAGTACCGTTTTCAAGAGAAGAATACTCATAGTTTTCTTATTTAAATGTTCATATTAGGATCTTGAGATGACAACATTGAGCCGCAAATCTGAAGTGACTTTTACTAATAACTACTGGACTGGAATAGGCTAGTAGTTATTAGTAGGTTAAGTGCTTGTTGTTGTTGGGATCTATCTATGCCCTGTTTCAAACTTGCAGGATCTTAGCTGACCTACCCAGTCCGTCCATCTGTTGACTAGCATCATAAGTGGTGCTGATCATCCTACATCCTCATCATGATTGACCATAAAACAAACAAATTTGTTGTTTGGATTGTGGCATAGTTTAATTCAATGTTCGATTAACTTGTGAATAGGAATTGGGTTGGGGTCGGTTTGTAATTTGCATCTAGCGATCACACCTTAGCCTCATTAGCAAGCATTAGCAATGAGGGTGAGTTAATAAAAAGTAATAGAGAAACAATAATCTAGTAAGCTATTAAAATTGTGACAATGCATTTGCTGTTGGTTTGGTCCGTGTGTGCCATCTTTTATGACCGGTGTCAACATTAAGGATTTTTAGGTGCTTTCCAAGCGGAGAGAAGCAATATTTTTCTAAATGAAAGTATTAATCTTTAATTTATCTGGAAAGAAAGAAATTAGTTATAGAAGAAAACTAGTTGGCCAGAGACATTCCAAAGTCCGAACAAACAAATTTACAAGTTATATATATTAGAAGAAGTGAACATATAGAAGTAGTTGACCAATACTGCCACATCTTCCTTTTCTTCTATGTAAAGCAGATCAGCAGATCAGTTTAGACATAATATTATAAACCCAATATATATATATATATGTATATAATCATCCTCTCCTACTGACACATGTCTGTGTGTTCATGGATACTCTGTGGTGCTGGTGATACCAACATTCCTAAACCAAGCATTTATAAGAAAGCTGGATTTTCGTGAGTTGGTGTGAGTGGTTAAGAACACAAGCTTCTTTTAGATAGTTATATCCAGAATAGGAAAAACCTTTATAATAATAATAATAATCACTCTTCTGTCATCACCTGTGACTAGTTTCAACTTATCACCAATCAGTGCAGACCAAAAAAGAAAAAAAAAAAAAAAGGTAAATATCTTTTTTCCCAAAATATATTTCTTTTGAAGATGAACAGAGTTTTATATATGTGGTTATGGAGCAGTAGGCATTAAGTGAACATATAGGACTGCAACAACCCAATAGACAGGAGGGGGTTTACCAACCCAACCCAACCTGCGTCCACGTTTTATTTGTCTGTAGCATTGAGTCTGTGTTTGTCTCATTTATTTTTTATTTTTTTAAATACCCATGTTTAAGTTTGAACTCAAGCTCCATAACTTTTTTTTAGCTAAACCTTAAGCAAATTACGAGCAGCTTAACTCGTTCACAGTCGTCATTAATTTTTTTTAAAGAATTTAAAGTCTTAATTGTTATGCTTTTAATTTCATAAAAAAAAAATATTACTATTGGCATTAATCAAATCTTGGAGTGAATAACCACATGTCGTTGTTAATTAATCTTGAATACCTTTCACATTTTTAGTAAACCATAGGAAATATTATAATTTAACTATATTTTTTTAATCTATGTAAAACTCAAATTAAATCTATTTTTTATGGGAAAAATGAATATTATTATTATCGGTTCATGTGTAGGCAGATAAATTTTCTCGTGAAATTATCATTAATTAAAAAATTTTGTTTGGAAATTTTAGTATGATGTTTTAATTATTTAAATTTAAACTGTGCAATAAGAAACATTGCTATTCAAAACCTATTGTTCGTTTACACTAAATAACCCAACTAATATTTACTCAATTGAAACTAGTGAACCTATAAGCATAAAGACAACAATTTTGGAAATAATGGTGTTTAATCACCAACTAATTAATGATTATGTACCCATTTCTTATAAAGGGTAGGTTGAAATATTCTCAAGTCAAAATGTCTAAACTATCTGTTTTGGTAATTAAAATGTGTAAAATCTTGAATTAAAAAATTAAAGAGATTAATTCATTCAAACTCATATGCTTTGCCATTCTGAAAAATTTTCCAAATTCTGGGCAAAATAATAGAAAAAACTGATTGTGAGAGGTCAACTTGGTAAATTACTAAATTGATAACTCAAACCCAAAAAGAAAAAAGAAAAAAGAAAAAGATAAATACAGAATTGCAAAACGTAACATGGATTTTTTAAATGCTTAATTCCAGTCGGAAATCAAGGTTAATTAACACAAATCCTATCATTAATAATCCGTTAAGAAAAGCAAAACGCATACGCCTATACGTAGAGTGAAAAAACCAACAGAGTAAACGACGTAGTTTAATTGAAACTTTTCAGCACGCGCTTCAGAAGAGGGTAGAGAATCTATTCAATAAAAAGACCCCACAATCCATCCTTTTTCTCTCTCAACCTTTCCACGTAACTATTTAGTTAAGTTGCAGGTTAGAAGTTGGAGCTTAAAAACCCCTCCAGGCTCCATCTCTCCCAACAACAAAGAAACTCAAAAGAACAAGGAGACTGTAACCCAACAAAACTCTCTCTCTCTCTCTGTATCTCTGTTCTTCTATGGCTTTTAACGAAGATGGAGAAGTAGGGTTTGAAGAGGGAATGCCATGGCTACCATCTCATGTTCTAGATGAAGAAATATGGGAGTCCAAGGTTTGTTGTTCTTGTCTCAAACACCATATATATATATATATATATACATGATCATCATAAGCTCACCTTTCCATATATATATACGCATATATATAATGGGTATTTGTTATATTTACTTCAGTTTCTGCTATAACTATTATTACATTTACATGCTTTGTTTTTATAATTATAGGAACATGGCAATAGACACCAGAAGCTCCATCATCAATATCCAAATCTTGATCAATTGCCTCTACAGCCATACAAACTGGTATACATAAACCCATTTCTTTCTGTTTCTTGTTTAGAGTTATCGTGTTTGATTTCATAATATGTTGATTAAGCATAAAAGGTGTGATTATTAAGGTTAAGGATTGTTGAATGTATATATATATGTCGGATTATCTTGCGTCTTAATTATGCAATGGGAAATTATCTACTAGAATTACTAAATTTCTGTTGCTAATACTACGATAAGTGTCGGTTACGGGGATGTCAATTCATGTAGTGGCAAGTAGGCTTGTATATATTCTGGATAGCTATAAATTATTGAATTGAGATGGCCTTTCCTTGTGTCCATGCAATTATTGAAAGGTTGGATGAAATCCTTTTTTTTTTTTTTTTTTGCAAGAAATGCTTAAATTATTAGCTACTTAATTAGCACTTTGTGTACACAATTTATATATGCATAGGTCCTTTGGGAGGGAAATGAAAGCTAATACTCCCTTCTCGATAAAATGGAGGGCAATAAGAATTGCAAGTTAAGAGGAAATTTTGTTTTTGTAATAAAATATAGTAAATTACCAGAAGTACAATGTTCTTGAAAATTTCTATAATAATGAATAAGGTTTCATAAACATTGTCCAAAAATAACTCTTATTGTTTTTCTTTCTTTTGTTTTTTACTTTTAATTATGGTAAGGTAAACTTTAGTTTTCAAAAACTCATTATTTACTTGGCTTTTTGGAGAAGTTGATTTAGATTTGGTAACTGTTAAATTGTTCCATCAGATGTCTAACAAATACCTTTTTTTTTTTTTTTTTTTTTTTTTTTAATAAAATATAGTAAATTACCAGAAGTACATGTTCTGAAAATTTCTATAATAATGAATAAGGTTTTCATAAACATTGTCCAAAAGATAACTCTTATTTGTTTTTTCTTTCCTTTTGTTTTTTTACTTTTTAATTATGGTAAGGTACTTTAGTTTTCCAAAAACCTCATTATTTACTTGGTTTTTTTGGAGAAGTTGATTTAGATTTGGTAACTGTTAAATTGTTCCCATTCAGTATTTAAAAATAACCTTTTTTTTTTTTTTTTTTTTTTCTTTTTTCGGTTGCCTTTAATAAAATTTGTATCTGTTATTTTCCGAAATCAGTTTGCTTTATATATAGTTCCTTCAGGATTGTTTTCTTGTAGTAATGAAACAGGTTTTGTTCACCTGCATTTTTTTCTTTCTCAGCACTCAAAATCCAGCCCAAGATCTTGTAGAACAAGGTCCCCAACAAATTGGGCAGGAGGACCTGGAATGCAAGCAGTTTTTCTAGATTCTGGTAAAACATCATGTGGGACAGGAGTTTTTCTTCCAAGAAGGGCAGGCTCCAATTTGCAATCCAGTAAAAAACCAGGTAAAAACATCACAAAAATTATCAGCCACAGTAACTGACAATGAAAATGAAATCAAATAATCATAATCTACAAAACTGATCTACTATTCTTTGCAGCTTGCTCTCCTGTTCTTCTACCTGCACGTGTTGTTCAAGCCCTCAACCTCAATGTTCACGAAATTGGCCTGCAAATATCACGCCGGCGAGGTCACTGTCTTTAATAATTTTTGCGACCTAATCTTTTATATGTTGATTTCTTGTGCACTGTGATTAATTTGTTATTTAACTATATGCAGATGCCAAGAATAACTCAAACAGTGGAGTCTACAATCCAGTAAAAAGTAAAAATGGCAAGGATTCATCAGCACACTGCTTGGTTGTATCACAGAATGAAAATGCTTCACCAGAAATATTTCTTCCCAAAGAATGGACTTACTAGCTCCCAAATGAGTTACTAATATAAAAATTCCATAAAAAGCAAAAGCTCAAGTCTAGGTGTGCTCTTCTCAAACACCAACTAGCTGTTCAATGTAACTTAAATAATGACAGCAAAAAATCACCTCCCATATTTGTTGATTTCATTTGTATCATCCGCATTTTAATTAAATGAGAGTTATATTAAATTCAATGCATAAGAGATTAGTAGAGGTAGGACTGAGTTATGGATCTATTTAATCCTCCAGTGTCTAATAATATTCTAGATGCGAGCTTTTCTTAATTTCAAGACTTCAGATTCATTCATGATTGCTTATAATTTATAATTATACTTGTATAAGTGCTCATAAGTATCTGACAGGGAGCACTTTTTAGCTAATAGGAAATTGTTGTATGCGTGTACATAAATTTAAGGTGATTTGCTACGTCAAACAACAAAGAATTCCAACTGAGAAATTCTGCAGATTAGCTATATGATTGCCAACATTGAGAGAAGTCTTGGCAAGCTAATGCAATCTGAGCAATCACTTGGGCAAAATGCAGTATAAGGCGAATTTTGTTTAGACCTTGGAGAATGCAATGGATCTTGAAATGAATCAATAGCTGAGATGAAAACATAGCGGGTCTACGAGGAAACTTTTTCATTCTTCTGTTGGAGTTGCAAATACAAGGCCCTTAACAACATGGCGACACTGAAACCTGAAAGCGTAACATCAGATAGAGTACTTTATGGGGTAGGAATTTGGAATTGTACAATTTTATGATCAACCAAAAAGAAATTGGTTAAGACCCTCCTCAACCTCTTCTCAAGATTTGAGATTAACATTTTCTCTGATAATATACAGAGGGGAGATTTTACAGCTAACCATAACACCAACATTTATTTTCAATTAAACCTTCAGAAAAATAGCTACAGTGTTTAAAGCGATCCTGTAGAATTTTCTTAAAACAAATTTTGATAAGTAAAGAGGATCACAAGAAAAACTTTTGCTGAATTCCACCTCATTAACTTGTTACATCTGATCAACCAGCCTTCAAATTTACTCTATCCATTGTCTCACTAAGTTTCAAGTCTTAATAAAGCTAAAAAAGGAAATATATAGTGTTGGTGCACCTGAGATAACACCATTTGAAACCTTATACATACCAGATAAACTCATTAGAAGTCGAATCCGTCAGGTTGATGGAACTGCCTGTCTGACAAGCATTAACAGGAGCAACCATATCCTGATCTTTACTTTTACAATTGAGTCGCAGTCTGACAGGTACAATCTGGCTTTTAAGAAAAATACCATTTTAGTATTGTTTTACCTATTATAAACAAATTGTGGAAACAAGAACATTCAAATAAAATGCATGAAGTTCCTAATCTAAGGAAGTCGAAAATAAATTTGATAATGCTTGCAGTAATAAGAATAAGAGTGGAAAGTTCCCATTTCATGATCTTAGATGCTACGCTTTAATCATGAAATGTAGTAAAACAACTTGCATGCATAAAACAACTTGTACAGTGCGAGAAGGGTCAGAAATTGATTGAGCACAAGCATGCCAACAAACGAGAAATAAAGCTCACCTAAATTTATTATAACAGTACTAAAAAGTGTCTCAATGCAATACTCTCATAAAGTGCGGTAAAAAATACGAAGTCCAGTGAATAAATGTAGAAAATTAGATTGATCCAACAAAATCACACTTGTAAATAACGCATGATCCAACTATGAATTAGAACTATAACAGTAGTCCGGTAACACTAATAATATCTGAAGATGAAAACACCCGAACGCAAATAAAAGCACATAGGAGAATTCGCTATTTGAGAAATTTAAACTGTACCTTTCTGCTATATCTGAAGTCACGTTTTGGAAGAAAATGCAGAGGCAGATTAAAAGAAGATGGAGCTTTTACCAATAGAAACAACTTAGTAGGACCTCAAGAAAACAAAAGAGGAGGAGAATCATCAGTTTGAACGTTCCTAGATTAACATGAAATGACTATACATGCTTTTACCAGATACCTGGGTAGGAACCAGACCCACCACCCTTTGTGATTAGTGTACGAATAGCCTGTTAAACAAACGCATGAAAATCAAAGGCCACAAAATATCTTTTTTTTTTTAAATGCAAATGAATTTGGATGTCAAGAAACCTTTCTTGAGAGCCCTTCGGCTGCTTTGCTTTTAGTAAAATCATTTGCTCCTCTGAGGACAACTTTTCCATGTGAAAACCACAATTCATATACATGCTGTGGCCGTAATGGACTAGCTCCAAGAATCAAAATAAAACTCTCGAGACTAGGAATCTCACTAATTATCAGTTGCAATGCACTTTCAAGGCCATTAAGAGTATTCATCAACTTCTCTAATCTCTTAATTCCACTTTTGACTTCTCTCTTTCTGCTATTATGTTTTCTTCGAATAGATGCCTTTGCTTCATCTTGTGCAAGAGCCATCTCCTATAAAGTGATAAATCTTAGGCTCTGCTAAAAATTATATGTAATTCAAATCAGATTAATGAAGCTAACATACCAGCTCCTGATATTCCTCTTTCAAAGAATCAAATTCGAGTCCAATATCTTGCAAAACGCTGCGTATAAGAAACTGATTTCAAAAGGCGAGCATTTTCAAATTCAAAGATCTCGTCTAAAAAAGGAAACTCGAAGTGAAACCAGACTTAAAATTTTGTCCAAATACTTGAATTATTGACGATATGACCATCAATATTGCAGAAATACACAGAAAGAAAGCTTGTATTAAATTATTGTCAATGAAAAGGAGAAAGCGAAGAGCAGAGAAAGTAACTTACGAAGGGATCTGCTGGTGCATGTAGAGAACGAAGCCTAGAACGTCTTTAATGACATGGAAGATCACCGAATTGTCCAGAGATTCTGCGTTTGTGTTGATCTCTGTGTATTCCATCTCTGAGCTTCCGTCTCCTTCCATCATGTTTTTTTTTTTCTCTCTTCAATCAGAACTCAGAAAATAAAAGAATAAAGGTTTTTGTTCGGTATTAGTTTATGGACTCGTTCTAGAATTGGGCCCATTTGAATTGAATTTTGAGCGGGACGAGGTAAAACTGGAACAAAGCATTTCTCTTTCACGACAAGGCGTGCGAGCCCAGAACTAGCATGAATCAGGCGGTCTTCGAACGGCCGGTCGTGCAGTTTGCAGACATGTTAAAATCACAAAATGACTTGTCAAAAGAGCTTGACGTTACGACTTACAATTAATAGGAAACGTCGAGAGCCCAGTAGCGCGTATAAAACGATGGTCGAACGACGGGTCGTGCAATTGCTCGCGTGCCAAAATAGCGCGTCACTTCACTTAAGCCGGCGGCTGCAGTTTTTTAATTTTATTTCTTGCAATTTTTCCTATTTATATTTTTTTAGGATATTTGTAAAAATATTAATTAGCCGCTTCATATTGAATGTTTAACCTCCAAAAATTATCCAAATCTAAAAAATCTGAAATAATTAGATTCATGATTTTTTTTTTTTTTTTTTTTTTAATTAATCGCAAATCTTATAAAAAATCTGAAATAATTAGATTCATGATTTTTTTTTTTTTTTTTTTTTGAAAGAGTTGGATTTATGGAATTTAAAAACTAAGATAATAAACAATCTTGAATTGAAAAAATAGTGGGAATTTTTTTTTTTTAAATTTTTTTTTTTTTTTTTTTTGAAAGAGTTGGATTTATGAATTTTAAAACTAAGATATAAACATCTTGATTGAAAAATAGTGGGAATTTTTTTTTTTAAAAAAAAAAAAGAAAAACCCGAAATTGCATTAAGCACAATTGAAGAAACATCAAAAATAAAAAGATTAACAGGACCCCACTCCTCAAAGCCCGACATAAAACTAACATAGCAGGTTACTAAAAGACAAGCAACTTTATTTGGAGGCCTAAGACAAAAACAACATAACTATTAGCATTACCAGAAAGCAAAGATTTACAAATTACAATCTGAAATAACATTACCAAGAGACAAATCCATATCTCTTCGATGCATGGCCTAATTTGCAACTAAATAAGTTTCTAAACTGTCTTAGTTTCTAGTAGTGCTTTATATCGTCTAACTTAAAATTTTAATTTAAAAAAAAAAAAAAAAAAGACATAAAACTTCTAAAGATGCATAAATATTGTAATTGAATTGCTACAAAATGTGAAAGCTTCATACGACTAAATAACTCGATTCTTACATCACCAGACAACTTAAATTTGACGTGAAATTCAGATTTTCCTATCCCATGCTGTAGAATTCTGCTGTGTTGTTGTCTTTAAATTTTGATCTTTTCCTTTAAAGCCTGGAAGCCATGCTCAAAAAATGAGTCTTCAGAATCTACTTTCCACGTTTTGACACAACTGAATGAAAAAGACTTCATTTGCTTGGAACAACATTTGCTTCCATTAACACAACCAAATATATTCCTGGAGAATTGTATCAACAATCAATTTTATTAGAACAATAATAATTCTAAAACTCTAAATACCGAAATAAAAAGAAATTCCTTGTTATAAGCTAAGCATTAAATATTAGGCAGGATTTCCTGTTGAGTATTAAATAGTATTACCCGCCTGGAAAGGCAGAAGAGCTTAGCCTCATCACATCAAATGTTATACACCGTAACGCCTTAGAGCTTTGCTTAAACTTGGCATGACATTATAAGCCTGATAAGATCTTCTCAAGTCAATAATCGAACCCACCTGGATCAACAAAAGTTTAGGGTCAGTAGAAGATGAATGAAAAAACATATTGCAAGGTAAAACGACCCCGATTTTAATTGTTCTGCTGCAAGTGCAAATTAACTTCCACTCTGAAGGATTCTATCCTCCTTTTATATATCATAGTAACATACCTCTTTGCTACCGTGCTCTCATTATCCAAAATAGAATAGTAAGCAAATTTCTGGCATCTCACCAAGTAAAGCAATATATAATACTCCTCTATATTGAAGGTTGGCAAAAAAAAAAAAGGATAGATTTCAAAATTCCTCAGATTTCAAGCCAAGAATTTTCTGAAACATCAATTTTGCTATGATGTATTAACCAGTACTAACCAGCCATTTATGTAAATTCTATGTCTGGAAAAAAACTGAGTGATGTTGAAAAGATCCACAATAATTTTGATGATTTCATTTCCATGGAAAGAAGCCCGAAAATTGTTCTCACCAAAAAAGGAGACCATGGGTGTCAAGTCTATAGAGTACATACTATTGATGAAGTTCTGTGATAACTTTTTGCTAACTTATGACTGAGGCAAAGAAATTATAACAAATGTAAAATTACGTGCATTGCATTGCAGGTCTCTCATGCAAATTTGCCAAGAAATGATTGATTAAGCAGTGGACAGTCCAGATAACTATGCTTACATTGTCACTTCGTCATTACCAGGACAGCATAGAATCAATAAGATCATTACAAAAATAAAATTCCATGTTTTGCTGAGAAGTTCTAGGCCTGATGGGATTTGGAGATGTTCAGAAATAAACTTACTCTATTACACCTTAACCCCACAGTGTAGCTCCTAGATTGCATATAATTCTACTGTTAAGATAAATAGAGTCCAAAAACCAAGAAGCACATCTTAATTCCTTATGGTGCAGAGAAGAACAATTTTTTTAATTCTGTCATTAGCCTACTAATGATTTCACTTTAGTTAGAATCCTCCTCAGCACAAGGCAACATGATGAATCACTGAACATCATATATAATGATGATGACCAAGTGCAAGCATAATTGCAAGGCTTGAAGAAGTACTTACAATAATCAACACTGATGTAAACCCAATTGCAAATCCCTCATTGATACGGCGCAAGTAATGATCAAGCATGGTTGATGTAATTGCCAAAATACTCAACAATAAGCCTCCTGCAACATAACCCACCAAAAATAAGAAGGAAAAGGAAACAGTAAGCTTAAAGCTATAGACTGTATTTGTATAATGACTTCCAGACTTGCATATACCCCAGAAACGTGTTGATGCCTGGATTTTTGTGAGGTACTCAATGGTAGCTTTCCCAGGTTTTATGTTTGGTATCCTGGCACCCATCTTATTCAAGTAGTCAGCAATCTCCTTTGGCAAGTTGGCCTGGATGGAAATCATGATTAAATGACATTCACAGAGAAGAAGCAATAGTTCACAACATGCACAATGTAAAGTAGTAACACTATCATTTCTCATAATTATTTATCATCCAAACATTCATAGATTAGCATCATAATTTTGCAACAGGTTATTTTAGTTGATGAGCATAATAGGTCAGGTTACACTCATATGATGATGGCACTAGACTGCCAGACTTCATGACAGCAATAACTACAAAGCATTGAATCAGAAAGTCTGCTATATCCATGTTTCCAATGAGCTTTAATTCTATAATGATGCATGTTTCTACGGAAAACCTCCAATGCATGAAAAAGGACCCCACAAAGGGTTATGTTGAGGCTTTAGGTGCAATGACATGAAAAGCATTACTTCATTGGTGTACCATTTTTGTTTTATATCCATGGGGCCACTTTACCTGGAAGACGGTTGAGAAAGATCTCCAGAGCAGAAGATATCTTTCTCAGAAATTTTTTTATTCAGAGCACCCAGTAAAAGGCACTCAATACTTATTATGTTGCCAATATTAACTAAATAGCGTAGGAAACACAATTAGATCTCCAACATCTTATGTATGCAGTAGCTCAGCAACACATATTAGGTAAGTATAACCATATCCCAGCAAGCCTAAAGATTAAAATGCCTTTATGTCTAGCTTTACATACTTCCTATAAATGCTGCACCAATGAGGGTTGGCCATAAAGGAAAATTTGAAGTCCTATCACATAGCATATCCTCAGAAAAAGTTTCTATCTCAGAGCAATTATTGTTCTAGAATAATCCAACTGAGGTTAATAAGATACTTACAATGTCAAATATATTGAATACAAAAACAAAAAATCCATATATCGAATAGTAAACCCATGGCTCTGCACCAAGAGAAGTTTCAGGGTTCAGTATCTCTTTAACATGCTCCCAAAAAGGTGAACCAAGAATTCTGCAATCAATGATATGTGTTAGAAAATGAAAGCAACTTCTTGTAAGACAAATCAGCAGTTTTAGTAATAAATTTATGCCAAGTCAGCAAAAAATGCAACTTAAAGATCAAAATAATTCAAAACAAACTTAACCTTCAAATACAAGCTGAATTTCAAAGGTGTACAGGAATATGTAATAATATAATAAAATTACCCTGCAATAATACTGGGCATCGCTAAGAGATAAGTGGTGGTAAGAACTGGCTGCATTCCTGTTGGATTAATGTTAAAAGGGATGTATGGCTCCACTTCAGTGATTGGGGAATCATCCCTGGTCAACACAGAAATACAACAGAATGTGTCAATTACCCATATAATTAGTTAAAGCAAGAGCAACAAAAAATCCAAATATACAGTTGAAAAATTCCATTATGGTGGCAGTTTGTCAAACTGTTAGTCATTGTTGACACACTATAGCTTTATCAGGTATCAGGCCATCCTCTACCTCCCATGTTAGTACGAAATAGAATATCCAGAATTAATTACTTAAGATGACAATCTGGAAAAAGATTAACCCACTAAGAAAAAGTGGCATTACCTTGCAGCTGATGCAAGTTTAAAACCATAATACTGCAGTTTTATTTTCCTGCATCCTTCAGTTACAACAACCGCCCACATAGTTACCATCATAAAAATTCCCAGAACTGAAAAAATATATAGCCACCAGCTAAAAGCACTTCCTGCAGTATTTGAAAAAGCTCAACATAAATATAGTTACCTGACATTAACATAAGAAAATTTCTAGAATATGTAGAATTTGTAAGTACAAATGAAATCATGCCCATTAATCTTCAGAAAGAGGAATGAAAAAGAATATAAGTTCAAATTTTAATCTCACTCACAGTATCTTTGTACATACCTGAGAACTGACACAACATCTTATGCAACGTATCTGTGTAACCGGTCAGAATTCCCACACATATAATTAGAGATGAACCTTGACCTGAAACATACACGAACAGTTGAGAAATTGAAAAACAAACAAGAACAGACAACATAGAGAATGCATGTATTCTTTCTATGTCTTAAATATTCAGTCTTATCAATTTCTTCTAATTTTAGCTCTCTTTGTCTTGGAGAAGAGAACAAGCCAGACAACAAAAATTCACAGGTGGTGAATGATAAAAAAGCAGAAAAGTTGACAAAATGACCAAACCCAAACAAAATCCCAGAATAATACCAAATCCAGATTCTGATATTGTATCACAAATCCATGTCGTAGTCATTGCACCACAGACCAATAAAAAAGCAGTCACCATCACATGCTTCACCCTGCAAAATTGGTAAATGATTTTACAAAACAAACAAACAGCTTATAGGCATTGTTTAGATAGTGTATCAATGGCACTATATACCTGTGACTAGCTGCATAAATTGAATATGGAAGTGAATAGCTAGCAACCACCAAAGCTTCTAATATTGCAAAGCCAAGAGAGGCCCACCATCTGAAATGGATAGAAAACATATTTGATCTGTAACATTCTAAATCCTAGGTTGATTGAAGTAGATTCAAGGCAAAATTCAGTATCAAGGAATCGTCTCACTGCTTGAGATGAATAACTAGACACACATATAACTCTTAATCTTCTCATGGCCATCCAAGCCTTCTTTTCGCAGCTTTACTAGAGATGGAACCACATGACACAGTACCTGTGGATCAAGTTGAGAAAATTAGCAAAAATTTGAAAAAAAAAAAAAAAAAAAAAAAAAAAAAAAAAAAACCTAGACACACATATAACTTCTTAATCTTCTCATGGCCTTCCAAGCCTTCTTTTCGCAGCTTTTAATCTAGAGATGGAACCACATGACACAGTACCTGTGGATCAAGTTGAGAAAATTAGCAAAAACCTTTGAAAAAAAAAAAAAAAAAAAAAAAAAAAAAAAAAAAAAAAAAAAAAAAAAAAAAAAAAAAAACCCAAACCATCATGGTTCAACAATTTTTCTAACAAGAAAGGTTTTGACAGAGAGAGAGAGGGGGAGGGAGGGAAGAATGAGAAAAAGAAAAGACTGCCTGTTAAACTTTGTAAACGATGAGGTCAGGAGGAAAAGAACATTGCAGAGCTATGAACTGGATGCAATAGATTCTATATAAAGGAAGGTAACATAAACATTAAATGGCAGAATGAAAAATATCTCTAAAATTAGACAAGCCTTACAATCATGCCTTTTTTTTTTTTTTTTTTTTTTTTTTTTTTTTTTTTTTTTTTTTTTTTTTTTTTTGAGGAAATACAATCAAGGGAACACTAATCATGAAGCCGAATATCATCTATATCCAAAACACTGCTGCCATCTACTTATTTTATGCCAATGTGTAACAGTTGATGAAACAAAACCCTTTTACTTGCTTAAATAAGAAATAAGATGACTTTCCGACCTCCATGACACAATAAAACATGATAACTTGCCTTTCCATTTTCATTCATATTTGCCAATCAACAAAGAATATTATTCAACTTGGTAGACAACAAGCGTTCAATGGCTTCACATCAAAATATAAACCTAAAACCCCCATAAATTTCTAACACAAGGACCGAAAAGGAATCAGTAATATAACTGAAATAACATGTGGAGCCAAAATATTAAATAATGATATGGAACAATACAACCAAAATGTATGTAAATTGTGTGAACTGTAAAGCTAACAATAGACCTGCATAAGTATTGATGCTAGTATCTGAGGGCTTATTCCAAGCTGAAACAATGAAAGTTTAAGCTCTGTTGAGAGGTCACCAAGTTCATCTGTCAAAGAATGGAAGACTTGTCACAAGAATGAACAAAGAGATTTTAGTAGAGATATATAGAAGATCTGAGCAAAAACAAAAGGGAATAGAAAACTCAACATGTTATTAAGTGTTATGATTGTTTGCTGGTGAAAATGTGTATCTGTTTGTTTAAGTATACTCACCAACAGATCCTGAGACAAAGCTAAGATAATCTTGGGGCATCAACCTTCTATCAAAACCAGGCAGAGGAATATAATACCCAACACGACTGATTATAATTAGTATAGCTGTCACAAATAGCCTCCGCCGTATTTCACTCTTAAAAAATGATTCAGCAGCATTATTGAGGACAGAACTTATGCGTACAAAATCCAAAAACCTGTTTCGAAACATTTTAGGTTGAGATTGCAAAGTATTAAAGTTACAGGCATCATTAAAACTGAGAAAAGCAGCCCCATCATCAGATCTTGGTGGTAGAGATTCAAGTGCAACTGTCGGCTCTGCATTCCCATAATCACTCTTGAGTTGATCTGAAGAATTGATGGTGAATTTCTTGATTGTTCTTGATGGAAAAGGCCTTTTGTGCAACCAGAAACTGCTGCTGCTTGATTCCGCCACATCCATCTTGAGAGAAACACAGGTTTTTGTACATTGGGTGTGGCACAGTTGAATAATATGTTCATTGTGCTTAGCTGTAGAACATAAATATAAGTCCACAGTGATCCCAGATACAGTTGTTCAGAAGGAAACAAAAGAATGGGGAGAAAAAAAGAAAGAGAACCATGAACAATGATCACACAACTGATGTTAGATATTACAATTCTTACAAGACGGTAGAAAGGATTACTCATGGGTGACTATTTGCTAGTGGCTTAAATGGCAGATTTTGAATGTTGCTTTTTACAGGACAAAAAATATTTCATTTGATAAGAAATGAATGGCAGACTGATTCTTCATCCAAGAATATAAATTTCCTAACATTAACAAAATTAAAAAGTCGGTAGACAGTTCAAGAGAAATTATAAAAATGGTAATCTCAGCCCAAAAAAAAAAAAAAAAAAAAAAAATAGACAGTTCAAGAGAAATTAAATAAAATGGTAATCTCAGCCCAAAAAAAAAAAAAAAAAAAAAAAAGCGTAAAGCAAATTATGAGCAAAATAACTAACTTGACAACAAGAAAATTGGTAAAGCGAGATGGAAATACGCCGGCAATTGTTTAGCGCAAAATGAAAGCTGCAAGCTAACGAAATGATAAACAACCCTAGGCTAATGTACATGACACAGTGAGCTTTTACATTCCTATTAAAAAAAAAAAAAAAAAAAAAAAGCGTAAAGCAATTATGAGCAAAATACTAACTTGACAACAGAAAATTGTAAAGCGAGAGGAAATACGCGGCAATTGTTTAGCAATTGAAACTGCAGCTCAACGAAATGATAACAACCCTAGGCTATGTACATGACAAAACAGTGAGCTTTTACATTCCTATTTGATATTATTGTTCTTCGCTTTGCAATTTCTGAGGTATTAAAAACAAACGGTAAAGCCCAAAAGATAAGTTTCCTTACCTCTAATTTTGATATGTCTGGTTCCAAATAATAGTGGAGTGAAACGAAGAGTTGCTTCCATGTGCGGCGGCGAGCTCGGCTCTGGTCTCCTGTGTATACGCTTCACTGCTAATATCTCGTCCCAAATACTTTGCGCGCAATTTCTTGTTTATAAATATCTCGGGACGTTCTACTGTACATAAGCGGCCAAGGGAAAACCCGTAGTGCTGACGTGTCAAGTTGAAATAATAATAATAACAATAAAATCCTGTAAGGCCCAAAACCCATCAGCTCTCCGCCGTTCACTCTATTCCACCGCCATCTTGATATTAATAAACGCCGATCAACAACATGAAATTCCAAATCGAGGACTTGCCATACGATAATATTTATCCAGAGCAATATTCAGATATGGTGGAACCAAAGCGTGACCTGGAGGCCAAGGGACATGCCTGCTGCCTTCTAGAAATGTCGACAGGCAGCGGGAAGAACCATGGCGCTTCTGCCAGCTACACGCTTCCAAAGCCATTGAAGCTAATCTATTGCACAGGCACTGTGCATGAGATGGAGAAAACCCTTGAGGAGCTCAAATTGATCTCTACCCTCGTCTTCTCGACTTCACCCGATTGTTATAGTGGAAGCTTTACAATGTCCTTGATAGAAATTGTATATGCCCAATGGTTCTCACTCGCAGGAAGTACAATGTTGAAGCTGAATCTTTTATTTATTTGTAGAGTCTCCTAGGTGAATCTATCTATATGTAACATGCCCCAAGCATTATATCAATTTTGAGGATTTAATTTGTAGTTGGTTGCATTTTGTGTTCAACAGTGACCAATCTCCGATGAGCCCAAACTTGATATGAGAAGTGATCCAGGTGTTGCAAGCAATTATGGGAAGCCCTTGATGGAATTGGTCTCTGTTGTCCCGGATGGAATTGTATGCTTTTTTGTTAGTTACTCGTACATGGATGGAATTATCAATAACTATAAAGAAACTGGAATTCTTAAGGTGAAAATACTGTTTTCTCTCTTTTGTTAGCAGATGTTAATAACAAATTGACCATATTTAATCTTTTCCCCTTTAATATGGCAAATTTCTTTTCTGGGTTAAATAGTTTGTTGATAAGGTTGTCTTCTTATCCTAGAGTACATACCTCATGATTTTTTTGTTGTAGGAAATAATGCAACATAAGTTTGTCTTTACGATTTTGTTGTTGTAGGAAATAATGCAACATAAGGTTGTCTTTATCGAGACCCAAGATGTAGTAGAAGCGACTTGCTCTTGGTTAACTATCGCAGGACTTGTGATTGTGGGAGAGGTGCAGTTTTTTTTCGCTGTTGCTAGGTATGTGTCGTATGTCCAAGCGTACTATCTTTGTTACATAATAAATTTCTTTCATAGTTCGATTTTGTGATGCAAGGGGGAGAAATGAGGGGTGTAACTGATTGCAGTTATTTGTTCTGGTTTGATGATAAGGTAGATACCTGTACATTGCAGGGAAAGTAGCTGAAGGAATAGATTTTGATAGACACGATGGTAGACTAGAGTCATCATATCTAGTTTTCCTTTCCAGTGCACATTAAGCGAGCAAGTGGTCTTATACTCTGAGCTATGTGTTCTTATGGTAAGACCTGAGATTTAGACCTTAGTGTTTGATAATTAAGAAAGAGAAGGAATAAGAAGAGGGCAGAAGGGAAAAGGATAATTAAAGAATCAAGAAACAAAATTGGAAAGAGAGAGAGTAGATAAGGATAAGTAAGTTTCTGTTGTTCATTCAACATATGCAATAAGACTGTATCTCTACTATTTATAAACCAATCAAGGCCAAATAAAGACAAACATTCAAAGCTAACTAAACAGAAGATTCTCTTACAAATCAATGCTCCATTTCCTATCAGGTTAGCCAACTATTCAATTTTTTGGTTGTCCCAAAATGTTTATTCAGTTCCTGAGTATGTTTTATTCTGATATGACCTTCCAAAGTTGTCTTTGCTTCTAACAAATAGAATTCCACTTTGCCATGGGAAAATTGCTCACCTTTTCAAACAGAGGTGATATTCCCTTGAAAGTTAAATTTAGGGAGATGGCAAACAAATGGAGAATGATATTTTCAATTTCTGATTGGAAGATATTCAGTTGACTTATGATTCTTCTGTAGCTTTGCAGCTTTATTTTCCCTTCATAGATATACTTAATGTCACCCTTCTATTCAATTTTTCTTTAGTTAGCATTCATTATTTATTTCAAGTATATTTAGACAAAAGTTTTTTTTTTTTAGAATTAATTTCACAGTTCGAGTATCTACAGGTCAAGTTCCAAATAGAAGATGGCAATTTCCTAAAGTTTGATGCTCTGGTACGATGATATTCCTTGTTATTTCTCATCAAATGAATGCCATTTTTAATAATATGTGTTTTAATGTGAGGTTTGAGTTTTTATGTCTGATATTGGAGATTATAACCTAATGGGATTGTACTGAAGCAGAGACAAGCAATTTAATGTGTGGGCCAAGTAATCAGGTCGAAGGCCGATTGTGGGATGATGAAATTTGCTGATGAAAGGTAGGGGCTAGGTTTCACTGGCACATGGGTATTCTTATCTCTATCTCTCCTGTTGCACATGCAAAAAACAATCCCCCTGTTGCAAAAGAGCTACTTTTAACCAGGGTTCACATTTGCTTAGCAATTCGAGGCAATGCTCATAAGTTCGGCAAGACTCATTTACTTAGAAATGATCTTGCTACTTTAATAAAGGCTGCTTACTAGTTCTCTTGCTTTTATTTGAATTTGCGCAGATATAGCCATCATTACAAGCGCTCAAAGTTGCCTGGCTGGTACTATCACATTTGCGTGATGCAAACCTGAATTTGAGCACTGATATGGTGTTGCCCATAGCTCGAGGTTTCTACTTGCAAATATATTTTACTTGTGCTACTTCTACTTCTGGGAAACATCCAGACATGCACTCAGACCCTTATCATAATCATAAATTTAATCCAGAATTATAAAGTCACTTCTTTAAGATTTGTGTCAGAAAATCTATATGCTAGTAACTTCAAGAAAGTGTAGTGGACAGGCAAATTGATAATTCGTAAAATGCTTTTGTAGTTTATGTTTATATTAGTTCTTAGAACTCTAGATCATGAATTGATCTTATAAATTGAACCATTGTATGCTAAATTGCATTGAGAAAATTAAATAACTACCTTGGAAATACAAACCAAAAGTTTAGCATCTGAATCTTATACAATCATGACTTGCTTCTTGGCTAAAAGTATCTTAAGAAAACGTTGTGGTTACCTTGTTTTCTGGTCTATCAGAGGACTAAATGTTCGATCATGAAAGACAAACCAAATATGTAGTGGACCAAACTTCATTGATTTTTTATAATTAACCTTGTGCCTTTTGAATGCAGTTCCTTTGGAAGATGGCTCAATCTCAATCATATGATAAGACTGGTGCAAGCGGTAGAAAAACCTTGCTGTCACAAGTAGACTACTTGGAGAAGATGGCCGAAAGTGGATTGCGAAAAATGTTGTATTAATACTTTACTATGATATAAATTGTCGGCTAGATGGCTGCGTGGGCTGTTCGATATTCTTCCAATTTCCATAAGCATAAAGAGATGTCTTTTTGGTTTGGATTATGCTGGTGATGATATGAGATGACATTTCATCATACATTGATTTTAGTAGCTAGTTAGTGACTGATATGGATGCTCATTTCTGGTACCACAAGTACCAGCTGTCGATCCCTACAGTTCCCTTCATCAGAAAATCAAAACAAGTAACGCCAGAAAGACACCTTGCTGAGACAAACTGCTCTGCAAGATAAAAAATGAATAACTCCTACATGATTGATGATTGGCGGAACACTTCTTCTACTTGGAATTAAATATTGTTTGGAAAGCAACTTTTAGTACCCTCTTATTTATTTATTTATTTATAATTTATTATTTAATAAATTGAATTGAAAGGTTGGGGGTTTTGGTTGATTAATTTTCTCAAGTTACAAGTAACAGTAAGAAGGGAGCCAAAAGATTTGATCTCTCATTCTCTTGAGGTTATTGATTCTTGGATTTACATTTCGATCCTACAATAATACACAACTAAGATTGATTTTACTGTCATTTATCAAGGGAATAAATAAATAAAATTACACAAATAATCAGTCGATTTCCCCTCAAATTACCCTAATCTAACAAGTCTACAAATGAATAATTAAAAGTCAGTCACGGGGTATTATCTGATTTATTGCCCTCTTCACTTCCACAATGCTTACCTTCCTTCCACCAACATTGTCCTTTACCTGACGCCCAGAAACAACCCCAATCAGCACCTCATTATATATTTCTTTTTTTAATAATAATAATAATAATAATTTTAAAATGTAGAAGAACTTGAAGGCATGCGTACCTTAGCCCTTAATTCAGCTACAAAGGCTCCGTTACTCAGAGAAGATTGAACTGCTGTCGTTTCTATCCGTAGATCTCTCAGCATTTGCATTATATCAAGTAAAAGCCCTTCTCTGTACGCACATTGTATCTCTAGCAACGCATCACACTCTATTATCGAAACCTCTACATTTGTTTCCACGTCTGCCGACGACTGTGCCGGCGATGAGTCCACTGCCTTTGGCTTCGCACAACCACCGGCCTCCACTATCCTCAACTTCCTCTTATCCGATGCAGCTCCGGAGCCGGTACTTATTCTAGCCCGTTCCATTACGGTGACTCCGCTCCTTTGCTCTTTCAAACTAGACGTTCTTTGCGGCTGCTCCGACAGTCTCGACCGCTGCTCAATCTCCATCTGTCTGTTACGCGCCTCCAGTTCCTGAATCTTTTTACGTAACTGCTTTACGTACTCTATCGTGTCTCCTAATATGGACGCCTTGTCCATTTTGGTCACAAATGGAACTAGCGATCTTAGTATTATAAACCTCTCGTTGAGCTTCTCTCTACGGCGCCGTTCCGCCAGCACGTGATTCGCACTGAGCTCATCTTGAGCAGCGCCCTTGCGGAAGCGACTGGCAGCGTCACCGTCACGTGACTTGGGCGAGTTTTCTTCGCGGTATTTGTGGTGAAGGTAGGGTACACTGAACAGTATGTATTTAAGGAACCACTGAGAGGTGCTTTCGACGGGCAAGTGGAGGATGTGATCAGAGCAGCGAATTGTCCACTTGGTGAAAGCTGATTGGTTGGAGTATGCCAGGTAAGAAGTAGAGGATGAGTCAGCCCACCGGATCCGTTGGCTTTGGAGGATTGTGGAGACAGTCTGAGAATAGTGAGTATCTTCTTGTGCCATGTCTTCGAATGGGGGTGGTCCTGCAAATAATAATAATAATAATTTAAACTAATTTAAATGAGACATTTATGAAGCCTTAAAGTTCGTCATTACATTTGAATTCACACTATTTAAGTATTAATTAATTGTCATGTTAGGAATAAGTGAGATTTTTGAAGGTGAACGAGTTGGTGTAATTATTTTAATTAATTAATTAATTAATTAATTAATTAATTAATATTATGGAAAAGACGTTTAGGTGAAAGTTGGCTGATGAGGCGGCGGCCAAAAGATAAAGAGAAGAGAAAGGAAGAACTTAAAATGGAAATATTGCACGTGTTCGAAAGAGAATTTAAAAATAAAAAATGTGACTGAGAATACAAAAACGGAGTGTTTATTGTCGTAATGAGATTTTTAGAGTGCGTGGTTTCTAGAAACCACAAAAAAGCGCGTACTCTTCCCAGTGATGACACAGCTAAGTGGGTGGGGACCGACGCGCATTGGAATCTAACGTTAAATTTTGGTGCAAGAGTAGTTTTTTTTTTTTTTTTTTAAAAATTGACTGAGAATACAAAAAACGGAGGTTTTATTGTCGTAATGAGATTTTTGAGAGAGTGCTTGGTATTCTAGAAACCTTACGAAGAAAAGACGCTTACTCTTCGCCCAGCTGATGACCCAGCCAGCTAAGTGGGGTGGGACCGACGCGATTGGAATCTAACGTTAAAGTTTTTGGTGCGAAGGGTAGTAGTTTTTTTTTTTTGTTTTCGAGAAGAGGGCGAAGAAGTAGTTAGTTTAACTAAAATCAGGACCCAGTGCAATATGCGTATTGTTGCGTGCGAACTGCAAGTGCGCATCATAGATGGAAGAATTACATTGCATTAATTACCCTGGCGGTGTAGTTGAGAGCTACTAACTTTTTTTTTTTTTTTTTGAAAAGAGTGCAAGAGTAGTTAGTTTAACTAAAATCAGTGACCCATGTGCAAATGCATGTTCGTGCACTGCAAGTGCATGGATAGATTGAAATTACAGTTGCATTAATTACCTGGCGGTGGTAGTTGAAGGCTACTACCCAATGGGTCTTGCAGCAAGGCCCACCTCCGAGCTGACTCGGCTCTAAACGAGTCAGTTCGGCTTTGATGGTCAGCAGGGTTGCCTGACCCTATTAAATTGAAATCTGAATCCAAATTATTTGACCCGTCGTCCGGCGAGCCAAGCCGGATATCCTCAGACATCTCTAGTTGCATTAGTTCGCTTGGCTCTGCGACTGCTGCTGCTTCTGTTACAGCTTGAGAGTTTTGAATAACCTGAGTAGGGATTGATCGAGTGTTTCGACCTGTTTCGGCTTCTGAATCAGACCCGTCTTCCTCTTCCTCATCATCGTCGTCTTCTTCCTCATCCTCGTCATCTGGATTTGTGTTGGTGGTGGGAGGGTCTGCAACGCCATAAATGGCTGGGATGGAAGGAGAGTTGAAGCGGGGGTGGTCTGATGATGTGGTAGGGTTGGAAGTGGAGTGCTCGGAGAGAGCTGGTTTTGGTGGTGGAAGAGGAGGATGGTGGTGGTGCTCAGTAAAGAAGCTCTTCACTCTTTGGACCAAACCAATGTCCTCTTGAATCTATATATATAGAATTTGGTAAGTTGGAATGCAGTTGGAGCAAAATAATTAAAAATAAAATCTCATATAATAGCTTACCTTGTCGGTTGTCCCAAGTTCAACGACGCCGTCAAGAAGAGGGATGCAAACCACTGTCTGTCAACGTTGCAGAAAAAAATAAAACGTTATATGACAGTTAGGCCACGAAAGAGGTAGTTGCTAGTAAATTGCAGATACGCATATAGACAAGAATAGATTTAATTACCTGTATTTTAGCACTCTAGTGAATTAATTATGTCGCCAAGATTCATGTTTAGAAACAAGAAAGAAAAATCACAGTTAGAAAATTGAACCTATAAATTAATAATAGTAATTAATAAAAGCAAACCCAGTTAACTTTACCTTGGCAAGGATAGCCCTAGAAAAAGTTTTGCTATCAATCTCGTTTGCACCCGTAAGCCATACGTGCTGTCGCCGTGAATATGCCTTTCCCGGTAACCTACATGCACGCATGCACATATATAATATTATATCATTTATACCACCCTCATAAATATTCAATAATATATAGTATAATATTTTTTTTTTCTCATGCAAATCATCAATATAATATAGTAGTATAATAATAATTTAAATAAATTATTCATCTCTTATTTAGTGCATATTAATTAAAGCAATAATTACATTCAAATTCGAACATTCCACACTTGTGTTAAATCAAGGAAGGTGACTAGGTTCTCAAAATATTGTATTAATATATTTAATTAATCCAATTATAAGATACTGGAGGAGAAGAAGGCAAAAGATAAGAAAACTTAAGGAAAAAAAATGATGGCGAGAAAGAGTGAGAAAGAGTTGTGAAATATTCCCATAGGTCTGTCTGCTTTAGCTGTAACTTGAAAGGGCAATGCGTTGTATCTTTCTCGAAAAAAGAAGTAGCCCTGGCAGCCAAAAAGAAAGAAATAGCTACAGAGACCACAACTTCATTGCTTAATAAGCCATCTCGAATCCTTTTGACAGATTTTCCAGATAACAAAGATTATATTCCCTACTCCTCCTCTCAATATTGTCAAACACAAACAAATCTTAAAGCAAAGGGACTTTACTTAACTTCTTTACGTGAATATACTAGACACCCTTGTTATAAACAACATGACAAAACAAAGGTTCTTTCTGCTTCCTCTCACCTAACCTAAGCTCTTGTGAACACATCTGTACACCTATTTTTCTTCTTTCTTTTTTTTTTCTTTTTTTGTTGTCAAAAATAAGTTAATAATACACAAAGTTTCTGTGCCGATGAAGTCGTCTCCATGCTAATCAGACCTGGCTAATTGACAAACCGAAAAAGAAAAAAGAAAAAAGGTAACTTTAGAGTTTCATGTGATTACTACTTTGTACTCATCAGTATTTATTACTGCAACTAACAATTACCAATTTCATAACATAAATTTGTGCAAGCAATCATTAAAATCCTAGCAGTCACAATTAATACTCCCTCCTGTGTGTGTAGATAGTGTATTGAATGGCCTTTGGAGACATTTAACTGATTGAAAGGGTACACTAGCTATTACTATTAAGTTTCTTCTTTCTGTGTCTTCATCTATGGGCAAACAATGAATCGAATTCTCCACCAAAACGTATACCGCACTTTCTTTCAAAGGAAAATTTTGAAATGTTTACAAGAAAAGTTTTCAGTGAAATGCAATATATAGGTCAGTAGCTTCTATTTTACTGAGTCGGTGTTTATGACAAGGAGTGTACGACAAAAGAGATGATTCACCGCATATACTTTTCTACTTCTACTTGCAGGAAAATCAACTGAGCTTCACTACATTAAGAAAAGTTTACACTCAAGTAAATAAAACAACTGGGTAGGGAAAGTAAAACATGCAAAGTTAAGAAACTGAAAACCAAAGCTAATAGTAACAATAAAGTCAACATAATTGCTGCTTACCCAACACCGGGAGGAAATGAGAAGGACACACACATTAAGTAAAACCACTCAGACTCTGTTAAGTCCTCCGGCGATAAGGCAGCACACGGCCTCCTTGCTGGCTGATTAGTTTCTCCGGCGGATAACGACTCATAAAGCTCTCTAAGTTGCTGGCTTCTTTGCAAAGAAACCTCTTCTGCGCTAACCTCCATTGGTTGCACTGTCTTTCTTGTCTTGATAGCTCCATTGTAATACCCATCTCCCCATACTAAGATTCTGAGAATTAGTTAAACATATTTTATACTCAAATTCATCAATATTAAAAGAACGGAAAAAAAACTTCCAGAAATATACATATACGGAGATGAATTATTAATTTAAGAATCAAGATTAAGAAATTAATTGATTAGTTACCCTTGTTGAGGACAAATTTGCCAAAAGAGACTATAAGTCCATTGAACTGATTGCACCGCAGCCTGTAACATACTTTGCAAGCGGCTACTAGGAGGGGTAGCAGCCATTCTTGCGGCACTAGAGCTTCCTTACTGACTAAGAATTAATCAATAATCGCCCTTATTCCCTCTAATTTACATAAAATCAAAAAATAGAGGAGAGAAAGAGAATCATTTAGGAGTTTCAATGGTAAGTATAATCATCTTAGCTAATTAGAATCGAACGGTTTCGATCAATCTGAACTGAAAAGACGAAGAAAAGAAGGTGGACGGTAATTTAAGCAAAGATGATAAGAAGAAGAGAAGGTATAATAGCAGTTAATCGCAAAGCGCAGACTTGCAGGTAAGACAAGAAGAGATATATAGAGAGAGAAAGTTAAAAGAAAGGTAGATGACTTTGAGGAAGAGAGAGAGAGATACTGTGTCTTTCTGTCCGTGAGTTATCCAAGAAAAATACCACACTTAACTTAGAAGATGAATCAAAAGATTTTGAAGGGTTGTTAGCCGATGTTAATGCAGTGGTTAGGGTTTTAAACCTATAATATGAGAGATTTATCTAAGGAAAAGAAAAATCATGGGTTTTGACTGGTTGGTCTACCTGACATTTTTAATCACAAATCCATACCTGCAAGAGCATAGAGCGTGAGCCGGATTTTGTTAGTTTTTTTTTTTGAACCAGGATTTTGTTAGTTGGGTTCTACGCGTATATGTCATATTAGGGCGCGTGCAATTTAAGTGGAGATGTAAGAGAGTGGGTGTGGGAATCATATTTAGGTGGAGAAGACTGGACGTTGGGATTGGTACAGTCAATACTTCTCCTTAGAGTGTGGAAGCTACCAGAACTTCCTTATCAAACTCATCAATGGTTTCTTAATTTTTTCGTATTCTTCTCTAGACTCTAGAGAATGAAATTAAGCACGTAGTTTTATTTTTTCAAAAAAAAAAAAAAAATAGTTACCAAATCTTGGTGAGGAACATATATAATAATAAATTCAATGTTCCTAGATTATGTTTTGGGACAAAAATATTACCACAATAATAAATTATGTTGAGAAATTAAATTAAAATGATTAATAACATTGGGTTTTTTCAACATAATTACAATCTTCTCTTCACAGTTTACTTTTTTTCAACTAAATAATTAAAAATTATGAAATTATACAAAGATGATACTAGTTGTAAGTGAGTATCGTGGGATTTTACCTGTGTAAAATTCTAACTTCTAATACTTAAAAAAAGTGCATGTGATAGTAAAGTTTTAAGATGTAGAATTATTTAATCAATTCAGAGTTGAATTCAAATATCAAAATCTAATTATTGGACTGAATTATTTGTGAATTGCTTTAGGAAAATATATAATTTTGTTTACATTATTAGATGTCAAAACAAGCAATTGATAATTTTTATATGGCAAGAATAATGCAACCAACAATTCTTCGTTATTGATATTTTGCGAAATAGAAGAAGAAAGAAAAGAAAATATGAAGCCTTTAGACTTATAACCGTTCCGATGCTCATAATTGAATAAGATATATTAGTATTGCATATCTGAGTAAGAAGTTCGGTATATATCTTTTATATTATATAAATATATAAACAATCTTCATTAAAGTTCTAGTTGGAATCTTCATTACATATTTGAAGTGATTGATAGTCGGCATTTGACTAATATTTGATTTTCCGACGTAATCTATATTGACTGTGGGATAGAATGAACATCAAAAAAAAAAAAAAAAAAAAAAAAAAATTTTCTGAATGCTCAATAATTGAATAAATATATTAGTTATTGCTATATCTGAGTAAGGAAGTTCGGGTTATATATTCTGTCTAGATATTTATATAAATGTATAAAACGAATTCTTCATTAAAGTTCTGATTGAATCTTCATTACATGATTTGAAGTGATTGATATCAGGCATTTTGACTAATATTTGATATTCCGACAGGCCGCGATCTATATACTTGTGGTGATAAATTTGGAACACAAAAAAAAAAAAAAAAAAAAAAAAAAAAAACTGATCATTACATCAATGCAGAAAAAAAAAAAAAAAAAAAAAAAAAACTATCATTACATCAATGCAGAATGAACATCAAAAATAGAAGTTAGTTAAAAAAAAAAAAAACGAAAAAACGAAATATATAAGGTCCAACAATGGCAATATCCCAATATCAATATGTTCTCCGCTTTAAATAACTCCAAAGTTACAGGTAACCTAAGACACAGGTAAAATAAGTTCAGTTGGCATAAAGTGATTATTTGTAAGAAAATAACAATTCTGTCACCAATTTTTTAATTTATTTTAGAAAAAGTCCAAAGAGACTGGTAGGATTTAAACTTTTAGGCGTTAGCTACTACTAAACGTGAGCTTTGACTTCAGGAGGCCGCGGGAAGGAATGGCAGATTGCAAGTTTGCAATTCGGACTATGTCGCGACACCGTTTCACATGTTTTACACGCAAGTAATACACGGTTTGTCCTTACAAATATGAGAAAATCAATTATGGGTTTCTAATAATAGGCTTCATCGTGCATGGATTTCATGTGGAATTTTATGACATCTAAAATTCAATCCTTTTAAAAGAAATTATATTCATCCGATAAATATAATAAAAGGAGTTTATTAAAAAAAAATTGAATGTTCGAGTCGAATTTGTACATTTCTATATTCTATTATCTTTAATTATACTGAATTTTATTCAATCTATTTGAATTGAATTATGCCGAATGTTTCGCGGATCAAATAATATCAATATTCATAATTTATAACAACGGGGAGTGTAAGAAAAAAAAAAGAATTTTAATTGAATATATATCACCTCGATACGTAATTTGATTGTGTAAACTGGAAAAGAAAAAGAAATAACACAAGATAAATGTAGGTAAGTGTTAGGCCCCCGGCAATAAAATTACGAGAATAATAACACAGCTGAAAAATAGAAATATGACACACAGATATTTACGTGATTCACCCTTTAACTGTTTAGGGCTACGTACACGAGACCAACTCCGAATATTTCTTTCACTAAAAATAGTAGGCTTACAAAGAGAGCAATATAAAAATAGTGGCACTCAAAAAAATGCTTCCCAAAAAACACCCCAAATTATCTTCACTATTTTCTCTACCCTAGTTTTAGAACCCTTTCCAAAACTAAAACTCTCTCTTTTTTCTTTTGCTCTGCTTATGTGTTGATGAAGTGAATTAACTCCTATTTATAGGAGAAGTGGACGCGTTAATCACGTGTCCACCGAAAGACAAATTGAGATCCACCGAAAAATTTTCTTTTCTTCATTTATTTTCAAGCTGTGTGGATCCTACCACGTTTTCTTTTCTTCTCCTTTTTTTTTTTATTTTCAAATGTGGGTCCCACTGAGTGTTCAAGCTGTGTGGATCCTACCACGTTTTCTTTTCTTCTCCTTTTTTTTTTTATTTTCAAATGTGGGTCCCACTGAGTGGGCACCGCCATAACAAATCTCCCCCTGCACACTCAAGTGGGGACGTTAGTCATACCGGCTATCTTTCTGCAAGTGACAAGCTTCTTCGTAGATAAAGCTTTAGTCATCATATCAGCGCCATTATTATCAGTGTGAATCTTTTCAATCTGAAATACCTTCTTGTCCAGCGCATCACGTATCCAATGATACCTTACATCAATGTGCTTTGACCTTGAATGAAAGGTCGAACTCTTGCTAAGATGTATTGCGCTTTGACTATAATTACTTCTCTGGTTCTATACCCTAATTTCTGTATAGGAATTTCTTCATCCACAAGAGTTCTTGCTAAGCTGATCTTGTAATGGGGCAATATAATTCCGCCTCAGTGGCGATAGAGGAGTTTGTGCGAACATTTTTGCAGATTTTGGATTGCGAAGAAAACTGCTGCATCCTGCAAAGTCATAGATATCCCGAATTAGATGTTGCTTATGGTATTAACATCGGATCCACCTCATATGTCTGCACTCTGTGTAATCCATCTAACACAGGTCTATTATCATCTTATATATATCTGATAAGCAGATGTTTGGGAAGTTGCCCTGTACGGGAAGTACCTGAGAATCATTCACTAAATTCCAGTGTCTTTACCTTGGATTTTGACAAGGAAACTCGGCTAACAACACCAACAGCATGAGTATCTCTGTCTTGTTTCGTGACATGACGTACATCAAGCTGCCACGTCTATTGCATAAGGAATCTTTCTCAGTTATTCATCTTAAGGAATCTTCTTCAGTTCTTCTTTTTCTTTCTCACTTGAAGGACATTGACTGAGACTTAATTTGAAATGACCTGCAAGTGGAGTACAAACTGGTTTCACATTGCTCATATTGAATCTACTTTCTCGATGTACTTCTCTTGAGACAGCCACAACTTTCTCTTTTTCCTGTCTCTGGAGATCTTCATTACAAGAATCTGTTTTGCCGATCCCAAATCCTTCATGGCAAAGCATTTTCCAAGCTCCTTTTTTGAGCTCTCAATTTTCTTAGCATCTTGACCCACAATAAGCATATCATCCACATATAATAAGAGAATAATAAAGTTGCCTTCTACGAACTTTTTCACAAATACACAATGATCAGAAGTAGTTTTCCCATACCCATGATTTACCATGAAAGAGTCAAACTTTTTGTATCACTGTCTGGGAGCTTGTTTGAGGCCATACAAGCTTTTCTGCAATTTACACACCAAGTGTTCTTTGCCTTTGACTTTGAACCCTTCTAGCTGTTCCATATAAAATTCCTCCTCTAAGTCACCATGGAGGAAAGCGGTCTTTACATCAAGTTGCTCGATCTCCAAATTCAAGCTAGCTGCAAAACCGAGCACAACTCTGATAGAAGACATCTTGACTACCGGTGAGAAAATTTCTTCAAAGTCAACTCCTTTCTTCTGACCGAATCCCTTCACAACCAGTCTTGCCTTATACCTCGGCTGTGAGTTGTTCTGTTCAGTTTTCAACCTGAACACCCATTTCTGTGAGTGGTGAGTTTCTGTTCAGTCTTCAATATATCTCTATTGTTTTTTCATCTCTCTATCTCTTTGAGGCTTCACCAACTCATTTAAGTTTGGTCTCTCTATATATCTTCCATCTCATCTTGCATGGCTACAAACCACTCATTCCTTTTACAATCTCGTCCATTGCCTCCTGGTAGTTCTCTGGTTCTCCCCCTTGATCAACAAGTCATATAAGTCATACTCATTAGGAGAATATCTCTGGGAAGGTATCCTGCCTCTTGCAGATCTTCTCAATTGAGGCAGTTCTTCTATTGGAGCTGGTTCAGCATCATTCTGAATAGTTTCATCATCATCTTCTTCACCATTTTGTGGTTCTATACGAGGTTTTGCATCAAGACTAACAGGAAACTCATTGATGGACTTTGGCTGTTCATTTTTCTCAAAGTCTTCAATGGTTTGGTCTTCCAGGAATACGACATCTCTGCTTCTGATGAGC